TCTTGGTTAAAAAATTAATCGCTGAATATCTTTGTAAATAATCGCATTACCAGCATTCGCTGCTTAAATTCTGATAAATCACTGATAATTGGTTACTGTTGTTGTGAATGACATAGGCTAAGCTATGCCATTGACGCATTTTCATAATTACATTACCTCGGGAACACACACATATTATACACCCATATACACATATACGTGCGCACACGCACACAAACTCACATACACACAAAGTACAAAGTTACTTTTAAGTTATTATATATAATTAAAGAGTGTATTTGTATTCATTTTGTTATTACGAATTAAATAAATATATACATAAAACATAATTCAAATAAATGGTAGTATAATTATATTTTATACTTACACTCACGGCAGACCATCTGATCAATTTCTTTAGGCAAACTATGTCAACTTCCTTTTAAATTTTTTTTAATTCTTTTGACTTTCTTTGCCTTCTCGCACTGGATGTACGTTTAACTCCAGATGTTCTGGGGATAGGATATTTATAAACTTCTCTATCTGTCACTGTACTTGGTATATTATTTTGTGCCGATGCTTGTGGTTGGATTTCTTCATTAGGTATTATTGGTACGTTTCTCGCTGATTGTGAACTTACTGTATGATGCCCATTGCAAAAAGTTACACTGGACTGTTCTTTTTCTAAATGGCTAGTGCTGCTACACGCATTACGCAATTCGGCTAGTAAGGTTGGCGACTCGTGGTTGCTTTGTTGCAAGACGATTGTTCAGAAATTCCTAAAACAGTAAAAATATTTAGCTTTAAGCTTTTTGCTTTTGAATCAGGTCTTTCCAAATCTACTGAATATCTTTAAAACTAGTGCACATAATTACGCACATAGAGAATGCTGTGGATTAATAGAATTTTTCTTCGTGAATAGCTATCTCACTTTCATCTATTTCGGAATGTTTGCAATGCGTTCCTTATCAATACGTATTTCTGTAGATAAAAGCCTTATCTACCCACTTCATGGTTTTCATACATAAGTAAGATGTCGCAGTACACTGTGAATGAAATAAGTAGACTTGATCTTCTTTTGATGAGTTTCCTGAATTGCATCTTCTTTTGGTAGTCAAATATTTGAGTAGGATATTTCATTAACTCAAAAACTGAAAGAAGGACAAACAAACAAACGCACTTTCACATTTATAATATTAAGTATGGAAGTATGGATAATAAAAGATGTTGCAAAAACTTTTCCTATGAGAAAGCAATCAATTTTAACAAAATAATTGGATTTAGGCTTCAGGATTCCTAAACACTTTTGAATCCATTGAATATCTTATTAAAATGCAGATTAATAAAGAATCCGTACATATCTCAGGAGCGCCCTGGAGTATCTATAGTTTAGGTACTAAACATACTTTCGGTGGGCGTATATGTACACTACACCTTTCACATATTCCATTTCGTCACAATAAATTTTACAGTAAAGAGTTTTATCAGTTTCCTGCAGCTTTGTAGTTGGGAGATCGAATTCAACTCCAAATTTGTATTCGTCTTACATATTCCAGAAATTATTTTCTAGCAATTAAAAAAAGTATTTGTTTTCACATTTGCTTTTCCTAATAGCGAATAAACAAAACAAAAGTAAAACTTTATAGCTTATTTTTAATGTTATTTTGAAAAATAAAGAAAAAGTTTCCATTGCTCCGTTTTATACCGTTTAAATTCAAGAAATCGATAAGAATGAATTTTCGATAGCTCTATGTTTTACCTTAACGTATATTAGAATATTAATGACTGTTATCAGGTAATTCAGATACTAATATTCCATCGTTCAAAATTTCCTAGAATTTTCAGCATTCTCCCATCGCCTAGTATTGTTATACCTGATATGAATGTCTCTGAGAACAACGTGTAATGGCATGCTTGAGATGAAGGACCGCACTAGTTCTTAAACGATGTGTGAAATCTTCTCCAAGCATTTAGTACGCAGCACTACTTTCAATAAACTCTTGAATATCTAGTAATTGATACATAAACGACGAGCGTTGAAGTCTCATAAACTCTCAAAAAGAATTGACTTTTTTTCTTAGTTTGCTCGAATTCTTTTTTGTCTACTGGTCCTTTAAAATATTTTTCTTTGAAAAGCATTCAAATATAGATTTTTGATGTGGCAATAAAAATGTGTTTATATGGTTTGGATTCAAATGGAAATTTCGACAGATTACTTTCAAGCCGAAGAAAATACATTGAATACCTCAAATGTTCCTGGAGATTACAATGCGTTCGCAATCGCCTCGGGAATTTTTCTCTTTCTTGAAAAACAGAAGTTCTGTTGACAAATTTCACTTTACTGAATTCCTTTTTCCTATTCAGTGAACTATTTGAACCTAGATGTTGTATCTTTCCATGGAAAGATTACTTTCGAGTCGAAAACAATGAACACATTGTAGACCTTCGAGTAACTGGTAGCTGTCAATCGCCTCGGGATCTTTTTCTCGCTCCTGGAATTCGGTAAAAAAAATCTGTAGACCAATTTCACTTTACGAAAACCTTTTCCAATGAAAATATATATATTTCGCAGACTTTTCGGTAATGCAACAGTCCAGTACAAGATTTAATGCATATATCTTCGTATTTAATTATTATTTATTTGTATCTGGAGATTGTATTTGTCAGTAGAAGAATTTTGAAAGATTACTTTCAAAAGAAGTAAACATATTGAATCTCTCAAACATTCCTTGAGATTATTGGGAGTACAAGATATTTTTTTCTCTTACATAAGAACAGAAGTTCTGTTGACGAGTATTCGGAAATCTTGACGTATTACATTTTTTTCTGGTTACTTTTATTCAGAACAATTTTCCCTTTCCCTTTTCAAATTCCTGGTGGCAGTGTCACTTAGCGATAACGTAAATTATTTACATAACAAACTGAGCCAAACATGTCGTCGAAAAGGTCTTAGACATTCTTTCGTACTTTCAGCAAAATCTTTGAATAACGCAAAATATTACAAAAAGTAGTTACAGATGGCTTCTAAAATATATTTGAACAAATTCTTTCCAATTTTCTGTAAAACTTGAATAATACAATTTACAAACCCATTGAATATCTCGATTGATGATTGTGACGAGCATTAAAATGTTTATTATTTCTTCTTTACTTGACCAACGTACTTGGATAGTTGGTCTTCAAGTGTTTGATATTGAGTTGGTTACAAGTGATACTGCTATCTGATGACGAGTCATTGATTAAAAAATATCTTCGTAAAACTATATACAAGAACACGTATTAGATTATTTTTATTAAATCAATCTTTTTAGATTAACACGTTTTTTTCTATTCCAGAAAAAAAAAGAGAAATTTTGTGTCGTGCTACTCTTTATCTAGGTGTTGCGATTTATAATGAGTAATATTAATATTTTTATAAAAATATTTAATTTCATTTCACTAACATATTTCATTTCCATATTAAAATATATTTACTTCGAAAAAATTAAATAAAACTGTGACACAATTCGAAAGGTATTTTTAAGAAAAAAAAATATTTTTTTTATTATAAAACTAATGTTTTATTAGTAGGTCTTCTAAACTATTGAAAACCATTTCTTGTTACTGTAACTAGCATTAGCAGAGAATTTTGTCCCATTAGGAAAGAATTGTTAATTAGAGAATGTGTGATTTAAGTACTGCAAAATGTCATAAAATCTAAATATTTGATGGTTTGAAAACAACTAATTCTATTATAAATAGTTCACGATTTCGAACAAATAAAAACACTATTTTTTCTATGACATTACATGATATTCATCTATACATATAATAGAGTAAATAGTGATGTAATTTGACCACTCGCTTTTTCGTACGTTGTATATACAAAAAAGCGAAGCGAGAGTAAATCGCTAGTCTATTATACTATTTAACAAACACCCTGTATATCTACCGGTTATTATTAGGCATAAAACGATTGTTTTCAACCGACTTCAAAAAGGAGGAAGTTCTCAATTCGACTGTATTTTTTTTATGTTTGTTACCTCAGAACTCCGTCATTTATTAACCGATTTGGACAATTTTTGTATTGTTTGAAAGTGTATACTTCCAGATTGGTCCCATTTAAATTTCAAAAAAAAAATACCACCCCTAAGGGTGGAAAAATAGCTAATGATGAATTTAACCTACTTCTAATTGTCATATTGACTTGAAACTTTGCAAGTATTTCTATTTCCGGTGATAGTACAGTGGTTCGGTATTGTTGATCTGATCTGATGGTAAGGCCAGAAGGTGGATAGGTGGAACTCTTCAACGGCTAATAGTAGTACTTTGAGTTTGGGCTTATTTTGTTTGATTTGACAAGCCTAACACGTTAGAATTCTTACTTTGCTACTACTGTCTACACTAAAAAGGGTGACAGAAATCGGTGACAGCCCATACAAAGCAAAGCACACCGACTTCGAAAATATTTGATTAGGTATGTATAGTAAATGAAAACTACCAATCAGTTATTTTTTACTTTTTAGTGCTTTTGTTTGAAGTCTGTTTTTATTTTTTTGTTAAAAAGTTTTTATTTCTACTTGAAATTCAGCACAGCCCCGTGAGCACTGTCGTCATTATGAAACCCTTTTATATCTATCCTTCTTATATGGAGTAATTTTTGGACTGCTTCTAATTTGTATACAATTATTACCAAACCATTGAATATCTTAATGTTTTGTCTCTCTCATACTAATATTATTAGTGCGAAACTGGTGAGTTTGTTTGTCACTATTGCGCGCTGCAAAGGCTCAACTAATTTGAGTAAAATTCGTAATAGAGGTAGCCTAAATTCCAGATAAAATATTCCCGTGGGATAGAGGATAGAAGTTTTTGGCACAATCATTATTACATTACTATTATAGTTGAAAAAGTTTGTAGGTACATGTGTGTGTACTTGACGTTGAAACGGCTGGACCGTTTTGAATGAAATTTAGTACAGAGATAGACTACTCTGTGTAAATATATAAAAAAAAACCAAAATGCGGCGTCTGTATATTTCATAATACAAAAGGCACCCGAGCAAAGTGAGGGTATATCGCTAGTATCAATGAAACCAACATGTATCTATGGTTCACTTTAATTTTACCAGTAAATTTTTCATCTGTAAAACTTTCATAAACTAGCTCAGGGCTTTCTAATCTTTCCAACTCCTTTTGAAATTTCACCACATCTTTCGCCAACGATTTTGATGAATTTCTGGCAATCGATGCAAAATTAAGCCAAGCTTCATAGTACGATTTCATATGCCTATTATATGGTGACCATTTGGATACTTCTGTTGGAGGCGATGCTTTTTTAGTCAAAACAGGCGACGGGAGCCTTCTGTTCTTCCTTACCTTTATACTCGTTTTACTACACTTCTTTGGAATTGTATCTGTTCCATTGGATTTCTTCTTCTGGTTCACACTTGGTATATTTATCCTCAAAATTTTTTGCTCTTTTGGTTCTGTAAATGTTATGTTGTAAGATTTTGTGTCGTTCTTAGTTGATATTGTTTTTATTAAAGGTACTTTTTGATTTGTTTTATAATTATTTTTAACACTCGTAGTTACTTCTCCACTTTTCTTCTGATCATCGTGTTTGGTATCTTAAATGAAATTATTATTTTAGAATATAGCATTGTTAATTTTTAGCGGTTATTTCTTATTGTTTGATTATCTGCAGATCCTTATAACCTGTCCTTCTGTGGATTTCTTACTGTTGTTAGAAATTTGACATAATTAGTATGGACCTTATGTCAAATATCTATCTAGTGAGAAAAACTTCAGATAGCTTATTGAGAATCACTGTAAGGACTAAAGTAATTACGTAATGACTAATGCTGGGGAATGTTCATCGAGACTGTTCAAGATGAATGTATGAGCCATAATGATGTGTATACCAATCTTAATTAGACAACGCTTTGTATTGTATCGTATTGTAGCGTATTGGTCTGTAGCGTATTGTATTGTAGTGTATTGTAATGTATTCAGCCTTTTTAACGTCTCACTGCTGGGCGCGGGCTTTTTCTCAATGCGAGAAGGAACACGCCATATACAGTCAACGCATTATTGTAAGTTAAAGTGAGGGTTTGGGAGGAGTCTAACGTAAATGATGAAAGATCAAAATGAAAGAAAATGATAGAAAAGATTAATGTGTGTACATCTATAAAGAAGTTTTGTTTACATATTTTTTTCTACTTTAAATCTATTGTTTAATATAATAAATTATGAAATGTATAAAAACTAATTTAATAAGTATGAAATGTATGCTTAGCTTAAATTATACATATTGTTTTTATTTATTTATCATTTTAAGGCGTATTACCAATATAGAACACAAGAACAAAGTGTCTTCGCCTTAACTAGAAACTTTAAAAAAAGTGCCATTGGACACATTCTTAGATATATTATTTTATAAAACTAAGTTAAAAGTTATATCACTCATTAGCCTTGTTGGCTAGATCGTAACAATATTAGGTTACAATATTTTAGTACTGTTACCTAGAAAAAAAAATTTAAGGCGAATTATATAGTAGGTACCACCTGAGCGACGAAGCTTTGCTCGACATTTTTTTTGTACAATTGTATAATTTGTGTTTTTTTAATAAAAGATACATACTATATAACTTAAAAAGCAAAACTTAATCTCAATACAAAATTTGATCCAAATCGCTACAGTCGTTTCCGTGATACACCAAATAAATTTGTATATTATACCTACATTTACAAGAATTGCTCGTTTAATATTATAACTACAATAATATATGATACGATTGGCTCAGTTTGTAGTGGCCCTACTTGCTGTGTCAGCGGTCGCGGGTTCGAATCCCGCTGGGGGCATTCTTTTGTGTGATGAGCCCGAACGTTTGTACTCCAGTCATGGATGTTTTTATTTATAATAAGTATGTATTTATAGTTATATAAGTGTAGTGTATCAACTATCTGGTATCCATAACACAGGCCTCTTAGCTTACCACGGAACTAGATGGTGCTGTGTGTTAATGTACCAAATCTCAACATATTTAGGTATATATTATATTTATATTTAAATATAATATTTATATTTAATCAGATAAAACTTTGTTTATAATTGAAACTACTGATCTAATTTTGAAAATGTTCATTTCGAAAGCTATTAATAATATCATTTCCTTTACTCTGCTATTTAACATTGGATTTTTATATATTGATATTTAAAGATGAAGATGACGACTGCGAGTACATTTTTTGTTATATCGGTTTGTTTATGTTTTTTAGTTACGAATAAAGAGCATTAACTACGCGCCATCTTGCAATGCGGCAATGGTAGCCCAGTGGTAACGCGCTCGCTTGGGAAAACGAGTGAATCGGGTTCAAATCCCGGGTCTCGCACCTCTGTTATTTTCATGTGCGAATCATTTCTAACATGATTACCACTTGCCTTACGGTGAAGGAAAACATCGTGAGGAAACCTGCATGTCTGAGAGAACCTAACAAGTTTTCGAAAGACATGTGGAGTCCGCAAACCCGCACTTGGCCAGTGTGGTGGACTATGGCCTGATTCCCCTCGTACTGAAGGGAGGCCCACCCCCAGCAGTAGGACGTTAAAAAGGGCTGAATACATCTTGCAATTTTTTTTTTGGAAAGCAAACGCTCACGATATGTTATGGTATGTTATGGTATATATATTATTATAGTATATATAGCTTATATATTAAATTCCCACGATTGAAATAATAAACAGAATGTACACACCGGGACGGGAATGCAGAGTTGCAGTTTTCGGATACTTTAATTTTTATATATTGTTTAGTGACAATCCATAAACTTACATCGAGTAGGTTGGTCATTAAATTTAGATAATAAGTTTAATTTGTAATTTTAAAATAAAGTAATTTAAATTAGTTTTTGGTTTTTATTTCGACCTTCCTCCGACTGTAGCTAACGTACTCGTAACTCACTCTCTATACTAATATTATAAAGAGTCAGACTTTGTTTGTTTGTTTGTTTGTTTGTAGAGGCAGAGTTACGAGCAGAATTACTAATCCGATTTAAAAAATTCTTTTTGCAATAGGTAGCCCGTTCATTCAGGAAGCCTATAGGCTATATATCATCATGCTACTACCCAAGGGAGCGGAGCAGTAATCATAAATTTATGTCAACAAATCGGACAGACTTCAATACATTATTGTAAAACTATAATATATAGTACATAAATATATCGCTGCATAACATAAAGCCAAAGAATATTTTTTGAAGATTAAACGCGGGCGAAGCCGCGGATTCTGCTAGCTATCTATATATAAATAGGCAAAGACAAAACAGTTCAGTACATTTTCCGCCTCTGTTTGTCAAACGATTTTCTTTTTTTTTTTAATTTAGTAGCTATTGACGAGCTTTAGTTTTATTAATAAACAATTTGGAAACATTTTTTTATATAAATAAGTAAATTCTATTCATATATGTTTTCCTGTCGACGATATTTATGTTAGAATTTCGACAACTGGGATAACATTAGTTATACTAAAAGTTTTTAAAATGTGTGTCTGTGAATTATCTTTCTATTGATCTCCTTTAAAATATACATTAACTAGCGACTAGCTTGCTTCCCAACACAAACTTTCATCCCCATTTTTATCCCCTTAAGGGATGATTTCCTGGATAAAAGTATCCTATGTCCTCCCGGGGTCTCAAACTATCTTCTTACCAAATTTCATCTAAATCGGTTCAGTAGATCCAGAGATTACCCCCTACAACGTCACAAACTCACAAACTTTACTTCTTTATAATATTAGTATAGTTTCAACATGAGTAGGTATACCTTTATGATTGATTTTATATTCCAGTTTAATTTTATCATCTGCTTTGGATGAAATGATATTTTTATGTTTCTCTGTAAGTTTCTTTACTTCATTCCTTTTGTTAGCATCATTTTTAACGTCACTAGTCTTCTTAAAAGCTGTACCGATTTTGATTGAGTCTCCTCTATCTGGTACAATTATATCTTTGGCAACTTTAGCCGTTACCTTTCGTAAGTTATCACCGTGATTTAAAATTTTATTGTTCAAAGGCTTCACGTCGATATTTTTTGTTTCCATTTTAGATAAGTTTATTCACTAGAAATTTTGTGGTCGAAAATTGTCAAGAAAATGTCATTTCAATGCCAACTAGATTTTAAGTAAAAAGATTTGAAAAAAAAATAAGTAAAAAAACATTTTAGTTGGCTTTTTATCTAGTTATTTTTTTTAATAATTGTGTGATGAGTTTGGTTGTCGAGTGATAAGTAAATAAATGTTAATAAATAAAAATAGCTGACGGATTTTATTATAATAAACAAAAATTCTCTCTTTTAAGAGAAAGAGATAGTACTATGTTCTTTTGAATTTTTTAAGCATTAGTTATGATGAACATCGTTGGAGCCGTTTTGAGATATACGAAATATTATACTCGTATATACAACAATTGCTTATTTAATCCATACATATAATAAAATTCTAATTAAGTCGAATCTGTACATGAAATATTTTTTGGAAAATCTTATTGAATAGAGGCCGAATCTATAGTTTTTAGAGTTTTATCTGTCTGTCTGTGACCACATCACGAAAAAACCACTGGACAGATTTTAATGAAATTTGATGGGTATCCGGGTCAACCACAGAAATCTTAATAATAAGGTAATAGAAATGCCATTGCGGTCTTTTAGTACTGGGACGCGTGTCGCCGGCTTGCAGCTACCAACACATTGACAACAATAAATACACACTATCGCCCACACATGCATTTTGCATTGTTGCAACAAAAATTAAACTTTAAGCGATGACATTACGCAATATTTTCTAAAAACGCATAATCTCAGATGGCGTGATCCCTGTGACCAATAATAAACGTGTGCGAAAAGCACAGAATGATATCGCGCGCTCACTTTTAGTGCAGTACAAAGCGCATAATGCTCATATCGATAATTTTCCGTTGAGTCTTGCAACAATAGGTAACTAATTTATTGAAAGTGTTTTGTTTCATTCCTCGACGCGCTTTTAGACGATTTATTTATTTTCATAAAGGGAATACAATAAAACGTTAAATGTAAGTAATTTTTTTTATTATTATATAGTTATACAAAAGTTATGCAAACTATTTGTTAAAATCCATATATATATATATATCCATACATTTTGAACAATGACTTAAAAAAATTTATAGAATTTCTATGTTGTTTATCAAACAACTCGCCCTTAGAATTATTTACTCAATCAAATCAAATCAAAATATTCTTTATTCAAATAGACTTTTACAAGTTCTTTTGAATCGTCATTTTTACATGATTAAACTTTACATTAAATGTCAGTCTGTAAGTCTGTGAGTACGTTACCACCGACTCGGAATGCTGATCTGCTGAGAAGAGCCGGCGAGATACTCAACAGTTGCTCTTTTCAAAAAATATTTGATTACAATATTTATTGCATTACAATATTTATCCATTTATCCTACGTGAGACACAGCAAGACATTAATCCCACGCATTTATATCTTCTAAATATTTAGTAATGGTGTAATAAGCCTTATTCAATAATGTATTTTTAATTTTAGAACTAAATTGATTCAAAGGCAAGCTCAATATGGACTGTGGAATTTTATTATATATGCGTACACCTTGCCCCATAAACGATCTATTTACTTTATGTATTTTGTCTTTTTGGCATTTAAAGCCAGATTATTAATGTTACTGCCCTGAAAATGTAAAAATTTATTTAAAAGTTGTCGTTTTGGGATAAATTGGATAGCATTTTTGGCAAAGTGATTGAGGCGAATATCTATATATTTTTCTAAAACGCATTTCACTAATTGAATGACATGATTATCAATTGGAGACTGGTCATATTGATGAAAATCAATATCTTCAAATATTTTTATCCCAACAAAATGATGCATGGCCTTCGTTACAAATTCACTTTTAAACTTTTTATTTGCTATTAGCTTGTTGTCAAAAACAATACTTTTTAGCAGTACATACTAACAATACTAGTACTACATACATAACAATAATAAGCCTACCTCCTAATAATTTTCTGAATGAAAAAGTAGTTTAAAAGTACGAATTTACAGATAATCGTTGATAAATGACTTTTTATAAATTATTCAGACAGAAAGAAAACATACACAATGAGATGTAACAATTAAATATTTAACGAAAAATATTAAGCCAAACGTAATAAATTTTCGATAAAAAATTGTGGTGGCACGTCACTAATTCGCGGCTAACTTGTGCGGCGTGTCCTTGGAATTTACGTACGCGACAATATTGTTCTTTACGCATGAATATTATTTCATTGCTGCTTTTAGCAGTTGTAATAGTATACATGAACAAGCTTAAGTGGTAATGGTTATTGAATTGAAAAAAAAAAACGTTTTCCTGCGATAATCGTAGTAGTGGTGGTGAAAACATTTGATTTGGCTATATTTCTTAAAAACGACATTATTTCAAAAATTAAGTACTTACATATGAAATGTTATCCCTTTATTTGTAAAGTTACAAATTGTGGAAGAATTTCCGCAGTTGGATATGCTGCAAAACACCATGTTTACCTCTCCGTGTCTCAAATAACACTAGTTACCGCAACAAACGCTTTACACGCGCTTGTGACCTACGAGTCACATGCGCGGCGACAAGGTCACGCGTCTATGCCACTTCTATTAGCTTATTATTAAGATTTTTAGCTTATTATTAAGATTTCTGTGGGGTCAACATATAGGATATATTTTACTGCGGGAAAATATCTCATCTATGAGAAATCTATATAAATATATAATTATAAAAAAGATACATTATTCTCTTTTAATTATTTATATAAGACCTTATTATTATATAATTAAAAAAAAACAAACTGTCACATCACAACATAAAACACAATAAATTGTAAATATGTACTAAAAATATAAAAATATAAATAAAATGGACACCAAGTCTTCCGTGGTCAGGTCTTCATCTAATATAATTTACAAATCAAAAAATAAGAGTTTTAGTTACGATAATGTAAAAAAACGAGGCGTTTTTGTGGAGAGGAACGCTGTGAGCTCTCTTTTAGATGGGAAAGGTATGGATTATGTTTTAATTTTAACAACTGCCTCGGTGGTATAGTGGCTAGCATGTACAGCTGTACACCCGGAGGTCCTGGGTTCGACTCTCGGGTCGGGCTAAGTTTATTTATTGAGTCTTTCTGTATAGTAAGCCTCAGTAACAGCCCGGAGTTGGGAAGTTGGCGGTGTTTGACCCCCGTGCCTCGGAGAGCACGTAAAGACGTCGGTCCTGCGCCTTAACACTCATTGGTCGCTTGAAGTGGTCGTCCCATTAGAGCATGAGAGTGACAGGAATAGAGAGTGCACCTGTGTCAGCACGTATCTCACGTATCACATATCTCCTGCGCAGTTGGCTAGTCTCAATGAGATTGGCCGCCGTGGCCGGAATCGGTAAGGAGAACATCATCATGTTTTAATAGATTATTGACTCAAAATCCTTTTACATATAGAGGATTCCACCCTCTAAGAGTTCTTTTTAGTTAGAGAGCTGAATGCCTAACAGTAACCTAGTCCTACATTTCATACTAATTTGTTGAGCTATTTTTATGTGAATGAGTAACAAGAATCCCTTATATTATTAACTTTATCCAGTATGAATATTAAACAGTAAGTAAATAACATATAGCTAGTATTAAAAATTTCAGATGCAACTAACGTACAGCCTAAGCGAAAAGTGCCTCCACGACCCCGACCTGGTCAGAAAAAGTTTCTGTCATCCGTCCTTACAATCCTATCCAAATCAACTGCCAGTACTCAATATCCTGATGTTAATGAATTTCCTGATAAAACGAGAAAACCTAAACCACGAAGAGTGAAAAATGATAAAATTGAGGCACAAAATGCTAAAATTCGATATAAATCAAGAGTTTTAAATCAAAATGTGGTTAATGATGAAGACTTTGTTATATTACAATCTAAAAAGGATATAGCTCACACAACATCAAATTATTCGGAAACAACAAATATTAGGTGGTCCGATTTAGAGATTTCTGGGAAAGAAAATAGTAAATACAATGAAGTTGTAGAAGGAAAGAAATTTAGCAATAAGGATGAGTCTACAACTGTTACAGAGATGGACAAAAATGACGATAAGATATATAACCTTTTTGTAGATCTATTAGAAACTACTTTTAATATAAATAATGTTCAAACTGAACATGAGAAGCAATTAAAGAAAAACGATTCAAATATCGTCTTAGAAATAAATGAAGAAGTTGCTAAGAAATTAGAAATTAAAAGCAACGTTAAAGAAGAACAACACACAGTTATAAAAGATGAAATAGAGTTAGAGAATGATATTTACTCGGAAATAGAAGATAAACCTATAAATGTTAAGTTATCAGACATTATTCAACCTAAACTAAAAGCGAAATCTTTTGTACACGTCAAAAAAACTAAAACTTTGCAAAAGTCGAAGAGTTTGGAAGCAAAAAAATCATTTGCGAAATCCAAAAAGAAAACTCTATTAAACATATTAAAAGAACAACTGGAAATGGACATAACCTATGAGGAACCACAAAATTTATATGAAGCTTTGAAAGTTCTAGCAAAAAATAAGCATCGATCTGAAAAATGTATTGAATATCATAAAGAAAAATTACCAAAATTTGCTGATAACGATCGTAGCGACACAGAATGCATGTTTAGACAACGAAATTTGTTTCTAAGACCTAAAAGGAAGAAGAAAACAACTAAAGCATCTCCAAAACAAACAGATGTTGATAGATCAAGACCTAAAAAGATTAAAACAAACCTTTTGAAATCTATACCATCGTACAAATCTGTTGAAGTTTACGGCTACAATTATGAGGAACCAGAGGAAGAAGAAGTTTCAAAGCGAAACCTATTTACATATACGTCGCTGTCTGTTAGCGACGTAGATTATTATACTCTGCTTAAATTCCCAGATACATCAAACAGCAATATTTCATATCAACCATCCAAATTTATATATAATAACTAAAATTAAACAAAGACTATATTTTTATAAAATGTCACGATTGCTCATAAATGAATTAGTTTTGAACGTATTTCAATTACATTTCGTAGTTTTTTTTATCCTCGCTTCAAATGGGGGTAGTATAAAAGCAGCTCAAGCTATGTTTTAAAATTTCATATCTTTAATAATATTTTAAATAAAATTATATTTTCGGATTTTTTCCAGGATTTATTTTGATTTTTGGTTTCCGACGTTTCGAATGCTTTACAGCGATCATAGTTATGGGAGAGACTAAAGTTTTAGACGTCACAAAAGTATTTCATCATGTGAACTTTTCTATTTTTTTTTCAATAGCGTTTTCAAGCCTCAGAATCTTTTTCTCATTTCGACCTGATTCTGATTTCTGTGGAGAAGAAAAACATGAGGAAATCTACATGTCTATAAGAATTAAGGACCTAGCAAGTTTCTAAAGACATGCTCAGTCCGCCCGTACTTGGCTAGCGTGGTGGACTATGGCCTAATCCCCGTATAGTAAGGGAGGCCCACCCCCAGCAGTGGGACGTTAAAAGGGCTGAATATATTTAGAGTTTGTAGATTAAGTAAAACTGTTAAAACAGACAAAACCAAAGATTAAAAAATGCATGTGGTTTTATCAAACAGCATTTAACTTTAAGGTCAAGTCGGACGTTACGTCACATATCTACATACACATAATATATGTATGTATATCTATACTAAGTAAAATTGAAAAGTCTGTTTGTAGTGTTAAATTATTTATTGAGACATTAAAAAGGTTTTATAGGTAATACTGGTTTAGATTTACATGAATATTTGGCGTTTTAAATACAACTATCTTTTCGGAGAGTCTTTCCGCGACCATATTTGTTGTAAAGCATTAGAAACGTCGGGACATAAAAATCAAAATAAATCCGCGAAAATACCCGAAAAGATAATTCTATCTATACAGATAAATTGAAGTGTCTGTGTGTAAAGTCAAAATAACAGCTTTTTTATTAAATTCATATGAAATAATATACAGTACTTATAAGAAAAACAAAATATTTTAAAATTTTGCCTGTCTGTTTGCTTGTTCCCGCTAATCTCCGAAACGGCTGGATTAATTTTGACGGGACTTTCACTGACTGACTAATGTTATAAGGAGTAATTGATTTTAGAAAAAGAATTAAGGTTCCGCGCAAAATTAAAATAATAACTTTTTATCCCGAAAAAAATTACGATTTCCGTGGGATAGATTTCTTTTTGTCTAGGGATGAACCCGAAGTAAAACGAGGGTGAGTCGCTACTTTTATTTATAAATGAAAAATGGAGATATCTAAATATAATCAGGGATTTCGCTAATATAGTATTACTTCTTTAATATTTTCTTTATATTTTCCTTTCTGGCAAAGGCCATCAAAACACCACCTCCCGGGGCGCCCCTGGAAATGCATACAGACAAAGCCGCGGGAACTAGCACAGTTTTTTTATTTCAAGTTCAATGTATAAATAGAATTACTTAGAAACTGTACGTACGTTTTGTTGCAACTGTTTTCCGAACTTATGATGTAATCGATAATAAGGAAAATTTGTGTTTACTGCTTCAGGTATTTTTTTAAGGTTTTGGCGAGTTTAATCTATATTTATATACTAGCATTGCCCGCGACTCCGCCCGCGTTCAGATGACCAAAAACCAAATTCTTAGGTTTTACATATTAGTATACTCTTACAATGCACTTTTTGTATTTTTTCTCAGAAATGAGAAATTTTCCTGCGGTAAAAAGTATCTGTGTTGACCCGGATAACCAGCTATCATCATACCAAATTTCATCAAAATCTGTCCAGTGGTTTTCTCGTGATGCGGTAACAGACAGACAGACAAAAATTCTAAAAACTACAGATTCGGACTCTGTATCGATAATGATGTCTATATCAATAAGATTTTCCAAAAAGTATTTAATGTACAGATTCGACTTAGTTAGAATTTTATTAAACGTAGGTACCTATAGATGTATTTAGAGTTTTTAAAATCTTTACTCATAGTAAAAAATCCTAAATTACTTTCGCTTCCTTTAATGGTCTTCTGTGTTATTCAACTTTTGGCATAGACTATGCCCTTTTTGAATGCGAAATTTTATATGTATGTATGTATGTATGTTTGTTTGTTACTCCTTCACGCTACACGGCTGGACGGATTTGGATTAAAATTTAGTACACATAAAGTTAGTAGGCCAGACTATGAGCTAGAGTTACAAATAGGCTAGTTTTAAGCTAGGAACTCACCCAAGTGAAGTGAACGTTAGTTCGCTATTCTATACAGATAAATAAAATTGTAGTGTCTCCTTGTAATGTCGAAATAAAAGATTTTTACTTATAAAAAAAACTCATTTTTTGTCTGTCTGTTTGTTCGAGCGAATCTCAGAAACGGCTAGACCGATTTTGACGGTACTCTCACTGGCAGATAGATGATGCTACAAAGAGTAACTTGGGCTACTTTTATTTAAGAAGAAAGAATTAGGGTTCCGCTTAAAAAATAAAACGTCAATCAATTAAAAACGCAGTACTAATATATAAAATGATAAATAAACTGTTACTGTTAAGTAAGTAGTACAATACACTGCTGTTGTTAGTTCCAAAAACAGCCGCTAGGGAAAACTAAACACGGCAATTCCAACTTAGTAGCTAGCGCCATAATTTTAGCGTGCATTTTTTAGCTTCACTTCTTACTAATATGTCAGCATGATCTCGTAAGTCGATATTAACCTATTTCTATTTGTCATATTGATTTAAAACTTTGTATGTATGTGACATAAGGACGAGAATACCATCCTGATGATGACTATTAGTAAAACCTTTGAATTAGTGCTCTTTGGTTTGTTTTGACGAGTTCTGTACATAATAATTGGGTAATAGCGTTTTTTTAGGGTTCCGTACCCGAGGATGCCAACGGGACCCTATCACTAAGCCTCCGCTCTCCGTCCGTCCGTCTGTTAGAGTGCTGTATCTCATGAACCGCAATAGGTAGACAGTTGAAATTTGCACACACTTTATTTCTATTGCCGCTATAATAACAAATAATAAAAAAAGATGGAGAATTTCAAAGTAACCACCATGCAAGCAAATTAAAAAAAGATATTAGTACATAGTGTTATATCTAGTACGATGGTACGGAACCCTTCGTGTGCGAGTCCGACTCGCACTTGATTAAACTATAACTATATATATTTATTATAAAACTAGGAGTAAAAAAACGGTTATAAAAGAAAAACCCCTAACTGCAGATATGCAAAAAAATAACATAACTATAATTTATTACCGTATTAGTACTACAACAAATTAAAAAAAATATATTTCAATTTTTTTGATTAAATTATCGTTATATTTTTACTAGCAGTTCATGTAAACCTAAGAATTTAGTATTAAGCCATAGGTCATAGGCCTAGAATCTAGTGCTTACATTCGATATAAGATAAGCGAGCCACTAGACCAAAGCATGCACTTAAGGAAGGTCACGACACACTATGTAAACTAATTTACGTATATTATATGTTTGCATATTCATAGTCCAAGAGCTAGCAACGTTTTCGGTCCTTTTAATGGTTAAAATATTTTGGCACTTTATGATAAAACTATTGGCTTACTCTCGCTTTGTTCCTTTTGAGGCTTGATTCAAAAATATCAACTATTCTTTATACTTTTTGGAAAATTTTATTATTAACAGCAGCCTATGTGTTACTTCAGCTCATAATCTATCTGTGTACTAAATTACATACAAATCTGTCCAGCCGTTTCAGCGTGTAGGAGGAACATACATAAGGGCATACAAAATTTTGGATTTAACGGGTTTGACTGCATAAATACTTTTGTCCTTTTCCCTATTTTCATAGAAAGTAAAGTATTTTTATACCACAAATAATGAGTGCTATCCATCGATATACGAAAACTCAAGACATACAATAAGCTTCTCAGTGTCCTTAAAAAGTATCGATATATAATTCGAAATTGTGCGCTTTTTTTCAAATCCCTTTAGTAACTAAAGGGTAAAGGCCCTTTAGTAAAAAAACTAAAGTTTAGTTCAATGCGTTTCAGATAAAAAAATTAAAACGCACGTTGTTTCGTTTAAAAAAGTACTTTAAGTGGTGTGCGTAAGTTCGAGTTTGTGTTTAGACAATTAGAACTTCGATTTCTGAATTTTATTCTTTGGTTTGACTTAACGTCACATGTCGACCCGGATAGTTGATACACATAGAGTATATTGCTACATATAAAAATGGTTGATACACTACACATATATAACTTTAAATACATACATTATTATTATAAATGAACACCCATGACTGGAGTAAAAACTTTTGTGTTCATCACACTAATGAATGCCCCCAGAGGGACTAGAACCCGCGACCGCGGGCACAGCAATTAGGTTCCTCACAAACTAAGCCAAACGAAGGGAACTGTCCAAAGTAAGTACTAAACATGGTAACTATCCCGTTTTACATCATAATAACAACTCAAAATAAGTCGCTGGCTCTGACACTATTAGAAAAATACGTGTATACTTAAGTGATGAATCTTGATCGCAGTTGTTAATGCATTAAGTAACAGAACGCTTTTGTTAGCTGTTTCTATTTCAAAAAAGTGTTGTTTAATATTTGGTGTTTGAACATTAAAAGTAAGTACTTTTTGGTTCATTAGTTTAGTGGAGAAAAAATTTTGCCTCTAAAGGGTAGTATCAATTTAAAAAAAATCTAACTTATGTATATTATAAATTAGCGACTTACACTCGCTTCACTTGATTTTTATGATGCCAATGTTTTTACAAAAATAAAAGCCACTTTAGTTACTCCTTATAACATAAGCTATCTACCAGTGAAAGTCCCGTCAAAATCGGTCCAGCCGTTTCGAAGATTAGCTGGAACAAACAGACAGACAAAATTTTTAAAAATTGTGTTTTTCTTATAAGTACCGTATATAACTTCATATGCATTTAGTAAAACGCTTACGAATAAACTCTTCAATTTTATTTATCTGTATAGATAACTAATAACTAGTTTTTACCTGTGGTTTCACCTTTATAGTAAGCCGAGAGGATAAAAGAGGGATAAAAGGCAGCCGTCCCAAGAATCTATATCCTCGCTAAATATCATCAAAATCGGTTCAGTGGTTTAGGAGTGAAAAGGTACATTTTCTTCCTCAATAAATAGCCTAAAAAATTATATAGGTATTTCTATCCATTAGTGTTTTCAAACAAAATGCACAAAATTTTTTAGATGATACGTTAGAAGTAGGTTAAAATTGAATTCCAAAACTTGTTTATGTGCTTAGTTACATTGTTCTTTACATATTACATATATGTAAGAAAAAGCGTATTTTACCTTGGCCCGTGTGACTCTCAGTGTTCAGTGGCTAGTATGTACGACTGCATCCGGAGGTCCTGAGTTCAAGTCCTGGGTCGGGACAAGTTTAGTTATTGGGTTTTCTGTTAAGAAAGTCCCAGGCAGTAGCAGCTCGGAGTTGAGAAGTTGGCGGTGTTTCACCCCCGTGCCTCAGAGAGCATGTAAAGCCGTCGGTGCTGTGCCTGATCGGTCTGTCGACCCACAGGAGTTTGAGAGTGACAGGAAAAGAGAGTGCACTTGTGTTCTATAATATCTTCTGCGTAGTTAGCTAATTTCAGTGAGATTGGCCACCGTGTCTGAAATCGGTGAGAACGGCATTATTTATTATTGAAAATTTGTGAGTATGGATGTATGTTTGATACTCTTTCACGACAGAACGGCTGAACGGATCTGGATGAAATTTGGCACAGAGATAGATTATTGTCTGAAATAACATATAGGCTATTTTTGTCCGGGAAAAATGGACCGTGGGATAGGTTTGTTTTTGTCTTCCTGTAGGCGAACCCGAGCGAAGCGAGGGTGAGCTGCTGGTGCATTGTACGACCACTAAGTACATTATCCCAACTACAATATCTATACATATAATAAAATTGTAACCAAGCCGAATCTGTACATTAGATATTTTTTCGAAAATCTTATTGAAATAAACATTATTATCGATGCAGAAGCCGTATCTATGGTTTTTAGAATTTTTGTCTGTCTGTCTGTTACCGCATTACAGAAAAACTACAGGAGAGATTTTGATGAAATTTGGTTTGGTGATAGCTGGTTATCCGGGTCAACATATAGGATACTTTTTACCGCGGGAAATTATCTCATTTCTGAGAAAAAGTACAAAAACTGCAATGTAAGGGTATACTAATAAGTAAAACCTAAGAATTTGGTTTTTGGTCATCTAAACGCGGGCGGAGCCGCGGGCAATGCTAGTCTATATATAAATAGGTAAAGACAAAACAGTTCAGTACCTTTTCCTCTTCTGCTTGTCAAACGATTTTCTTTTTCGTTTGTTTAGTAGCTATTGATGAGCTTTAGTGTTACCAATAAAAACAATTGGAAGCAGTTTTCTTTTATATAGATAGGTAATTCTATTTATATTTATACTAACAGAATGCGTGGCTTCGCTTGCGCTAAAAGTACAAAAAAACTAAAAAGGTACTTTTCAAACTTTCATCCCCTATTTTACCCCCTTATAAGATGAATTTCGAAAAATGCTAAAACATGCATTTATTTAAGTATATTGAAGAGCATTAATACCGAGTTTTAAGTAATTCTGATTATGAATGTTTTTTCGGTTTGTATTATTAAGTTTTCCCGTGGGAATTAGATAATCTCCAGATAAAAAGTAGCCTGTGTCACTCTCCAGCCCTCCAACTATCTCCACACAAAAAATCACGCCTAAATACGTCACTCTGTCTCGACGTGAAAGAAGGACAAAGAAATAAACAAACAAACAAACACACTTTCACGTTTATAATATTAGTATGTATGTTTTTTTCAAATTTTTAAAAATGACCATAAGGTCCAATTTCGAACACTGGGTGAACACTAGATATTTATGTATAGTTCATCAAAGCGATCTTGATCGATCTCTTAATATAGTGGGTAAGAAGAAAATTCAATTATTAAAATACCCTACAAAAATAGTACAAACTGGCACGCTTTGAAGCCATTGGCAAGAGAATTGAATTGTGTTGAAGTAAAAACGTATAATAATATCTCAAGTGAAACTAGAACATTTTAAGTGTGTGAAAAAATATATGTGTGTATCAGTTTGTTACGTATACGATGCTGTGCTGATCTGAATGCTATGAAACTTTGGTAAGTTATTGTGAAGGCGTAAAAGATTCTGCACTTGTACTTGTGCAAAATTAGATTCAGATTTATCTATACAGATAAATAAAATTGAAGTGTCTGTGTGTAATGTAAAAATAACAGCTTTTTACTAATTCGGAGGGCGGGAAAAAATATTTCATTACGTTTCGAAAAAAAATTTTTTTATTTTACAAAAAAATAAAAAAAGATTAACTACCAGGTACATTTTTCGAAAAATTGATATCATTTGTAAATTAATTTTGTGCATTTTTCAAAAAAATTATAATAAAAAAAAATTAACTTCATCGAAATTTTACCCATTTTATGCAAAATTTCGATAATTGGGCGGCATTTTTTAATATGCCCAGGGGCGGCGCTAAGGTTAAATCCGGCATTGGATGTTCCATCAAACAGACAAAGTTTGACCGTCTCTATATAAATACATATTTTTAGGGTTTCGTACATGTGAAGTAATAGAATATAATAGGATAACTCGCTGTTTGCCCTTCTGTGACAACTCATCCAAATCTAATGGCGGAAATTTATAAAAGAAAGTATCTTTTAGGATTTTACATGGCGACATCGGGAACAAAAATCTATCTATACATATAATAAAATTCTAACAGAGTCAAATCTGTACATTAAATATATTTTGGAAAATCTTATTGAAATAGTCATTTAGTGTCGGTACAGAGGCCGAATCTATAGTTTTTAGAATTTTTGTCTGTCTGTCTGAGAAAACCACTGGACAGATTTTGATGAAATTTGGTATGATCAACATATAGGATATATTTTACTGCGGAAAAAAATCTCATCTCTGAGAAATCTATACTAAGTGCTCAAACGTAACTAGGGACGAACCCGAGCGGAGCGAGGTTGAGTCGCATATACAAAATAAAACAGCTACAAAAACCGAAAAAATAATTTCTTTATGATGTCAAAATTCGAGTAAAATATTTCGCTAATTTACCTACTATTTATTATTAGTTTTAAAACAGAAAATTCCTCGTCCTTGACTTTATTTGAAGTACTAAGTAACTAATATTTAAAACCAATATGAACATTGGGTTTTACATATATGTATTATGTACATATTACATGCTTATATTGGCCAAGTAAGAGTTGGCCTTGCCTTGAAGGGCCCAATACCTTTTCCAAAATTTTACGTCATTTTTATTATAACCTGTGCGATTTAAAACTATATAAAAAAATATTTATAAATAAAACTATTTTCCATCGATTAAAAAATTACCACATACACAATCCCATGAAAAAGTTCTCTTAAAACTGTCACCGATTGTGTTTAGGTAATTATTCTAGTTGAAATAAATATACAACAATGTAAATTTAACCTTAAACCTAATTCTTAAAGTTGTTTTCTAATAGTTTCTGATAGTGTATCTAGTACTTTTTCGATCGATGATGTTTTCTTTTTTTTTTGACGCAGATTTATTTTGATTTTTGGTTTCCGACGTTTCGAATGCTTTACAGCAATCATGGTCACGGGAGAGAGCATCGATCCCGTGATCATGATTGTTGAGAATCACCATGTTATTAGAGGATAGAACAGCCCCACATGGAGTATTCTCTCTCAGATATAGAGTTATCTATACTTATAATAAAATTGTAACTGAGTCGAATCTGTAGTTTTTAGAATTTTCATCTGTCTGTCTGTCGGTGACCACATCACGTGAGAACTAAGTGGAGGGATTTTGAAGAAATATGGTGGCTGGTTATCCGGGTCAACATAATAATAGGATACATTTTACTGCGGGAAAATTTCTGATCTCTGAGAAATCTATACAAAACTTTAAAACGTAGGTAGGAACGGATCCGAGCGGGGCGAGGGTGAGTTTCTAGTAAAATATATAAGTGTATGAATAAATATTTTGCTTTGACCGATTTCATTAAAGGGTGTATGTGTAGTATAATGGGTTCGAGTGTATATTTTATTGTATATCGTTACAGGATTTCTTCTAAGAAATTAACATTATTTACAGATCAAGATGCTGTTAAGATGTTTGTATGCCGCTCTCTTCATATGCACAGTGACGTCACAAGTTCGAAGACTGGGAAAATTTAAGGAAGTGTTCGCGTGGAAACAAATGACGTACGATATTAATGGGAATATATGTAAGTTTATTATTTGGCATGGAATTGAATTGAATTCTACTATAATTGAATGGAACTAAAGTAAATTCAATATATGGGAAGTACTTTGTAACATTAACCAACAAAGTCTAACTCTACGGTCAGTTTTTTCCTACTTTAATTAAAATTATTATGATTTTTGATTGTGAAAACATTTTTACCGGAATAAAACTATAGCATGTACTTGAACTGTAGCTTGTCACCAAAAATTTGCTCGGGCTCTTTCGTCGTGTATGTTAATATGTTTTATGGTTTAAAATATATATTTTGCTCTTGAAAAAGTGTAAGGAATTCACCACATAAGTAGATCGGGATCTCCTATTATGAGGCGGCCGCCTCTTTGCATCATAGCACCGCATGGCCCTGAAACAACAGGCTAATAACGTCATATAGACTAGACCTGTTTATAATTTATTTATAAATTAATGCGCTTCTAAGAATAATCGACTAAATCGTGATATGAACATCCTTCAATAAGTTGCATGATATGATAGCATTAGCTATAGTCATCTACATATACAGATAGATGAAATAGAAGTATGGTTTTTACCAAATGTATATGATATTATATACGGTAATTATAAGAAAAACACAATTTTTAAAGTTTTTGTCTGTCTGTCTGTTCCGGCTTATCTCCGAAACGGCTGGACTAATTTTGAAGAGACTTTCACTGGCAGATAGCTGATGTTATAAGAAGGCTACTTTTATTTTTGAAAAAGAATTAAGGTTCAGTGCAAAAAAATTAAAACGCACCTAGGGACTGATCTATACTAAATGAAAACTACCAATCAGTTATTTTTTATTTTTTAGTGTTTTTTTAAGTCAGTTTTGATTTATTTTTAAGTTTTTTTAACACTATAACTTTTATCTAAAGCAAATTATGTTTGATTCCAAATCTCCAAAGATACTTGATTCTATAAATTTAAATACTCGTATGATAAAATTCTGAGTCGAATCTGTACATTAAATATATTTTTTGACAATCTTATTGAAATAGTCATTATTAATGATACTGAGGCCGAAGCTTTTAGAATTTTTGTCTCTCTGTCTGGGAACGCATCACGAGAAAACCACTGCACAGATTTTGACGAAATTCGCTATGATGATAGCTGGTAATTCGGGTCAACAATTATAGGATACATTTTACTGCGGGAAAATATTTCATCTCTGAGAAATCAATACTAAATGTTAAAACGTAACTACGGACGAACCCGAGTGGAGCGAGGGTGAGTTGCTAGTCTTATATAAAGCTAGATTGAATGTTGTTGTCAAGAAACTAAAATGCATTAGATCTTGACTGGCAACCGCAACTCGCAAGGTCACATGATTTTCGGTTCGGAAGAATTCATCTACAAAAAATATGGTAAAAACGCTATTATACTTGTGATAATTCAAAAATAATCACTTCTGTTCAATGAAAATCTTTGTATCTACACTAGTTCTTGCCTGCGGCTTTGACTAATTTTTAACTAAGATTGTTTTTTTTTATATATTAGGTAAATTGAAGTGAAATGAACACTTGGTGTATGGGATGAATAAAATATTATATACTAGGTTTAAAGTTTAGTATAGATTTCTCAAAGATGAGATGTTTTCCCGCAGTAAAATGTATCCTATATGTTGACCCGGATAACCAGCTATCATCATATCAAATTTCATCAAAATCTGTCCAATGTTTTTCTCGCAAGCGGTCACAGACAGACAAATAGACAGACTGACAGACAGACCAAAATTCTATAAACTATATATTCGGCCTCTATATCCTAGATATTGTAAAAGCCGTGATTTTTTTTGTGAAAGCTTATACGTCAAAGGACTACCCAAATTTTTTTTCTAAATAGTATATTTTTTTAGAACCATTTTATTTTTACAAAATTATATTTTTTTGTTAAATTATAACTTTTAAAAAGAAAATCGACTCCTAAAGGCGAAAAATTCGCTTTTGAATGATTTTGCTGTAAATTTTAGTAAAAAGTGCCTAATTCTGCAAGATAACATTTTAAAATTATTCTCTTTCAGTACTTCAAGATAGATTTGGAGAAGACTTCGAAGGTCGTGAAAGAAGATCTGCTGATAATATTGTGTTTGAAAACGACCCTGATGATGTTAGAGACTGGAATTTATTAAGTAAGGGCTTCAAAGTTTTTCGATCAAGTTCAAAAAATCGATCGATCGATTTTGTGATATTTTTTTATATTTTTTGATTTAAAATAAATGTTTCGGGAAGAGAGTCGTGATGGGTTAAAAAGGTTGTTAAATGTAAAAGAATATTTCAGTTTGTAAAGCGTTTATGTGGTAGTTAGTGTTTAAACAGAAATCAAGCCAAAAAACATCTTGAGGTTTATAATCTTATATATAAATAAAAATGAATATTCGTATGTATGTCCGCTACGCGTTCCTAAACTGATGAAACGTGATGAAACTCTGGTGGGTTATTCTGTAAGTTCCTAGTCTAAAAAAAACACAATCTTTGGATGTTTGTCTTTTATGCCTTCCTATATACAATTTGAGAGACGCACCCGATTAAAGCGAGGGTGAGTAGTAGCGACTTACCCTATATGTATAATATACATTATATTCAAATTTTTGAAGTCAAACTTCTTTAGAATCGTTGTGATTTGATACTCGATGAAACGAAAATGCGACATAAAAAAGAGACAAACACATAAATATATAGGATTGGGCGGTGAGAGAATGAGATAGAATACATTGCCTGTCGCCATGGTAACCGTCATTATTGTATGACAAATATATAATATTATAATCTTTCCGTATACGATATTCTATAAATATATGATTGTAATATGCCTTATTTAATTATTGATTTATTTTAATTTAATTGCAATTTTTGCCAAACAACTTTTTCTTTAACCAACACTTCAAAGGTTACACGCACCCATTTTTTTCTTCAGGACCTCCAAATGACAATGCAAAGCCGAGTGATCCAAGTATACCAGATCCTACCGGTATGCTATCTTCGTATAATTAAAAGAATATATTTGGTTTTGCGTCAATGAAAGTTTTGCACATAGTATCATTAATGTATGATGACGCGCGAGCCGTAACGTAATAATTTGTACTATATTAGTCTCACAATCATCGATCAAAAAACGTCCTCACCAAATGAGCGCTCATACGAACATTTGAGCGCGCTTTTAATTTTTATTATGTGAAAATAACTTTAAGCATTGCATTTAAGGTTCAATTTACATTGTTGTATATTTATTTCAGCTGGAATAATAATCTTAACACAATTGGTGACAGTTTTAAGAAAACTTTTGCATGAGATTTAGTCTAAGAGGAATCAGGTACCGAAAACTATTCTACCTCATATTTTTTTATGCGATCCTCTTCAAATGTATCTCTACTGATGTTATAATAGCATGTTGCCATGGGGCAACCCCGTGCCATATCGTTTAAACCGAAATTGTTTAAACAATTGCAAGGAATTGCTATTTTATAACCGGACAATTTTTTTTTATATTCTTTATTGAAATACACATAAAAAAGGTCCAATGACTTTTTCGCGATAAGGTTTTAGAGATATGAATTTTTAAAGGTTCTAAAGATCTCAAATTTGGGTACTTTTGACCCATGAAAAATATATTAAAAAAATAAATAAAATATATATAATATTTTTAACATTAAATTCAACTGTCAGTTTGTTTAACTGTCAGTAAGACTAACTGTCAGTTTTATTAACAGCTAGTAAAATTCACTGTCAGTTAATTTAACTGATAGTATATCCTCCAGTTAGTTTAAATGTCAGTAAGTTTAACTATCAGTTATATTAACAGTAAGTTAGATTAAAATTGAAGTGGAATAGTTTTCGGTACTCATGCGCCGTTTCCTCCTGGACTAATTGTGTTCAGTACTTTTTGGATCGATGCTTACAATATATACATTTCGTAAATTATTTATTTACTTGTACGTACTTGTGTATGTGTAAAATGTGAATGTTTGTATGTTTATTGTTTTGTTTCATATATCTATTTTCCTTACATCAAGTCAGATATGTTAATAAATTTGATAAAATATCATCACCGATCAATGCAAAGAATTTGTTTTTCTTGCAGATGAAACAGGAAGATTTTTTGTTCAATACAACAATCTTCCAATGGGAGTTGAGAGAGTTGGGGGAAAGTTGTTCATAACTGTACCTCGAAGACGACATGGTGAGGATTTCTTAGGGAATATTCTGTAATTTTAATTTTAAAACGCAAATCATGTGTGTTCAATCTTTTAACTTTCTTAGATTTACGCGAATATTTGACGTTTTAAATAAAACTATCTTTTCCGATTTTTTCGCGGATTTATTTTGATGTTTGGTTCCCGATGTTTCGAATGCTTTACAGCGCACATAGCTCGTATCACATAAGCAATCCCCTTAAAAACACAAAACATATATATGTACAATACGGAAAATGTTATTTCTCTTTAAATATTTGACGATAAAGAATTTGGGGTATTTAGAAATTTTTATAAGAATTCTTCAAAAAATGATGTACCAAAAATTAAATTTACAGGAATACCATCTACACTCAACTATATAAACCTCAAAGAAGCAAATTCCAGATCCCCATCTTTAAAACCATATCCCAATATTCGGGACGCAAGATCTCTGACTTCAGTGTACAGAACTCGAGCAGATGAGTGCGGGAGGCTGTGGATGGTTGATACTGGGTTGTTGGAAATACCAGGTAAATTATCCGGGATCTATTAAAGATAAATTCTGAACTTTTAAAAAATATAGCAAAGAAAGCAATAATGTAATGAAATAAATAATAATGTAGCATCGGTTATGGACAATTTGACATTCTACAATATCTACTGCAAAAATAAAAAATAGGATAGATGGAAATGATGGAATAAAAAAATCTAAGTGTCACATGATCAGAATATGTAATTCCCATTTAGTTACATAATAGACTAGCAGTATCCGCGGCTTCGACCGCGTTCAAACTTCCGATAGCTACCAAACTTCATAGGATCATTCATATCCTGGAAAATTTCATCAAAATCGCTCCAGCCATTTTAGAGTCCATAGGGAATATACATAGACACATCGATTTTTATATACATATATAGACTACATACTTATTCATGATTCAATCATGGTGGATTGCATCTTCGTCCCGATTACCGTAGGAAAAAGTTGTTCCCATGTTCTTGCCAAATATCAAAATCTGCTCAACGGTGAACACAATAAACAGACAGTTACTTTCAAAGTAATATTAGATTAGATTAATCCATACAGTCGTCAAACGAAGGTGTCTAGACTAGGTTATCGTGATAGCACAATAGTGCTGCGAAATTGTTCTCCATAAAAATGGATATGATTTTGGCAAAACAATAACAGTCAATAGACGATCGACTAATGTATTATTTTTTATTATAGACCTATGTCTATAATAAAAATAAAGAGTTGACTGAGAGTTTTTTTGCCAGCCGTTAGCTAAAAATGGCGGAAAGGCGCGACAGAGACAAAACGAATGTGCGGCCAGAAGTTTTAAATTTACAGGAATACCATCTACACTACGAAATACGATTAATGAAGATAGATATTTATAGCCATTTTAAATTCCATTTATAAATTCAAATTGGAATAAAAGAAATTTATGGCCGCACGGTCGCTTTCTCTATTTCGTAATATTGTTATATACATATATCGTTGTATTGTTTAATACATTCTCTACGTCTAACTTTTATACTATTAAGTTAGTATGGACAATAATATGTACTTAAATCTTACCCAGACAACCCCCAGCAAGTCCAACAACCAGCTATAGTCATCTTCGATTTGAACAGAAACAGACAAATAATGCGATATCCACTCAAGAATTCTGACTTACCCGCCGCTAACACTCCTACAGGTAATTAATTATACATTTATTTTATCGGAGGACTGCCTCGGTGGTCTATTGGCTAGCATATATACGGCCGCAGATCCGGAGGTCCTGGGTTCGACTCGCGGGTCGGGCCAAGTTCAGTCAATAATTGAAAAAAAGGACCAAGATGGCGAGCTTCAAAATGGCTGCCATACAAATTAGAAATGAAAAGTTTATAGAGTTATATCTTGTACAATGGTACGGAACCCTTCGTGTGCGAGTCCCACTCGCACTTAGCCGACTTTATGATACTTAACACCTAGTATCCATATTTTTTTTTAAATTGCTAAATAACAAAAAAGATTTCTTTTTTGAATAATTAGTTTTTCTATAATTCAAATTACCTATAACAATAATGTTTAAAACAATTGAAATAATTTTAAATAAAACAATTTCAAAATTTTAATAAGTATACAATTTATTATAAAAAGGCTAAAAATTAAAATTAACAAATATTATAATGTGCTTTGGTGCTCAATCATCATTCATTTTCAACCGACTTCAAAAAGGAGGAGGTTCTCAATTCGACTGTATGTTTTTTTTTTGTTTTTTTTTTTTTTGTTTTTATTTCATCATCGTTTTGTAATTTTGTAGGTAGATTGGCTGTAATCTTAATGTAAATGTTAATGACCTTTGAGACGTCTAAAACCTTAGTCTCTCCCGTGACCATGTGCGCTGTAAAGCATTCGAAACGTCGGGAACCAAAAATAAAAATAAATTCGCGAAAAAATCCAAAAAAGCGAGTTTTATTTAAAATGTCAAATATTCGCGTAAATCTAAGATAGTATTTCAAACTCCATTTATTTCAGGCTTAGCTTCAATAACTATAGATATAAATGGCGACTGTGGAGACGCATACGCTTATGTCCCAGACTTGACCACTTTTGGGATCATAGTTTACTCTTTAAAGGATAACAATAGCTGGAGGCACAACCACGTCTACTTCCACTTCAATCCAACTGCTTCTAATCTACATATTGCTGGTAAGAAAATCATTTTAATATAATTTTCACAGATCAAACTTACATAAGATTAGCGAATGACGACACGAGAAGTATAACTTCTTACGTGCGTACATAAGTACACACATGACACACAATTTTTTTTTTAAATTTAATATCTTGTTTCTTATATTAATGCACTTTCATTCGGTTTATTCAAAATCTATTTAAATTGGCATCTATTCGAATTTCACCAGGTCAAACCTTCCAATGGAGTGACGGCATCTTCAGCATCACTCTGACCGAGCCAGGATATGATGGGTGCAGAACAGCCTACTTCCACCCAATGATCAGCACTCAGGAGTTCTCCATATCCACTTGCGTTTTGAAAAACAATACCATTAGTTCTAACAGCAATTACTTTAGTTATTACTCTGTAAGTGATTTTTGTCTCATTTGTGTATTTCTACCAATCATTGTAAAAACTATTAAATAAAACCATCTTTTCGGATTTTTTCGCGAATTTATTTTGATTTTTTTTCCCCGACGTTTCGAATGCTTTACAGCAAACATGGTCACGGGAGAGACTAAAAATCCGAAAAGATAGTTTTATTTAAAATGTTAAATATTCGCGTAAACCTAAGAAAGTAAAAACGTATTATCTACTAAACCTGATTTCAACCAAACATTGCTTAGCGAGAATTTACGTTTAAACGGGGAAAAAGTATTAAATAATAAAAAAAATATTATTAAAAGTACAAACCACTAATCGATTTTTACGAGATAAACAAACAAACAAAAAAACTAAACAACTTCTACAATTTTAGTCTTAATACTAGCATCAATTAAAAAGCCAAAATATAATATAAATATCCAATTATTTTTCCCAGATAGTTGGCGAGCGCGGAGTCAACTCACAGTCCACCATGCACGCGTTTGATACAAAAACTCGAGTTGTTTTCTTCGCGGAGATCGGCCGAGATGCTATCTCTTGTTGGAATTCTGGCAGAATGCTGAATCCCACTAATGTTGCTATACTCGCTAATGACAGCGTGAGAATGAGTTATCCAGCAGGTTTGTACATAGGGGAGAGGGGGGCAGTTTAGTACAGAGGCAGTTTTGAATTGTTTGTTTTATGAACGGATCCTTTATCATTCCTAACCTCTGAAACCATTTTAATACTGGTAAAACCGACCTACACATCTGTCAATTTCCAGCTAACGTCAATGTCAGTGTAGTTTTGAATATCATTCGCCGGTTTGTTTACGAAGATCAGAGTAAATAAATATTTTTTTATTTGTAAGCAAATTACTGAAAAGGTAAGTATTATTTTCAAGTTATTATTATTTTATTGCGTTATATATATTATATCCCGAGTATTACAAATGAAAATTAATTTGAACTCAAGTAAGTTTTTCGTTCAGAGATGTTTATTTATGCAAAATGGTGTTGAGGTAGATTTGAACAAAATTGCTGGGGCACTTTTGAATAAAATGTTCAAAGGTACCTAACCAAGTAAATATCATGAGATTTCTAAATATTTTAATTGATTTCTTGTTTCAGTCATCATGGTTAGAAATTACAAAAAGAGAAAAGAAAATTCTGTGAATGAAGACGATGCTTAAAGAGCTGTATTATGTGTTGTCAACAATGGCATGAAGCTGAAAACTGCTGCTGCTATATATAACATAAAACCAACTACTTTATACAACAGAGTTAAAATTTAAAAGAGAATATTACTCTAAAAAGTAAAGAATAGTAGCAAACACACAGTTTATCAAGTTTTTACAAATGATGAGGAATATATGCTGGAAAAGTATTTCTTAAGAATGTCTAAAATGAACTACGGCTTGACCTACGTGCAAGCGAGAGAGAGAATTGGCATACCAATATGCTAATGTCTTAGAAAAGTGCTCTGAGACGTGAATAAACAATAAGATTATTGTGTTGAACGGATGCGAGTATTGAATGGATGAAAGGATTTATGAAGAGGCATTAATTTTATCATTATGAAAACCCGGAAAGACAAGCTTTTCTAGACAACAGACATAACGTTATGATGTTTTATAATAACTATGAAAAAGTACGAGAAAATTTTACTCCAGCTCGCATTTATAACTTGGACGTATATGTACGTTCCTAAGTCTCTTATGTTATATTTTTAAGATAGGATTCATAAAGGTACCTTTATGAGATTGTTTTGCAATATTGATATTGATCTCTTTTATAACTTGTAAGTTAGTTTAATCTTGTTCAAGATTGCCCCAGACTGTTTAGTTCTTTATACAATTTATTTAAGTAATAACTAGTGTAGGTATAAATGGCTATGTTCAATGAATAAAATGTAAGATGCAAATAACTTAAATATAGTCTTAATTATATTCTTAGATACGTGGTTTTTATTTTATCCTGGTTTTACAATACTGCCCCTAGCGGTTTCAAATGTGCCTCGCGGATGGGGCAGATTTGAAGAAAATATGGTTTTTTAAAAATGGAAATTGCGTTAATTTGATGGGTCAAAATAAATAAATATAATTTTTATTATTTAGTATAAGCCCCATATCTATTTATAAAATATAATACATTTTAATTTATAATACCATATGGGAAATATAATTTAATAACTAAAAAGTGTTCAAAGGTGCCCCCCTCTCCCCTACTATTTTTTTTTATTTATTTATTTGTAAAAAGCACACTTACAACATACTTAAGAAACATTTTCAATTTAATTAATGTAATAATAAATAATAATATACCTTATATGTATGTCAGTTATAAGTGTACATAGCATTTAAATATTCATGTATTAAAAGTACAAAAATTAAAAAAATATATATTATTATAGATAAATGTCATAATACAAAAGAAATTGATAGTAATATATAATAATAAGAAGTAAAATTAAAATCATCATTATAAACAAAAAAAAATTACAATAATTAACATTAACAATCATGCATTTTATAATAATTAAATAACCGAAATAATAGCAACTATTTCGGTTATTATCAACATGATTCATTGTGTCAATTTTTAGGGTTCCGAACCTCAAAAGGAAAATGGAACCCTTATAGGATTAGAAAGGGCTGAAAACCCTATGAACACTTTACCCGTGTGACGACACGTTTGGCTCAGTTGTAGTGTGTAGTGACCCTTGCTGTACTAGCGGTCGCGGGTTCGAGTAGTATTCGAGTGAGTGTAGTGTATCAATTATCTGGTATCCATAACACGAGCCTCGTAACTTAATATGGAACTAGATGGTGCTGTGTGTTAATGTACCAATATATTTATTTATATTTATTATACCCATTTTAGTCCAGCCGTAGCCTGATACGAATAAGGTTTTTCCTAACCAAGCTCCAGATCAGCTCCCAGAGATTACCGATGCATATAATCATTTGTAAATTTATTAGTCTAAAGGTACTAAAATATGCCTATTAGTTAATTAATATAACAGCAATATGACCAGTTCCATTCCCGCTTGAGACATACCTACATCTATACAGATAAATAAAATTCAAGTGTCTGTGTGTAATGTCAAAATAACAGCATTTTACTAAACGCATATGAAATTATACAAGGTACTTAATAGTCAATAAGAAAAACAAAATATTAAAAAAAATTGTCGGTCTGTCTGTTCCGGCTAATCTCTGGAACGGCTGGACTGATTTTGACGGGACTTTTACTGGCGGATAGCTGATGTTATAAGGAGTGACTTAGGCTACTTTATTTATAGAAAAAGAATTAGGGTTCCGATCAAAAAAATAAAACGTACATAATAAGCCTATTAGTTATTTGTATTACAGCAATATGACCAGTTCGATTACCGCTTGAGACATACGAGTACTTACTATGTCTAGAAGTATGAAACCGGAATTTTTTTGTAAAAATTACAAGTCTGTTGTTTGAAAATGATAAGAAATGTTTTATTCGAAATAATTTCCATTGCTATGTATACATTTTTCCCACCTCTCCGCCAATTCATGAATGCCACGCTAAAAAAACAGTTCTTCTTTTGAAACGAATCAGTTATTGATCCGTTTTCGCACATTTTCATACGAATTGAAACGTCGTTCAGCGAGAGTGTGTTCCAGTGATACGAATAGATCATAATCGGACGGAGCCAAGCCTGGAGAATTAGCCGCATGCGCTAGAATTTCCCAACTGAACACCTCGATCGTTTCCCTGGTCCGTTTTGCTGTGTGTGATGGGGCATTATCATGAAGCAAAATGACGTTGTGTTGTCTTGTTTCATATTCCGGTCGTTATTCACGTAATGCTCGATTTAAATCGATCATTTGCTTTTGGTAGCGATCAGTGTTAACGGTTTTCCCAGGATTTCACAGCTCATGATAGATTATACCCTTCTGATCCCACCAAACACAGAGCATCGTCTTCTTTCCAAAGCGAGTTAGTCCTGCAGTGGATGTCGATGGTTCGCCTGAATTCACCTAAGATTTATGACGCTTAGGATTCTCGAAATATATCCATTTTTCATCATCTGTTACGATTCGATGGAGAAATGACTTTCTTTTGTACCTGTCGAGCAGAATTTCACAAGTGGTTTTTCAATTTTCTTGCTGCTTTTCATTCAGCTCATGGGGAACCCATTTTTTCACTTTCTGAATCTTTTCCATAGCTTTTAAATGAATGAATACAGCTTTCTGCGTCACATTCAATTGATCCGCGAGTTCTTGTTGAGTTTGAGTATCATCTTCATTCAATAAAGCTTGCAATTTGTTGTCTGCGAAATTTTTCGTTGGTTTTCCACTGTTTTCGTTTCTCAGGTCAAAATCACTACTTTTGAATTTTTGAACCACTCAAAACACTGCGTTATACTAAGAGCATGTTCACTGTAAGCTTCCACAAGCATTCGATGCGACTCTGCGGCAGTTTTCTTTAAATAATAACAGAAGACCAATGCTGTCCGCAAATCGTAGTTCGTAGGCACAAAACTCGACATGTTTAAGGTTATAGAAAAATATAACGGTGTATGAAACTGGGGTTGTTGTGTATTTAAAATCTTCGTCAGGTGTTAGAAGGTGATGATGGTGCTGCAGAAGCGGTCTTACGGTCCTTAAACTGATGACTAGTATCATCTGTAGGGAAATTCCGGTTTCATACTTCTACACCTATGTATATAAAACTATTATATTGTTTCAGATCTGCATATAACAGACGATGAAGTATGGGTTTTGACGAACACTTTACCTAGGTTTGGTTATTCGAAGCTCGACACTAACGAATACAACTTTTACGTTTACAGGTGAGATATTTATAAGTGTATCATCTCATTATCCCGCGGGAACCCTTTCTTTCAACAGAAAAAAGCATCGTTTTCAATATAGGATTAGGCGCCAGAAATTATATCTACAGGTACTAATATTATAAATGTGAAAGTTTGTTTGTTTGTTTGTCCATCTTTCGCGTCGAAATAGTGTGAGAGATTGAGAGAGGGATGGAGAGTGATATAGGATACTTTTTACCTTTTTTAAATTAATTAAGGCGACTGAAAACTAAGTCGATTATACTGAACTATTTTCCATGCTCCCATATATACCAATTTTTATGGAAATCGATTTCATCTTAGCTCCATCTAGTGAGGAATTACATCAAAATGGATAGCATGAAAACCTCCATCTAAAAACCTTTTGAGTGTGATGATTTCAAAGCACAAAAATCTTCATCCCCCTGTTTACTCACTTAAGGGATGATTTCCAGGATAAAAACTATCCTAAATCCTTACCAGGTTCTCAAATTATCTTAATTCATTTAGATCGTTTCAGTGGATTTTTAGTTTATCCATTACAAACATACAAACATATAAAAAATGATTTTTTATTCGCTTTATGATAGAACTATAGATATTGACGAGATATACAAACGTATTTGAACATTTTTTTTATATATTTTCAGAGGTAAAGTGCAAGAACTGGTTGCTGGTACAGTCTGTTCTCCAACGTTCTACGGTTGAAACTAACAAATCGGACAAGTGCGAGTATTACGTGACTTGCGAGGGCTCCATACATACTGAAATGACCGTTTAACTAAAAATGTACACCGATTTCGAAATAAAAAAATATATATTAAGTTAATTACATATACAAATTAAATATAAGGTATTCAGCCCTTTTTAATGTCCCACTGCTGGGCGTGGGCCTTCTCACGTGGGGGGATAAAAATGTACTGGTTTAACGTAATCACAATATGCTTAATCAATTAAACGTAACAAACAAATAAACAAACAATAGGAGAAATCTATACTAATATTATAGAGACAAAGTTTGTTTGTTTGTTTGAACGCGCTAATCTCAGGAACTACTAATCCGATTTGAAATATTCTTTTTGCATTAGACAGCCAGTTTATTGAGAAAGGCTAAAGGCTATATATCATATAATATAGTCTATCTATTCCAAACTAACCGTTAAAACGTACATAGGGACGAACCTGTTGCTCGTTTTATTATACTTGTATATCCTAAATGTTGACGCGAGTAATAGGTAAGTTTCACTACAAAAAGTTTGGTTAAAATCAAATCACAATATGTTAGTCATTGTTTTTAAAAAAATATTTCATGTACATACAGATTTTTTACATAGATTAATTAAATTAATAATACAATTTTTGATAATAAAATATGAATAATAAAAACAACACTATATTTTTTTTATTTTTAAGCATCAGTTCTCTTCCCCTTGAAAGGGATACAGCATAATATTAGCTTATATATAACTAGCATTGCCCGCGACTCCGCCCGCGTTCAGATGACCAAAAACCAAATTTTAGGTTTTACATATTAATACTCTGTTTTTGTATTTTTTCTCAGAAATGAGACAATTTCCCGCTATAAAAAGTATCCTATATGTTGACCCGGATAATCAGTAATAACGAAAATTTGTGTGTATGTTTGTTATGTGACCACGGAACCCCAATTGATCATAATTTGTTTAACCGATTCCTATTTTCATAATAACTGAACTGATTGTGTTAAAGTTAGAATACTTTCTTGTTCGACTTGAAAGACCAAAACAAATAATAAATATTAATACCTTCTTATAATAATATTTATTGTACCAACAATATAACCTATTTAATGTGATGAATGAAAATTTTGAAGTTACACTTCTTTTGGCACGTTGGTGTACAAACTTCTAAACCACTTATATAATTGAGTCACAGTAAAACAACTATATGAGCGAAGACAATTTATTCACCAAAAAAGATTTTACTTATAGTAATTAGCAGAACCAAACCATAGCGTGATTCAGAGAACCGGTAACGCCATCTAGTTAAAAACATATAAACTATTTTTATTCTTATACTAAACATTCCGCCCACCATGGACGAAAGTTCATCTTAACATAACAAAAATCAACAATATTGTTAAACAAAAAACAAAAACAATATAAAATAACTGCTTAACTTAACACTTCTAATGGACTGTAATCTTAAACAAACGAGTTATGTACCAATAAACTTATCAACTATGAACATTCAATATTTTTCAATATTTAAACAAGCACGATAGATTTTACTATAACTTATAATAATAATTTATGTAGCAATAGGTAAAATAATGAGTTTAGAAATAGGTCTTTTAATTACATTATTTTTACATCGAAGACTCACTACACGTGTAAATTTGTCCAAACCAGGATGTTTCTCTACTATTAAGCCGTATAGCCATCGAGAAGGGGGAAGATCGTCTTCCTTAACTAGGACAACGTCTCCAACCTTCGGTTCATTCGTGGTATTTTTCCATTTATAACGATGTTGAAGCTGAGTCAGATATTCGTGTGACCATCTACGCCAGAAGTCTTGGACTATTCGCTGAGTCAAATGCCAACGAGTAAGATTACTCATCGATGCCTCCTCAAAATTAACTTCAGGCACAAGAATTAGAGGTTCACCGACTAAAAAATGTCCTGGTGTTAGTGGCCTTGGATCTTCTGGATAGCTGCTAATTTGAGAAATCGGTCTCGAATTAAGGCATGCTTCTATTTGCGACAGCACTGTTGTCATTTCTTCAAATGTCAACGTACTATTGCCCACAACTCGCTTCAGATGGTGCTTGGTGGATTTTATCCCGGCTTCCCATAGTCCTCCAAAGTTTGGAGAGTGAGGAGGAATAAAATGCCACTTAGTGCTATTATTTTCAAGCCATTCAACGATTTCTGGTATTATGCTCGATCTTTCCTTGTCATAAAGTATCTTTAGTTCCCTTGCGCTGCCAACAAATGTCGTACCATTATCACTCCATATTTCGGAAACATGGCCTCTCCTAGCTACAAATCGTTTAAAGGCGGCTAAAAATGCTTGAGACGTCATGTCGCTAACAATTTCTAAATGCACAGCTTTGGTTGCCATGCAAATAAAGAGACAAATGTATCCTTTAGTGGTATGATAACCTCGGCCTTTGGTTGGTCTTACGCTGATTGGACCTGCATAATCTACACCACATCGTAGAAAAGGTCTACAAGCCCTGACTCGAGCTTCTGGCAGCTGACCCATCAATTGATTGGTTGGCTGTGCAGCATAACGAACACAAGTTATACATTTCTGTATAAACAGTCTTACAGCGCTTCTTGCATTGAGAATCCAATATTTACTTCTTAGGCAATTAAGTGTCATTTGAGGTCCTCCATGCAGTGTTAAAAGGTGAGCTTCCGCTATGATAAGGTTAGTAAAGTGAGATTTATGTGGTATAAGAATTGGGTGCATCATATCGTGATTCACAGAAGAGCGATGCAATCTTCCGCCAACCCTCAGTATGCCATCACTATCTATCATGGGATTTAATGAGGTAAGTTTGCTATTCTTTTTAATCTGTCTTTTTTCTTTCAGGCATATTATTTTATCTTCAAAGTGCTCAATCTGACATAGACGAATGCAGGTAAGTAACGCTTTATTTATTTCCTCTGTAGTTAGAGACGCTGTAGCTTTAAAATTATCCTTGCTTTTTGTTTTCAAAAACCTTTTGCAATATGCTACGACTCTAGTTAACCTTTTTAATGATGAAAATTTTGACAAAATATTATTTTCTTCATTATGTGTAGTAACATGACATGCTATTTTAGATATTTTCATTTCTAACGTAGTTTCCTTTATTTTGCTTCTATCGTAGTTAACTATTGCTTCTTTTAACCAGTCCGGTCCTCTTTTCCAGAGTTCTAGTTTGCTGTAGTCATCAGGTTGGACCCCCTGGATGCGCAGTCAGCTGGATTTTCCTCAGACGGTACAAATGACCACTGGGTACTGTCTAAAATGGTAAGTATATCTGCCACTCTATTCCCAACAAACGTTTTCCATTTGCTGGGATGGCTACTTATCCAAGCTAGTACTACCAGTGAATCAGACCAAGCATAAAGATTTTGTTTTGGAATTTTCAGCGTTCCTGCGACCTCATCGAGAAGCTTCGCGAGCAACACAGCTCCGCATAGTTCAAGGCGTGGGATGGAAATTTGCTTTATCGGTGCAACACGAGATTTTGAGGTAAGTAAACTAACATGTATTCGTCCTTCATTATCTTCAATACGTGCGTATACGACTGCAGCGTATGCTTCACTGGAAGCATCGGAGAACCCGTGTAATTGGATACATTTATCATCACGCTTCGAATTTATCCAACGCGGCAGACGAAAGTTGGTAAGTCCTCTCAAGGCTGCACGATATGATATCCAATCCTTCAACAATTGTGGTGGAAGTTCTTCATCCCAATCGATACCTGAGAGCCAAGTTCTTTGTATGAACACCTTAGCTTTAATTATAACAGGAGCCAGCCAGCCGAGTGGATCAAATAATCTGGCTATATCCGAGATGATTTTTCTTTTAGTTATTGGTTGATCCAGTGGAGGTAGTTGGACTTTATATTCAAACTCATCGGTTTTCCTGTTATATCCTAAACCTAAAATTTTAAACATTTCATCAATATTAAATTCTAAATTATCTTTCGAAGCATTGTTTTGTCTTAATTGTTCCAGTAATTCTGCACTATTACTAGACCACTTTTGTAATTGAAATCCTCCACGGCCAAGTAACTCATTCATCTCTTTGTATATTTTTAAGCCTTCGCTAACGTTTTCACAACCGCTCATTAAATCATCCATATAGAAATCCTTTAGAATTCGTTCAGCAGCTAAAGGATATTCTTGACCATCATCGTGAGCTAACTGTTGCATGCTTTTTACAGCCAAATAAGGAGCTGCAGATGTACCAAAGGTAACTCTTAAAAGTCTATAATGCTTCAGCTCTGAATTTTGGTTCTTGCGCCAAAGAATACGTTGAAAATCAACATGTTCTTCCGAAATTTTTATTTGGCGGTACATTTTGATAATATCCGCGATTAGGCATATTGGATGGCAACGCCATCGCATGATTAAATGTCTTAATTCTGGTTGCAAGGATGGACCGACTAATAACTCATCATTTAACGAGACGCCATTGCTATCCTTACATGACGCATTGAAGACCACCCGGACCTTAGAGGTGCTTTTGTCCTCCCTGACAACGGCATGATGTGGAAGGTAAACTGCATCTTTATTTCTCCCAGATTTTACTTCTTCCATGTGACCCAAACTTAAATACTCCTCCATTACTAATGAATACTTTTCCTTTAAATCGGGATTTTTTAAGAGACGTCTTTCTAGGCTTAAAAATTGTCGTTGACAGATTTCTCTTGAATCACCAGACTTGCAGGTTGGATCCTCATTCCTAAAAGGTAGATTTACAATATAACGTCCTGTGGCATCCCTTCTGGTAGTTTTCTGAAAAATGGATTCACATTTTTCTTCTTCCTTAGTAAGAATTTTAACATTGTTATTTGGCTCTGCTTCAAGTTCCCAAAACTTCTTGAGTAATTCATTAACATCACTCAATTTACTATGCATGCTTATAATACGACACCCGTTTTTGAATATTTCTATTAAGAACTTGGCCTGATAAGATCCAACCGAACTGAGTATTTTGCGCTATAGGAGTGCCCGGAGGACCTTTGACTATACCTTCTAACAATATCTGGCCATAAACATCTGCCCCTAGTAGCAAATCTATCTTATTTGGAATATTAAATGACGGATCTGCTAACTCTGTAGACGAAAGTGTCGTAATCATTTCCACTGTGACATTTTTCTCTGGAAGAAGAGCGGTCAATTTACTCAGAACATGAGCCTTAACCGTGATAATAAAATTAGGATTAGTGCGAGACTGTATATTTACTATTACCATCGCTTTTGAAGAAAGTTTAGATTCTTCCTCTCCACCTATCCCTGATATGATACTCCTATTAGGTATTTTTCTTAACCCTAACATTTGGACTGCAGCTTCAGTAATAAATGACGCCTGCGATCCTTGATCTAATAAAGATCTAAACAGTATAAAATTACCTTTCCTCGCCTTAATTTTTACCATAGCAGTTGCAAGTAAAACTTGGCTAAAAATATTTGAATGGCAAGAAATTACATTATCGGTCTCGCTTTGTGAGGAGGTTGATGAAACTTCCCTAACCGACTTAACAGCTTTGATCTCCTCATCTGATTTAGAAGGTTCCGTAGTATGCAGAAGAGAATGGTGTTTTCTCTTACATATACGACATCTGGTAGACTGTCGACACGAATATACCGAGTGATTCAGTCCGAGACAATTAAAACATAACCTTTTAAGTTGGACAAAATTACGACGTGAGTGAACATCTTCATTAGCAAACTTTTTACAATTATATAATTTATGGTCTCCAGAACAATAACCACAAGAGATTGCATTTGAGACATGAAGTGCCTTTATATCATTATTACGAGTGTATTGTTTATTCATTTTTGGATCTATAAACTCCAATGCCCTATATCTATGTTCCAAAAAATCATTAAATTGACTTAGTTTAGGTAATTCTTGTGAAACATCTCCTATGTAGAGTTCCCATTCCTTTCTGGACTGTGGATCGAGTTTTTGGCTAATCATATAAATAATGATAACATCCCAACTACTGACATCTATATCCAAGTTTCTCAAAGCACTTAAACATTCGTTAGTGGTGTCTAATAATTCCTTAATAGTATTAGAAGTTTCTACTGTAATGTTCTTTTGATTAATAAGCCTTCTCAAAATACAATTTGCTAGGTATCTTTTGTTATTATATCTATGTTCTAGCTGTGTCCAGCAAGTACTGTAATTATCCGATGTAATAGGTACATAACGTAATAATTTTTCAGCTTCGCCTGTGAGATGGCCCTTTAAATATTGTAATCTTTGAACATCATCTAAATTATTATTATTATGAATAAGAGACAAAAATAAGTCACGAAAACTAATCCACTCATTATAGTTACCAGAAAATATAGGTAATGATATTTTTGGTAATTTAACATTGCATATATTTTGTTCTTCTTTTTTAGCTACTTTCAATGTACACTCTTCTTTACGGACCAAACTCTTTAAAACATCCTTTAATTCAGACTTATAATCAAAATATAATTCTTCTGTAATTTCAAACACATCACTCTTGTAATAATCCGTACTATCCAAATCATAGTTTGCAATAAGTTTATTATTATTTTCCACAAATACGGACCACTGTGATTCCAAAGCCTCGAGTCGTGTTTCAATATAAGAAGGAGTTAAACGTTCCTTAGGTGATTTTTTGAAATTTATTTTTGCTTTATTTATAGTTTTATTACAATTATATTGCACCTTTATCAAAGATTCCATTTTTAAATTTTATTTTATTTTTATTTTTTTTTAATGAAAATTTTAAGTCCAAAAAAAAAAGTTTTAAATTTTACAAGTGTTTGGTATCACCTTTACACGGCACTAAAATCGGGCATAGGTTCCCCGTATTGTCACTTTTCTTAAATTTATTCTAAGTCCATATTTTAACTTCAACTTATTTTCGCAAATTTTAATGAATTTAATTTTTAAAGTGTCTATCACCACTGATTTTAATATAAAATAAAAGTACTTACAGTTTCCGTGCACTTTACTTAACTCACACCACTAATCTCTTGTATACGTCACTTCGGTAGTTGCCACCCATTGGCAGTAGTCACTCGTGCTGAAGGATTTTTTCAGGCCTGTCGCTTGTTCACCAGAGACTTCTGCTTCTTCACCTCAGGAGCTCCGGCTTCGCCCTTGACAACAATCCGTTGCCCGTGGGTGCGAACACTCGGTACTTCTCACTTCACTGACACTCGGTCGCGCGTCGTATATCCGGCTCGAAGGACCATGTACAAACTTCTAAACCACTTATATAATTGAGTCACAGTAAAACAACTATATGAGCGAAGACAATTTATTCACCAAAAAAGATTTTACTTATAGTAATTAGCAGAACCAAACCATAGCGTGATTCAGAGAACCGGTAACGCCATCTAGTTAAAAACATATAAACTATTTTTATTCTTATACTAAACAGTTGGAAAAAAATATTTAAGTAATTTTTTTACGATGCGCGCGCACACCGACAGCCACGACATGATGAAGTTAACTGAAAGCGACATGAAGTTAGCTGCATTCTTTTTCAAACAGAGAGTTGTGGCTTATAGGATGAAATCTTTAGCCATTTTTGTTCTGGTACGCCAAAGAAGTATTACTTCTTACCTGCGTACATAAGTACACACACACACGTTTTTTTCACATATATTTATAATAGCACTAAAACTAGGCTATGTGTCTGACAACGTTTAACACTCGGACGGAACCCTTGTGATCCTTCCACGGAACCCTAGGGTTCCGCGGACCACCATTTAGGAACTGTTGACTTTGAGACGACTACTGACTCAGTAGTTGAAAAAAATAGGGAAAATATTCAAAAAAGGCACAATCATAAAAAAAAAACATTTAATTTTCAATATAGTTTTGGACACTGTAGCTTTTTCTGGCTAACGCCAGGGCGTTTAACCGTTTGTGAGGATCAGTCAACCAGTCGTAGTTGGAAGTCCGAGATGTCACCAACTTTGTTATGAGCCATCTCATTAACTCCATTTTACTTATTAATACTTGTAATTTCCTGAAAAAAATATATAGTAACTAACGACTCACCCTCTCTTCGCCCGGGTCTCTGCTTACGTTTTGGCTATTAGTATCGATTTCTCAGAGATCAGATATTTACCCGCAATAAAAAGTATCCTATATGTTGACCCGGATAACCAGCTATCATCATACCAAATTTCATCAAAATCCTTCCAGTGATTTTTCCGTGATGCGGTAACAGACAGACAGACAGACAAAAATTCTAAAAACTATAGTTTCGGCCTCTATGTCGATAATAATGTCTATTTCAATAAGATTTTCCAAAAAATATAAAATGTACAGATTCGGCTTAGTTACAATTTTATTATATGTATAGATTAAAATCTATACTATAGTAAAATTCTGAGTCATATCTGTACATTAAATATTTTTTGGAAAATCTTATTGAAATAGTTATTATAATTCATACAAAGGCCGAATCTATAGTATTTAGAATTTTAGTCTGTCTGTCTGTGACCACATCACGAGAAAACCACTGGACAGATTTTGATGACATTTGGTAAATGATAGCTGGCTATCCGGGTCAACATATAGGATACTTCTCATCTCTAAGAAATCTATACAGATAAATAAAACCGAAGTTTTTACTAAGTGCATATGAAATTATATATTTTACTTATAAGCAAAATATTTTTTTTTTAATTTTTGTTTAACAAACCAACAAAAAAATGTTATAAACAGAAAAAAGATTGTATATAAAAGTGACAAAAAATCTATACTAATATTATGAAGAGGAAAGATTTATTTTTAAATTTGTTTGTTTGTACCTAATAGGAATCTGAATCTACTGAACCGATTTAAATGAAATTTGCCAAGAAGATAGTTTAAGGCTCTGGGAAGGACATAGGATAGTTTTTATCCCGGAAATCATCCCTTAAGGGAATGAAAATGGGGATGAGAGTTTATAGGGCAAGCAACCTAGTCGCTACTCTACAATAAACTTACTTATACAATGGCCCAGTAGTCAATTCTTCATTTTCTGGTATTTTCTCTACATCTTTCAATTTGCACAAACTTTCATCCCATTTCTGCCGGGTTGCCACCAACTCTTCTTCTTTTTCTTGCAAAAGCAACTGTAGATTTCGTAGACGAGATTCTTTTTCTTGATAAATTTTTAATTGAGATATGATTTTTCTGAAAATTACATAAAATAGTAACATAGTCAGTTTTTAGTTTACAATTTAAACTACATAAACAGCTCTAACAAGTAGGTCTCATACAAACTTTGATGCTCTATTTTATCCCCTTATGGGATGAAAAATGCTAAAACACATATTTATTTAATTGTATTGAAGAGCATTAATACCTAGTTTCAAGTAATTCTGATCATAAAAAATTTTTGGGTTGTATTATAACGTGTTTTCCGGGAATGAAATAATCTCCGATGGTACAAAGTAGCTTATGTCACTCTATAACCCACCAACTATCTCCATACAAAAAATCACGCCGATCCGTAACTCTGTTTTGACTTGAAAGAAGGACAAACAAACAAATACACTTTTACATTTATACTATTAAGTATGGACTAGAGGCTCACCCTCACTTTGCTCGTGTTTGTTCCTAGGACCGTTTTAACAATTAATATGGAACAAATCTATACATATAATAAAATTGTAACTAAGCCAAATCTGTACATTAAATATTTTTTGGAAATCTTATTGAAATAGATATTATTCAGAGGCCGAATCTTTAGTTTTTATAATTTTTGTCTGTCTGTCTGTTACCGCATCAATGAAAACCCACTGGAGGGATTTTGATGAAATTTGGTATGATGATAGCTGGTTATCCGAATCAACATATAGGATACTTTATACCGCAGGAAAATATCTAATTTCTGAGAAAAAATACAAAAACTGCATTGTAAGAATATACTAATATATAAAACCTAAGAATTTGGTTTTTGGTCATCTGAACGCGGGCGGAGCCGCGGGGAATGCTAGTTATATATATTGGTATATATTACTGTACGGGGGTAATGTGTTCCCGTGGGAATGAAATTATATCCCGCGGTACAAAGCCTGGCCTGTCACTCTGTTTCGACATGAAAGAAGGGCCAACAAACAAACACCCTTTCACATTTATAATATTAGTATGGATAGTTTTACATATAAAGATAACAGCTTCCAGAGAGAGATTAATATCTCTTTATCCCACAAAATTAAGAAATTTATACAGATAAATAAAATTAAAGTACTTATCTGTTTGTAATATCAAAATAACAGCTTATTACTAAACACATAATATGAAAGAATATACACTATACAGTACTTAAAACATCTCTGATCTGGCTGGAATGATTTTGACAAGACTTACACTGGCAGATAGCTGATGTTATAAGGAGTAACTTAGGCTACTTTTATTTTAGACAAAGAATTAGGGTTCCTTACAGAAAAATAAAACACACCCGAGCAAGGTTAAGTCTTTAGTCCTTAATAAATAGAAATGAGTGAAAACAAACTAACAAACCATTAACTCTTCAGCTTTATAGTATTGACTATAGTTAAGAAACAGCAACTCACTCTTTCCTTTCAACTAGTTCAGGGTCCAGATTTCTATTTGGCGTTGATACCAGTTTCTTTACCAAATGTGTTTGTGTTAACGTTTTAACAACTTGCTGTTCGATGATCTTCCACACAGCTGTGTCTTCATAGTTAGCTATAGTAGTGGCTTCGGTTTTGTTTTGGTCTATAACTTGGGGTGTACCTAAAAACCCAATATCCCACTAATATTATAAATGCGAAAGTTTGGACGTACGTTTGTCAATCAATCACGCCAGAGCGGCTGAATGGATCTGGATCTACAATAACATAAAAGAAACTTACCAGCAATAGATTTCGCTTGTAATAATTTTAATTTAGAAGAATATAGAGCAAGATCTTTTGTTCTTTTTGCAATAACGTCCTCAAATGGTTCATCTGTTTTAGCTGTGAACACTTCTTTGGATATCTTTTTTAGATCATCTTCAAAGTTTATACATACATCTCGTAATAATATAAACGCTGACATATTTATTTAATTAATCTTGATAAACATCATAAATTTTAAGTTTTAACTTTATTTTTCAGTTGCAAAGTTTTAAAAACAAACGTGAAACGCTAAATTAAACGGTAAACCTTGGATTTATGTCAAAAATTTCGTTTAGAAAAGGAAGCCATTAGATAGTTAAATAAAAAGTTGTTATTTTCATTATTTTAAACCTTTTCGAATTAACTTAATATATATTTTTCTTATTTATATAAAATAATTTTTTTATTAAATAACAAAAATACTTTTTAGTTGATAGTGCGAAATTGCTATAAGTATGGTTCGTTGTTTTTATCTGTGGCCTGTGGCCTGTCTAAAAATCTTTAATTTATAACTGATATTTGATATTAATGGATATTAATTTTAATAATAATAAATACATTACACTGATCTGTTCAACCAAAAATAGTTCCATGTTCACTTATAAAACTCAGCAAAAATGAATAAAGACGAACCAATATGCTGTATGTCGAACGCACCTACCGAACTTTTGATTTACATATTTGAATTTTTAAGACCTATACAGCTTGTGAAATGCCGTCAGGTCTGTATGAGATGGAAGCTTATAATCGACAATATGCTCGAACGCGATCCTTTATGGCGAGAGTTTTGCAAACGGGACTTCAGCGATTTGTACAAAGTTGCCTTTTATAAATGTAAATCTGGGTTACGTTGGTGCAGTGTTTACAGAACCCTGTCCTTATGGCCACGGATAAGAGAGGCTACAGAGTCAAGAGATGAATTTGCGCCTGCTTCTGATTTATCAAATGCAGTTAGACACTTCCAAGTCTTAAGGGATGGTATCATTGGAGTGCACAGACGTGACGCTATAATATACTACGATCTAGAAACAATGGAACCATTTAAAACAGGTAATATCCATGGCAGTTATTTAGATTACATGGAAAATGAATCTACAATCCTCATTCTTGGTAATAATTTAAGTTTATCTCTATTTCGCAAATATGTATCCGAGGGACAAGGTGAAACCAACGCTACTTTTCATCGTGTAAAAACGTTTATTTTGAGAACACATGAAGTGTATTTTGTGACTATATATAATGTAGTATATATTTGTAGATTAGATGAAAAAGAAATAAAAAGTGTTCAATTAGCACAAATGAGTTCTCATGTAATGTGCATCGGCTACTCGACACAGTTAAATCTTCTAACTAATCAAAGAGATATTTACTCGCTTATAGGTAAAGAATTTAAATTGCAATGCACTTTGGGTCCAAGATCAAATTTATTGCATTTATTAAAGAAATATAGTCTTTTAGAACATTTAGATCGGATTGTTTATTCCAAATGGATGATTGACTCAAATCAGTCTATACCACAAGGTCCTTTACGAAATATTGTAACTATAAAGACATATGGAGATGCAGTATTTGTTGGTTCACATTGGGGCAAATTCAGGATATACTATGCTCCATACATTAATGATGATTTTGATATAATTAACTCGGAACCTATAAAGGAATATAATTTTATGGAGCCTTGTGACTGTCCCATATTATCTATGTGTCCAATAATACAAATAGACATAGTCGAAGGAGAGGATTGTCATTCAATTTTAGTAGCTATGCCAAAGAAAATAGTGGTAATAACATATTCTCATGATTTATATAAAAGCAAATCAGTACCCCCGTACACAGATAGCTCGGAAGTACAAATACGTAAAATTACTGGTTGATATAATGGAAATTTGTAATATGTAACATAATCGTAAAATTGCAAAATGTTAATAAAAATATTGGTACAAATTCTATCTTAATCTATTCTATATAAAGAGGAAAAATTTGTTTGTTTGTTTGTATCGATTAGGCTTTGAAACTACTAGACCGATTTAGATGAAATTTAGTAAAAAAATAGTTGGAAACCCTGGGAAGAAGTTTTTATTCCGGATATCAATCCTAAAGGGGGTGATAATGGGGGTAAAATTTCTATGGGGAAGCAACCTAGGGACAAACCCGAGGGAAGTGAGAGTGAGTCATTAGTTTTATAAAATCCTTGGTTCAAGAGATAGACACTTTAATTTTTTATCTAAATAACAATTTTTTTAACAAGCCTTTTATATTGTTATAAAGGAAGTTAAAGGTTCGTCGAAAATCATCATGGGGTCAAAGAAGAATGAGTTCAAATAAATGTCAATAGATGACGTTACATGTATCGATTTGTTTTTAAAGTTGTGTTAACTTCACTAAATATAAAAAAAATTGATCCCAAAAAGGTATATTATGGTTTGAAAAAATATTATTATTAAAGGGAAAGGAAATAATGTGCTCGTCCATTTAATTTGCGTAATTTTACAGACTATTGAAATATCAACAATCAGATGATGGGTTTGTAGTGTATATTCGCAGATGGCGTTTTTATTTTTTACTAGCGACTCACCCTCGCTTCGCTCGGGTTCGTAGCTTCCCTAGCTTGCTTCCATGCAAACCATACAAACTTTCATCCCCATTTTCACCCCCTTAAGGGATAATTACAGGGATAAGAAGTATCCTATGTCCTTCACAGGGTCTCAAACCAACTTCTTACTAAATTTCATCTAAATCGGTTCAGTAGATCCAGAGATTACCCGATACAACGTCACAAACTCACAAACCCACAAACTCACAATATCACAAACTTTACCTCTTTATAATACATAAGATAAGATTAAGTATAAATGAGTTGTTTATCACGGTTAAATTTGTTTGATCGAATGCAGGATGAATTTTACGATATGTATCTTAAATTAGTTTGCATATATTTATAAAATAAAACATTCCAACTATTTCCGGATCAACGACATCTATTATCTATTCGAGCAAACAAAAATAGCCCGAATTAGCGCTGTCCAATTTATTTGTATGGGATAAATTGGACTTAAATAAAATAAGTTTTTTTCAACATATTACACACACTCATAGTTATTTGTATCAATATAAATAATTCGACTGTTGAACTAATACTTTCTTAGATTTACGCAAATTTTTGACATTTTAAATAAAACTATCTTTTCTGATTATTTCGCGGATTTATTGCTTGATCGCATGTTTGGGCGAAAGTTATTATCAAGATGATTGCACTTGCTATTACGGTGAAGGAAAACGTTGTGAAACCTGCATGTCTGAGAGAACCTAGCAAGTTGTCTGCTGACATACTCAGTCCGCCCACACTTGGGCAGTGTGGTGGACTATAGCCTGATCCCCGTATTGAAGGGAGGCCCACCCCCAGCAGTGGGATGTTATAAAAGGCTGAATTATTGTATTATTATTGCCTATAGTCTTAGTAAATATGAAACGCTAGTATAACGTGTACGAAACCAGCTCGTGTCACGGATCTCATTTGCGCTTGACCGTTGTGATTTTTTTTAATTAAATGTATTATTATTATAGTAGATGTAGATTGTAGACGAAAAAATCAAATGGAAACTTTCAGGTTACTTTAAAGTGGATTCTGTTAAGTAATAAGGTTTTATTTATTAATATGCTATTTAAGTTTCGGAGAAATATCCATCGAAAATGTTCTAACAAACAGATAAACAGTTAATAATACTTTCTTAGATTTACGCGAATATTTGACATTTTAAATAAAACTATCTTTTCGGATTTTGTCGCGGATTTATTTGGATTTTTGTTTCCCGACGTTTCGAATGCTTTACAGCATCCATGGTCACGGGAGAGACTGAGGTGTTACATGTCTTGAATGTATAGTTGTTACAGACAGCCTACCCACAATTAACAAAATGAAAATTGCACCAATTACATTACAATATTTTTTAAATTTAAACATTTTTATAATTTTAATTATAATTGAATATGGAAAATTATTTATTTAATTTTTGCTATTATTTTTATAATTATTACAATTTTAAAATATTAATTAGTAATCTATATTTAGTGTTGCCATTATTATATTTATAACCATAAAGAAAAATATAAAATATAGTATTAATTATTTAAGCCATATAATTGTATTATGTGTAATTTAAAAAGTTAAAATTAATTAAGGATAATAATTTTAATTTAGTTTGCTATTATTTAAAAACAACTTACTAAGCAACACTATTAATATATACTTTTACAAATGAAAAATGAAAAATATTAATCTGATAAGCTGTCATTTTGATCTACACAGTATGAACTTACTACATCTGTCTGTCTGTTATGTTTATATTTATTATTTGATTTTATTATATTAATAACAGGATCCCATGACGATGGTAGTACCCAGCCATCTTCCCTATTGAAATTAGGATGTTTTTTAATTTCTATGGCTTCTCGAATCATTCTAGGGCGATATCGGTTTTCTTTCGCCAGGATTTGAGGCCTATCGAAGCGAATATAATGGCTTGGGCGGTCCTGACTGTGTTTGCAGACAGCAGATGTTGTATTGCGACGGTGCTTCACATCAGCTATGTGTTCTTTGACCCGGGTTCTAATGGATCTCTTTGTTTGTCCGATGTAAGAGAGCCCACAATCACAATCAAGCTTGTAAACTCCTGCATCTTGTAGAGGGATGTGGCACTTGACAGGTGGTAGAAACTGACTAATTTTCTTTGGCGGCTTGAAGTAAGTTTTAATTGAAGCTCGCTTTAGAATGTAGCCAATCTTGTCAGTGACGCCTCTCATGTAAGGTAGGACTGCAGGGACGCGCTCGACTGTGGCTGGTTTCACTCGGTCCCTGTGACGTAGGCGCGGCACTTGCAGCTTGTTGTCTCGCAGAACTTGCTTGACATGTTGCAGCTCTCCGGCTAGGTGTTGCTCGTCACAGATCCCGCGTGCCCTCTGAAACAAAGATTTTCCCACGGTAGCTAACTGTGAAGGGTGGTGGTGAGATTCACCATTCAAGTACCTATCAGTATGGGTCTTCTTTCGATACACAGTATGACTCAAGATGTTATCTGGGTTACGTATAACTAATACATCTAAGAAAGCTAAAGAATTATTAGACTCCAATTCCATTGTAAATTGTATTTTAGGGTTTATGGAGTTAAGATGTTCTAAGAATACAGATATTTTATCAGATGGTAATATTGTGAAAGTGTCATCTACATACCGCTTGTAGAAACGAGGGGTCACAGGTGATGTGTTTAGGGCGGTCTCCTCGAAGGCCTCCATGAAGATGTCAGCTACAACGGGAGAGACCGGCGAACCCATGGCCACTCCATCCACTTGCTTGTAGAATTCATCATTCCACAATAGATAGCCAGATGTAAGGCAGTGTTTCAAAAGTTCAGTGTGTTCTTCTTGCATACTATTATCCCGTAGCTTTCTTGATACTATTTTGACACAGTCCTCTACTGGTAGGCTGGTGAATAGAGACTGTACATCAAAACTGACCATAGTTTCATTGTCCATGAGTTGTAGGTGTTTTATCTCATTGACAAAATGGTACGAGTCCCTTGTGAACGCTGATGTTTGTCCTCTGAGTGTTGAGAGTACTTTCGCTACTAGTTGGGCCAATTTATAAGTCGGTGTGTCGATTTGACTCACAATTGGACGTAGCGGAGCGTTAGGTTTGTGTATCTTTGGAAGTCCATACAGTTTAGGCGGCTTTGCACAAGATGGAACAAGATTTTTGACATCAAGATTCAATGCATCGGAGTGTTTCTTAATCAGCTTTTTAGTATTATTTAACACAGTTGTGGTCGGGTCTGTTTTGACCTTTTTATATTTACTTTCATCCGACAAAAGTTGTTCAATTTTTCCATTGTAATCTGATGTATCCATCATGACGGTGGCATTTCCCTTGTCTGCGCGTAGTATGATAATGTCTGACCTGCTGCGTAAGTTCTTCAACGCTAAATACTGTTGTTTGTTGAGATTAGGTTTGGGCCTTGAACTACGACGTAACAAAGATGAAACATCTTGACGTACGGCCTCCATATCCTCAGATTTCATAGTATTTTTGGCCAGGGCATCTTCAACTGCACAAATAATGTTCTCATAAGGGATGCGTGTCGGCGCAACAGCAAAATTTAAGCCTTTACTTAGTACTTGAATAGTAGATTCGTCCAATGTTTGTTTTGACAGATTGACAACTGCTTGACGTACGCACGAATTTGAAACTGTGGTAGACGGGCGCGTTCCGTTATTGTTTTTGGTTTTCTTTTTGATGTTATATTTCTCAACTAATTTTTGGTATTTTAATATATGTTTGTTTTTGCATTGGTTAAATTTAGATGTTTCGCGCTTATTTAAAGTTTCAATGCAATCATTGAAATCACTTGGTGTCAATACTGTCTTTATATTAAGGGACGTTTGTTCTACGTACCGGTCGTTACCGAGTGAAACCAGCCACAGTCGAGCGCGTCCCTGCAGTCCTACCTTACATGAGAGGCGTCACTGACAAGATTGGCTACATTCTAAAGCGAGCTTCAATTAAAACTTACTTCAAGCCGCCAAAGAAAATTAGTCAGTTTCTACCACCTGTCAAGTGCCACATCCCTCTACAAGATGCAGGAGTTTACAAGCTTGATTGTGATTGTGGGCTCTCTTACATTGGACAAACAAAGAGATCCATTAGAACCCGGGTCAATGAACACATAGCTGATGTGAAGCACCGTCGCAATACAACATCTGCTGTCTGCAAACATAGTCAGGACCGCCCAAGCCATTATATTCGCTTCGATAGACCTCAAATCCTGGCGAAAGAAAACCGATATCGCCCTAGAATGATTCGAGAAGCCATAGAAATTAAAAAACATCCTAATTTCAATAGGGAAGATGGCTGGGTACTACCATCGTCATGGGATCCTGTTATTAATATAATAAAATCAAATAATACATATAAACATAACAGACAGACAGATGTAGTAAGTTCATACTGTGTAGATCAAAATGACAGCTTATCAGATTAATATTTTTCATTTTTCATTTGTAAATGTATATATTAATAGTGTTGCTTAGTAAGTTGTTTTTAAATAATAGCAAACTAAATTAAAATTATTATCCTTCATTAATTTTAACTTTTTAAATTACACATAGAACAATTATATGGCTTAAATAATTAATACTATATTTTATATTTTTCTTTATGGTTATAAATATAATAATGGCAACACTAAATATAGATTACTAATTAATATTTTAAAATTGTAATAATTATAAAAATAATAGCAAAAATTAAATAAATAATTTTCCATATTCAATTATAATTAAAATTATAAAAATGTTTAAATTTAAAAAATATTGTAATGTAATTGGTGCAATTTTCATTTTGTTAATTGTGGGTAGGCTGTCTGTAACAACTATACATTCAAGACATGTAACACCTCAGTCTCTCCCGTGACCATGGATGCTGTAAAGCATTCGAAACGTCGGGAAACAAAAATCCAAATAAATCCGCGACAAAATCCGAAAAGATAGTTTTATTTAAAAAGATAAACAGTTTTTTTGTTGATACTTTAGTGATATAAGTGAAGGTTAGTTTTAGATTTTGTATTATATAATTTTTATATTATAGAAGGATCTCTGATTAATTTTATACAAATATATTAATAGAAAGATATGCTTTTGCTATTGCGCAGGTTACAGGTTCGAACCTGTTTAGGTTAGGTACTACAGGGTTTAAAAAATACTTGTTTAGATTTATACTTATACTAGCGACTCACTCTCGCTTCGCTCTAGTTCTTCTCTTTCGTTTCTGGTTCTCTGATTAGTATGAAATACAAATATTTGAATTTCTCGGCTTTTCTGTACTATAGTATGCATGTATTATACATATAAACCTTTCTCTTGAATCACTCTATCTGTTAAAAAAACCGCATCAAAATCCGTTGCGTAGTTTTAAAGATCTAAGCATACATAGGGACAGACAGACAGCGGGAAGCGACTTTGTTTTATACTATGTAGTGACTAGCAGAACTCGTGGCACCGGTTGCGCTAAAACTACAAAAAATACGAGGAAGATAGACTCCATACAAACTTTCATCCCCTATTTTACCCCCTTATGGGATGAATTTCGAATAATGCTTATACACGTATTTATTTAATAGTATTGAATAGCATTAGTATCAAGTTCATAAATAATTTTTGGGTTGTATTATAGCGTGTTTTCCCGTGGGAAAGAGATGATATCCCGCTGTAAAAAGTAGCCTATGTCACTCTCCAGCTCTCCAACTACCTCCATACAAAATATCACGCCAAAACACGCGGGTTCTGCTAGTTTTAAATAAACGAATTTTTTCCCCCGATTTATTTTGCTAAAATTGCGCTGTAAAGCATTCGAAACGCCGCGAATCAAAACTCGAAATATATCCGAGAAAAAAACCGAAAATATCGTCTTATTTAAAAAGATTCAAGGTTTACTCATTCTTTTATTACAATCAATTTTTTATTTTTTCTCTTTGATTTGTTCTTTATCACTGCTTGAAATCAGCAATCAAAATCGCTTATTTTTAGGGTTTCGTACTTAAAGCCTGTCATCAAGACCCTAGAGGGCTGTATCTCATGAACCGTAGTAGGTATAGAGTTAAAATTTTCACAGAGTGTGTCTTGCTATGGCTTCTATAACAACAAATAATAAAGAACAGGATGACTTTCAAAATGGAATTAAAAAAAATCGATTAGTACGAGTATATAGTGTTATATCTTGTATGATGTTACAGAAGCCTTCGTGTGCGAGTCTAACTCGCATTTGACTAGTTTTTTTTTAATTGTATTTTTGCCAGTCTAATGTTACTCAGTCACCTTTTGACAATTCTCTCAGTTACTACCTTATATAGTACGTAAATTAAAAGCAGTTATATTTTTTTACCTCTAGAGTAGGTACCTACGTGAACCTGTGACCACTTGCTTAAATATCAGAGCTCTTTCTTTAAATATCGCTTTAATATACAGGCTGTGCAATATTATTGAAATGTTATTTTTAAGTTATTTGTAGTTGACACAACCAAATCTGCGACCGTATATAAAAATAAAGACAAAAATGACTTAAACTTAATGTAATTGTCATATGAACAATAATTATAGTTGACACCATATTAATATGATGTGACGATGAAAACTCGACTCCATATATTTTTGTATGATAATAACATGTGACGTCACGTATTTTCCAACTAAATAGTAAATTGTTACTATTTATTGTTTAAATAAAACTATCTTTTCGGATTTTCAAACGGTGCGTCAAACACAACAAAAATATGAATTTTCATCAAACGTGCTTCAGACTCGTATAATATATTTGACAAACCGTTCAAACTACCTTTGTAAACGATCAAAATGGTTTGAGTCAAACCAAGATATACGTGTTTGAGTTACACTGTTGGACCGTCTCGGGGACCCTTTACAGCGCACATAGTCACGGGAGAGACTTAAGGTTTTAAACGTCTCAAAGGTATTATACTCATATATATCGGCGTGACGCCGTTAATTAATCATATTTAGAATAAATTCATAATTTTAAATTAGAATAAATAATATTAAATTCAATTTCTAAAGTAACTTTTCATATTTAAATAAGTTGTAGCGTTTTCAATTGTTGTTTTCATTAATATATATCCTGTCATTTTATGGTAAATTAAATTATCGATAATATTATAAACTCATAAAAGTTAAAATTAAAATAATAATTGTAAGGTCAGTGTTTTCTCTTATATGTATTATGGTAAGTTAAATTATCAATAATATTATAAACTCATAAATGTTAAAATTAAAATAATAAATGTAAAGTTAGTGTTTTCTCTTATTTTATGGTAAACTAGCGGCTCATCCCTCGCTTCGCTCGGGTTCACCTCTAGAAAAGCACAAATAGATCTATCCCACGGGAACCGTTCATTTTTCCGGGATGAAAAGTAACCTGTTGTTTGACCGGCAATATAAGGTATCAGCATGCCAAATTTTACTAAATTATGTGCATAAGTTGTTGTGTACTAAGCTGTATAAGTTACTATAGTTTTTTTACTATCCCACGGAAACTCTTTAATTTTCTGGAATGAAAAGTATCTTAGATGTTGACCGGGGGTATAAGGTACTACCATGAAAAATTTCATTTAAATCTGTTCAATAGTTTCGGAGATTAGCCGCCCGTAAAAACAGACAAACAGACAAACAAAAAAATTGAAAAAAAAACTGGATTTGTTCTATTTCTCTTCTTTCGGGATGTAAGATGAGAACTGACTCGGTTTTTAGCATTTTTTTCTAACCTCTACAGTTTTATTATACTAATATATCTAAGATGTTGCACGGGTATATAAGGTACCACCATGCAAAATTTCATTTAAATCGGTCCAATAGATTCGGAGATTAGCACGTACAAACAGAAAAACAGACAAACAGCTCGCTCGGGTTCGTCCATACCTACGAATATGTTGTATTATCTCTTTAACCATTTGTCCAAATTATATGCAGTAAAAGGGAAAAGTCTTTTATTTTAAACATTTTAGACGATAAATTTACTTATTTTGATAAGAATTCATAATTGTTGATAATATGACCAATAAACATAACCTACCGATTTAAATTATTTTTTTAATATAAAAAACTACTTTTTGTGACTTAAATATAAAAGTTGGACATATGCTGTCGCTGACTTTTTTGTAGACATTATTAGGCTCTACAACTTTTCTCTAGAACATAATCATATATCTCTCATCGTTATTGGGAAGTTGGCGGTGTTTCACCACCGTGCCTCGGAGAGCACGTAAAGCTGTCGGTCCTGCGTTTCAACTCTTATTGGTCGTGTCTCGTGTCGTCCCAAAGGAGTATGAGAGTGACAGGAATAGAGTGTGCACTTTGTGTCTGCGCGTCACACTTGTGCACTATAATATCTCCTGCGCAGTTGGCTAGTCTCAATGAGATTGGCCGCCGTGACCGGAATCGGTCAGGAGAACATCATATGCATTATTTTTTGTGTAACAACAAAAAAGCTCCCTTTTATAAGGGAGCAAGTTTATTGGAAAGAGTTATATATGATGTAATGTAAAGAAAATAGTTTAATTTTATTATATTAAATAAATTTATTATAATATCTTAAATATTATTTTTTTTTACATTTTTCTCGCACACGGCGTGTTTCTTATAAGATCTTTGACGTTGATCCTGAAAAATAAATCCAAATAATTATTGTTAAATAAACAACACACAAATATACAGTATTTATAATTTATGTTTATAGAATTAGATAATAGTATCCTGGGGGAACGAGCTTCGCTTAGCATTTTTTTTGGTAAAAATATAAAAAAAAACCAAAACACCGATATAGATAAATTTAAAAAGCAAAACCTTATATAAATACAAAATTTTATCCAAATCGTTAGAGCCGTTTCCGAGATACACGAAATAAATGTACCTATAAGTATAGATATATACAAGAATTGCTCACTTAATATTATAAAACAATAGAAATCGTATAATGATACTAAAATATACCTACTACCACCAAATACAAAAACAAATCTATCCCGCGGGAACCATATACTTTTCCGGAATATAAAGTAACCTATGTGTTATTCTGATCTATGAGCTATATTATTGTAAAGTTTCAATAAAATCCGTTCAGTAGTTTTTGCGTGAAAGAGAACAAACATCCATCCATCTATACATCCAGACATCCTCACAAACTTTTGTATTTATAATATTAGTAGGATATACCTGTGTATGAAGAAGTTATTTTCATTTAAATTGAACGTTGAGTAGACAAAAATCGGCATTTTATTGACTAAAACCCACACATCATCGCCTATCACTTTTAAATCTGAAAAAAAAAAGATTTTTTTTTAATTCGCAAACGCAATATATGCCTATGTAGCTGCGATAAACATTTTACCCAAAATTAGCTACTAAAATTATGATATTTATTATTAGGAAAAATTCAGGGTATCGGGGTCATTACTTATAACGTATATTATAAATCTTATTTAAAACTAGCGACTTACCCTCGCTCCGCTCGGGTTCGTCCCTAGTTACGTTTTAAAGTTTAGTATAGATTTCTCGGAGATGAGATATTTTCTCGTAGTAAAAAGTATCTTATATGTTGACCCGGATAACCAGCTATCATCATACCAAATTTCATCAAAATCTGTTCATCATCTGGCCTTTCTGGTGATGCGTTCCCAGGCAGACAGACATAAATTTAAAAAACTATAGATTCGGCCTCTGTATCGATAATAATGACTATTTCAATGAAATTTTCAAATATTTAATGCACAGATTCGACTCGGTTAGAATTTTATTATATGTATAGATATAGAATACCTGAAATGTACACTAATTTCCTATGATCCTGAATAGAAATTCCTATATTCTCAGGCGCCATCTTGTTGTCAACTCTCCAACACAAAATGGCGTCTTGGGCGACATTCGAAAAGAACAACGTCTTCGTTTTAGAATGATAGTCATGTGATCCACTTTGGGTATTAGATCCTTTTGGGCCAAGTACCTTAAACTTAAAAAAATACTATTTTAAATTAATTGCTGATAAATCCATAATTCCATCATCATCATCATCATTAATCCCATAATAATATTATAAATATGTAAGTGTGTTTGTTTGTTTGTTTGTTTGTTTGTTTGTCCTACTTTCACGTCAAAGCGGATTGACGGATTGGCGTGATTTTTTGTCTGGAGATAGTTGGAGGGCTGTGACATACTTTTTACCGCGGGAGATTATCTCGTTCCCACGGGAAAACACGTTATAATACAACCCAAAAAAAAAATTATGATCAGAACTACTTGAAACTTGGTATTAATGCTCTTCAATACAATTAAATAAATACGTGTTTTACCATTTTGCGAAATTCATCCCATAAGGGACTAAAATAGGCAGAGTTTTAGCGCGAGCGAAGCCACGGATTCTGCTAGTTTTAAAGAAATTTGACAAATATCTTAGCGCGACTTCCAAAAATTCTATAGGTTACAATATACATGTATGGACTTGTTGTAATATGGGGCTAATTAGTGTTTGGCAATCGAAGCGCGAAGTGTACCATGCGGGTTGCTCCTGGTATTTCTCTGATAGCAGAGTGGATTGTGGGTGCAACTACAAGGTTGTTGTGGTCTGCGTAAGTGATCCTGCGACGCCCCATTAAGACGCAGGAGGTTCTGTTCGGTTTTAGTGGGTAGTGCTGGCTTTTCCGGTTTAGCCGGTGAGTCCCACATAACCACATGTAGGTTTGCAGGTGGTAGCGCCAATGCATTTCCCAACGTTAAAAAATACGTTGGTATATGGTACAACAAAATAAGAAGCAATATTACGTATAGAATACGATAGCAATTAAATAGTGATTAAGGTTAGTTGATTTTGATATTATAAATTTAAATAAGGTTATAATATTCATATAATTAATACGAGACAGTGGTAGCACAGTGGTACCTAACACGCTCGCTTGGGAAACCAAGTGAAGTGGGTTTAAATCCAGAGTCTTAAAACCCGGATGTACATGCAAAATATTTCCAACATGATTAGGTACCACTTTTCTTGTCTAAAGGAAAATATCTCGAAAAAACTTTCATGGCATGGTCACTTCTCGCACTTACCCAGCCTGGTGGCAATATTAGCAAAAAGAACAAAAATAACTATCTATATCTTGAAAATTCCTTTAAATTGTTATATTTTCAAGATTTTTTAATGGTAGGATATTTTTTAAATAAGATTTCATTTATTTTCTATACATACCTTATCTATATCGAGCGCAGTGTTGCCAGATTTAAGATACTTAGTGTTAACAGAAAACTCCTCAGTAGATACTAGAGGGTGATAATATGCTGTTCTATCTCCATTTTCATCGGATTCTGAGAGTGCGATGCTGAACATACCGTCTTTCCAATTTATTACGTAGCCTTAAAATTAAATAATTGGACGTAGTTATGCAAAATAGCAAGTTTTCGAAAGACATGTGAAGTTTTAGTTAAATTGGTATATCAAAATTACAAGACCGTAGTTTTTTTTGATATCATCATCTAGGATATCATGATAGTTACATGGTTCTATTTTAACTCTACGAAAATGCGATAAATATTTTTTTATTGGTATCGTTAGCGTTACTTGCTGTGTTAGCGGCCGTGAGTTCGAGTCCCGCTGGGGGCATTCATTTGTGTGATGAGCACAGTCATGGGTGTTTATATAAATTATAATATGTATATTGTATGTATTTAAAGTTATATATGTGTAGTGTATCAACTATCCGGTATCCATAACACAAGCCTCGTAGCTTACCATGGAACTAGATAGTGTTGTGTGTTAATGTCCCATCATATTTATTGATTTATTTATTTATAGATATGTAGGTGCCACTTATGACAGTAGCTCGAAAAACGGGTTTCGTGGGCTGGATTTATTTTGCATAACTACGTCCAATTATAGTAAAAAAAATAAAGAGACATTTTTGACTAGCTATTTTGGCTCGTCAAAAGGAATCAAATGAGACCAAACTCAAATGGTTTACTGAAAGCTATTGAAGAGTTCCACTATCAGCTCCTGGCTCCAGCATCAGGTCAGTTCGAAAGTGTCGATTTTTTATAGTCATTCCAGTTCCAAGAGTCAATTTAATACGAATTAACAAAGAAATAACCTGACTTAGTTATTTTAAATGTTAAATTTTGTATGTGTGTATGTTTGTTTCTCCTTCACTGGACGGATTTGTATGAAATTTAGTACACAGATAGATAATGAGCTGGAGTAATATATAGGACAAGGCTGTTAGGCTCCTAGTTGCTAGTACCATACGATATTACCTGCAACTGTAAAATTTAATGATTTTTCATCATGAACGAATGTTGGATGACTGATTCTCCAACTATCTCTATTTTTTAAGGAAAACACAACCATTCCTTCTGTCGCCAAATCATTGATATATGCGTGTGCGTCGTCACAGTTATCTTTTGTTACGTCTACGGTTATTGATGTTAAACCTGAAATGAATATAGTATTTTTTTTATCAACACCCATATTCTATAAATATAAAAATCCCATATTCCATAAATATTATAAATGCGTGTTATTGTTAATGTTTGTTACTTTTTCACGCGAGAACAGCTGAACGGTTCTGAATGAAATTTGGCACAGATATAGATTAGATCTGGAATAGCTCATAGGTTACTTTTTATTCTGGAAAAATATAGGATTCCCGTGGGATATCCATACTAAACGTTAAAGCGTTGACGAGGAGAACGAGGACGAGTCTCGTATACGAGACGAGGCTAGTATTCCATAAATAATAAAGTAAATAAATAAAATAATTTCCCAAATCGCACTGGAAGTTTCAGAGACTATGTCTGTTTATATAGTGTATATTTATGTATGTCATCATCTTCTTGCCCTTTTCCCAAATTACTTGGAGTCGGCGCAATACGACCATACTGCTAATTGGATGTAACAAAAGTTTTCCTACTGGCCGCTTGCCTGACGTCAATGGTTCAATCATTTTTGAATGCTGTTGTTCGTCCGTATGTAGGTACATATGTACGTACACACACACACATATATATATATATATATATATATATATATATATATATATATATGTGGCTAGTGAAAGGTGACGAACTAAGACAACTCAGACCACTAACCTCCAGAAGATCTCTCGTTCACTAAATCAGTACTTTTCAATTCATAATACAATATCTGTTTGTCCGTCTTTAAATCGTATACGACTATTGCTGGCTGTTTCACTTGAGTTCTGTTACCTGGAAAATAAGTTTTAAGAATTATTAAATGCATGCTTTTAATCAAATGTATGGTTCCTATTAGCTCCTGGCTCCTGTGACCAGCATCGGATTAGCATGATGACATCAAATGGAATTAGAAGTAATCACCTTTTAATCTTATTAATATTATAAACTAGCATTGCCCGCTGCTCCGCCCGCGTTCAGATGACCAAAAATCAAATTCTTAGGTTTTACACATTAGTATACTTAATACTTTCTTAGATTTACGCGAATATTTGACATTTTAAATAAAACTATCTTTTCGGATTATTTCGCGGATTTATTTTGATGTTTGGTTCCCGACGTTTCGAATGCTTTACAGCATCCATGGTCACGGGAGAGACTGAGCTGTTACATGTCCAGATTCAATTATAAAACTAATTAAAATTATAATAATGTTTAAAGTTAAAAAATATTGTAAGATAATTTTTGCAATTTTTCATTATAAAAGAAAGTCGTGTTAGTTACACTATGTATAACTCAAGAACGGCTAAATCGATTTGGCTGAAAATTGGTGGGGAGGTAGATTATAACTAGGAGACGGACATAGGATACTTTTTATCCCGTTCGACCGTGTTCCCGTGTGATGTGACATAAAACTCAAGAACGGCTGGACCAATTTTTACTATATTTGAAATTTCCCTTGACTCACGGCTAAGCTCTCTAAGACTAGAAATTTCGCAAGTCAGGGAAAAGATGTAAATGGATTTGGCTGTCTAGTTAAGGGCCAAGTTTAGTTATTGAGTCTTTCTGTTTAGTAAGCTCAACTAACAGCCCGGAGTTGACAATCAGAGCACGTAAAGCCGTCGGTCCTGCGCCTTAATTCCCAATGGTCGTGTCGTCCCACCGGAGTGTGAGAGTGACAGGAATAGAGAGTGCACTTGTGTCTGCACTATAATACGAGTGTCTCCTGCGCATCTGGCTAGTTTCAATGAGATTGGCCGCCGTAGCCGAAATCGGTCGGGAAGACATTATTTATTATTAGTAAAAGTAGTTAATTACCAGGAACTTCCAAGAGTCCCGTGTCCACCATCCAAAGTCTGTCACAGGGATCTATCCTGGGCCTGTATACTGATATTAAGTTCTCACTCCCTGGATACCGCTTCAACGGTGGAGACTTCTTTGGAGATATTTCCACGAAGTTTAGAGTTGAGGGAATGCCTGTAATATAAACAATGGAATTTCAATACACATATTTTATATATAAATTTATTTCGTGTTTTGTGACGATTTGGATCGAATTTTGTATTTAGATAAGGTTTTGCTTTTTAAGTATGTGTATATATACTAGCGACTCACTCTCGCTCCGCTCGGGTTTCGTCCCTACTTACGTTTTAGCGTTTAGTATAGATTTCTTAAACATGCGATATTTTTCCGCAGTATAATCCAGCAGTATCCTATATACCTATTGAACCGGAAACCAAAATAGCTATCATAATACCAAATTTCATCAAAATCTGTACAGTAGTTATCTCGTGATGCATTCCCAGACAGACAGATAGACAGACAGACAAAAATTCTAAAAACTATAGGTTTGGCCTCTGTATTAATAATAATGAATTTTTCAATGAGATTTTCCAAAAAATATTTTATGTACAGATTCAACTAAATTAGAATTTTATTGTATGTAGGTATAGATTAAGTAGGTGTCTTTTCTAAAAAAAAACGTAATTTTTATATCTTTTCCGAAAACCTAGTGAAGTTGTCCCTCTGGCACTAGTTAATAATAGTTAATACTCATATTATTTCCATTCATTTCTTCTCGATTCTAAACAAAATTTAACAGCCTGCATTCCGGAAGTTTTGGGTTCGAGTCCTAGGTTGGGTCAAGCATCTTTTGATTGCGTTGACTTTGAAGTCTGATTTTTTCACTACTCCAAGTGATTTCACTTAAGTATTTAATATTAATTTCAACTTGAGGGTCTTGACAGACAAACAGACAGGCGGACAATGAAGTGATCCTATAAGGGTTCTTTCTTTCGTTTTTCTTTATAAAAATTACCATATCGTCGCCTCGGTACAGTAACAATCACCCTTTTGCCATAAACTTCGAAACCAATAGGCACATTATTGTATTGAATGAAGAATTTTTCGTAATCCTCCAATTCCTGCTCGAAATGCAGTCCGCTGGGTGTTCTTTTGTAGTCTGCATTTTGTTTATCTGAAATATATAAAGAAATACGTGTAGATGAAATCATTGATTAACTCATGCTACTCCAGGTCAACGTCTCCTCCCGAACGTAGGGAGAGGGGGGCGGGGCTCATTAGCGTCCGGCAGTTCAGCTGGGCGCGAAGCCAAAAAACGCACAGGGAGGTGGCCCACTTCGGTGGGCGGTGTTGCTTCTGGTACTTCTGGGCCGTGAGCAACCCCTTGGTTGTTGTGGTCTGCTTCGGCAGTGCTGCTGTGTAGTGTATCAACTATCTGGTATCCATAACACAGGCCTCGTAGCTTGCCATGGAACTAGATGGTGCCTTGTGTTAATGTCCCAACGTATTTATTTATTTAATTGTTACAAGTAAAGTTAACAGAAGCGTATAAGTAAAATTTTCAATATAAAATGTCCACTGCCAAACAATTAGACAAACAGATGATAAATGATGATATGTGCATTGTGCAGGTCAAAGTAATATAAATAATTTGCGATAAAATTATGTATATTGCTTACCCTGTACATTTTTTAGTTAAAATTCCATTCCATGACGACACCTTTGGCTCAGTTTGTAGTTGCTGTACCAACGGTCTCAGGTTCGAGTCCCGGTGGGGGTGTGTGATGAGCACGAATGTTTGTACTCCAGTCATGGTTGTTTATATTTATGATATGTATGTATTTAAAGTTATATATGTGTAGTGTATCAACTGTCTGATATCCATAACACAGGCCTCGTAGCTTACCATGGAACTAGATGGTGCTGTGTTCTTTTTTGTTCAGTAGCTATTAACGAGCTTTAGTGTTATTAATAAAAAAAAAATGGTAACAGTTATTTTTACACAGATAGGTAAATTCTATTCATATTTGTTTTCCTCAAAATTTCAATAATTATGGTCAATTGTCGACCACTGAGCGAACACGAGCTTGTATATACAGCTGAAAGGTGCATATTATCATATATCTACCTACTTAAGCAAAGTAAATGTAAACAAAGTTACAATATATAGTCTTACATTTACGCTAATATTTGACATTTTAAATACTAATATTTGACACGTCAAACTCTAGTCTCTTCAGAAAACGTCGGGAACCAAAATCTATACAAAAAAATAAAATTGTAACAGTCGAATCTGTACATTAAATATTTTTTGGAAAATCTTATTGAAATAGTCATTATTATCGATAAAGAAACCGAATCTACAGTTTTTAGAATTTTTGTCTATCTGTCTGTGACCGCATCACGAGAAAACCACTGGACAGATTTTGATGAAATTTAGTATGATGATAGCTGGGTATCCGGGTCAACAAATAGGATACTTTTTACTGCGGGAAAATATGTCTCGGAGAAATGTATAGTTAACGTTAAAACGTAACTAAGGACGAAACCGAGCGGAACGAGGGTGAGTCGCTAGTGTAAAATAAAGCCATTACAAAATCCGAAAAGTTATTAATAAGCTATTTAAAATGTCAAATATTCGCGTATCGAATATCGGTGATCAAACAGAGGAGAAAAAATTACTGTAAATAACTGTTTTTTCTTTGCCTATTTATAAGTACATACATTACAAACTTACATACAACGCCATCCAAATCATAAGTTATTTGGTTCCAAGAGAACACTTCGTCTAATTTTGTATGACCCACACAATAACTTAGAATTGAAAACATAAACACATAAAATAACTTCATGACTATTCTTCACAAGATACAACTACAGACTGCTTGAGATAAAAACACACTCTCGTTTATTTTGCATTGACTTGTAGCTATATATAAATACAACGAAGTTTGTTTGTCTTTTTAAAAAGAAACTTAGTTTTTTATGTTATATTAGATATGAAGGATAATAATCGATTTGGATATAAAAATTAAAATACTTCCAAAATTTTCCCATTATTATTATTTTTTTTAATTTTCTTTATATTAGCATATTTTCTATAAAATAAAATAAGTATTTTTTTGATACAATCATATTGTATTTTATTTATTAGCGATTTAATCTCACTTCACTCGAGGGCATCTCTGGGTGACAAACAATAGCCTATGTATTACTCCAGGTCATAATTAATCTTAACATTAAATTGCATCTAAATCCGTCCAGCCGTTATAGCGTGAAGAAGACACATACACACAGATACACATACACACATGCATACACACACACGCATACACAAACTATCGCAATTATAATAGTTGTCAGATAAAAACAGCTAAAATGAATATCTTCAGAAAAAGCCGAGGCACGACACAAATTAGTTTTATATTATAATCATAATAAACTAAAACAGTTATAATGTTATGAATAATAATTAATTAGACCTTGTACATTATGCGTCATATTATAAGCTAACTCAATTATCATTTTGAAGTGGTTTTAACGGTTTATCACTTTAGATTAATATATAAAAAAATGGAACAAAAATCACTGACCTCAGTAACTCAAAATTATCGAGATTTTCCAGCTATCTTTTTAATATATACATATATCGGAGGAGTACTTACCTATTTTTTTTAAACTGCCTCGGTGGTGTAGTGGCTAGCATGTACGGCTGCACACCCGGAGGTCCTGGGTTCGAGTCCCGGGTCGGGCCAAGTTTAGTTATTGAGTCTTCCTGTATAGTAAGTCTCAGTAACAGCCCGGAGTTGGGAAGTTGGCGGTGTTTCACCCCCGTGCCTCGGAGAGCACGTAAAGCTGTCGGTCCTGCGCCTTAACTATCACCGGTCGTGTCGAGTTGTCGTCCCACCGGAGTATTAGAGTGATAGGAATAGAGAGTGCACTTGTGTCTGCGCGTACACTTGAGCACTATAATATCTCCTGCGCAGTTGGCTAATCTCATTGAGATTGGCCGCCGTGGCCGGAATCGGCTAGGAGAACATCACTTACCTATTTAGTGACTTTTATCTGTTAGAATGTAAAACCTTATTGAAGTTATACTTCTTTTGGAACGTTTGGAAAAAAAATATGAGAGTAATATTTTTAAGATGCGCGCGCACACCGACAGCCAATAAGCGACATGATGAAGTTAGCTGCATTCCTTTGAAAAACAGAGAGTTGTGATTTGTAATGTGACATACGGGATGAAATCTTTAGCTATAACTCTTTTGTTACGCCAAAGAAGTATAACTTCTGACGTGCGTACATAAGTACACACACACGTTTTTTTATTGTTTAAAGTCACTATGTTATGTTTCATCAAATCAAATTTAAATTAAAAGCTGAAGCAACGTCTCGAGCGCGGTCGCGGCGCTATCATGACATTCGTTGGACATATGTGGCTTGGTAATGTTGATTGATCATGGCGTATCTTTGAAGTATTGTGTATTTAAGTCAGATCGGTATCGAGAACCCGCTGCTCAATTAAACTGTTATAATTACCGTTTCAAGTTCATAACTTTGTGATATCTCTAACTACATTGTATTGAGCATAGTTATAGTTCCAGTTATACATATATATACATATACTCGTACGCGAAGATTTATTTTTTCTTAATATTTTTTTTATACATTTTTGTTTACCTATCTTTTTATTGTTGTGAACAAATACTTTTCCGAGAGAAGCCTGGAGACACATATTACTCATTTAGACTTTATCTATATATATTTTCAAATGTATGATTCTATTGTACATATGGGAGAAATAAATTAAAAAAAGTTGGTAATTTTAATCCAAAACGGACACTAAAATTGTTCTTAGTGACTAAAAGTGTCCCTGGCTTCTTACAGGTGAAGGTAGAGTGACATACCTACATACAGTAAAATTACTTACTGGTTGTAAATTAATGTTAGAATAAAACATCAAAAATTATTCGCTAGGCCGCTTATTGTGCATTGGATATTTAGAAGATTTACAAAAAAAAAACCATTCCTTTATTATGTAGATAAAAGGGTTTTGCCCTATCTGGGCTAAGAAAAGTGGTATTTTATATAGTCTGTTACTCCCATCCGTTATTTTTCTAGTAATTCTAAGAATAATATGAAGTGAGTCACTAACTAAAGGCACATTATTTTTAATTGTAAATTGTGTATGATATCTGTGTTTTTTTAATGAATAGTTACCTCAAAAGACCACCGTATGAATTTGAAGATAAAACCTAATTGCTTTCCAGTAATTTTAAAGTCAAGGTATATTTTTTACATAAACAGTATTTATTTTATGATTTTTCCAAAAAGGTTACATTTTAAATTCACTTGACACCATAAATAAAAAAAAATAGTGGTTGACCTTATCGAGAGTGCAGGTACGACATAAAATGTGCGATTATTTTTACACCACCGACTACGATACGACATTTTTAAAATTGAAATTCAATTTAATTTCTAATGAGATAAAACATACTAACTTCGCACTATATTATTATGAATTAAAAGTAACTCTCATTTTTAAGGTTCTTTAGATAAAAGGGAAAAGGAATTTTTATAATTTCGCTAAATCTAATGTTAAAAACAAAATAGAAAAAAGTTTGTAGAACTAGACGTAGACCTTATCTGTGCCTTCGAGCTAAGATGAAGGTCAAGAGTGAGCCCATTTCTAATTTTAAAAAAAAATTATGTCGCCATCTCAGTATTTATTTGTCTAAACAAAAAAAACTGAAATAGTTTTAAAACCAGAATTGTTGACTTTTTTTTTATAAAATACACGTATTTTTGTAAAAAGCCGAAAAAATGTACATATTTTCCAATCTACTTCGTGTCTTCTCCGTTCTACGTGACATTGAAGAAGTAATCTGTGTTCAACTGAGAATACTAAATCTGTGCTAAACTGAGAATTGAATTGAAAAAAAATATTTTATTTATACATATTTACATATGACTGATTGTGGTTAATAAAAGCAAAAAAACAAAATTATAATTAAAAATCTTAGAAATAAAGCTTTGTTTTTAAAATAAACGAAAAAAAGTGTCTATTTTAAATAAAATAAGAACCCTAGTTAGGCTGATTTTAGTTAAGCTACCGGAACTACAGCTTTTTGAATGTTTTCTAGTAATTAGTATTTAATTATAAAAACATAGTAAATATATAAAATGATATGGCACCATGTGATATAGTGGGATATAGTGTCTTTAAAGACATGTTTGGCTCAGTTTATAGTGACCTACTTGCTGTGCCAGCGGTCGAGGGTTCGAGTCTTGCTGGGGGCATTCATTTGTGTGATAAGCACGAAGGTTTGTACTCCAGTCATGGGTGTCTGTATTTATAATATGTATGTATTTAAAGTTATATATGTGTAGTGTATCAACTATCCGGTATCCATAACAAAGGCGGAAGGCCTCGTAGCTTACCATGGAACTAGATGGCGCTGTGTTAATGTCCCAATTGTTTATTTATCTAGTTTTAGTTTCAATATAGACCAGACTAAGAGACTGCCAATTTTTGAATCAAATTTTTATAATTCATTTATGGAACCCTAAAAACTTTTGCCATGACTTTTTTTTATAAGTTATATCGTCAGCCTTAAACAGCAGTCGTCAGGGTCAACGATCTCCTATAATATTTATATACATAGTTATATTTTATATACTATTTTTAATAAAATTGTATCTAAGACGAATCTGTATATTAAATATCTTTTCGAGAATCTTAATAAAATATACATTATTATCGATACAGAGGCCGAATCTTTAATTTTTGGAATTTATTATTATTTATTTAACTTCTTATTAATTTATTGATTCGACCTCTGTATTGATAATAATGACTATTTCAATAAGATTTTCCAAAAAATATTTAATTTACAGATTTGACTCAGTTAGAGTTTTATTATATGTATAGAGTGTAGACCAGGCAATGAAAAAATATTCCCACTCAAGCTCTGTCCATGCGGCTCACTGTAACTGCTAGCGAATAAGGTTGAATGTCGAATATTATCCGATCAACCTTATCCTTGTACAAAACTAAGTCTAAAATATAACGAGAATATATATTCTTTATTGCACTAAAAAAAGTAATAAAGAATAATAATTGGTTAAGGTAAATTTTGTTTTAACGGCGGATAATCCATGCTTTAATATTATAAACGTGAAATTGTGTTTGTTTGTCCTTCTTTCACGTCGAAACGGAGTGACGGATTGGCGTGATTTTTTGCGTGAAGATAGTTGAAAGGGCGGAGAGTGACATAGGCTACTTTTTACTACGGGAGATTATCTCATTCCCACGGGAAAACACGTTATAATACAATCCAAAAAATATTTTTGATCAGAATTACTTGAAACTTGGTATTAATGCTCTTCAATAAAATTAAATAAGTACGTGATTTGACATTTTTCAAAATTCATCCCTTATGGGGATAAAATAGGGGATGAAAGTTTGTATGAAACCTACCTTTTTAGAGATTTTTTTGTAGTTTTAGCGCGATCGAAGCCGCGGGTTCTGCTAGTAAACTATATTTTCCTTCTGTGAGTATTTATTTTTAATATTTAACCGAAGTAGTTTTCATGAACAATCCTAAAATCTCTATAAAAAGGTATATTTGTTGAAAAATAAAACTATGGAGAAAATTTCATTTATCAAATGATAAATTAATAAAAATAAATTTATATTTTTTTTATCTCGGTTGATATAAAACACGTGTTATAGATTTATGAATATTTGAGAAGCTACTATGTATATAGTTATGAGTTTTCACGGAAACCGGAGAGACAGTTATCAGCTAACTTCATCATGTTGCTTTTTGGCTGTCGGTGAGCGCCCGCTTCGTAATAATTTTATTTTCATATTTTTTTCCAAACGTGCCAAAAGAAGTATAACTTCAAAAACATATATTTAATTTAAGTTATCGCATTTATTTAATATCTGGTTTATTTACAATATCTAGGCAAATCAGCGTTAAATTAGCGCTGCCCCGTCTTAAAGTGTTATTTTAATAATAGCTTGACGGAAAAACTCAGTAATTATACTTGGCGCGACTCGGGACTCGATCCCAGGACCTCCGGATACCAACTAGATAGTTCATCGTATATAGCATATCCGCGGGTCAAAGTAAGTTACCAGTAAACAAGAACTTAATCAATATAAATACATATATAAATTTCATCGAAATAATTATATTTACATATTATTGCCAAAAAATGTTTTCGTAAAGTTTATTATAACGCAGTGATTATATAAAAGTGGGTTATTCTATAAAAACTTTTTAACTAAAAACAAAAACCGACTTCAGACAAAAGCACTAAAAAGTAAAAAATAACTGATTGGTAGTTTTCATTTACTATACATACCTAATCAAATATTCAGAATAACAAATATACAGAAAAACCGAGTAATTCAAATATTTTATTTCATACTAACCGTTAAAACGTACCTAGGGAGTCGATAGTTTATGTATATAGGTACTAGCGGCTCACCCTCGCCTCGCTCGGGGCACCTCTAGGAAAATAGAAACTCATGTATCCCACGGGAACCGTACATTTTTTCGGGATAAAAAGTAGCCTATGTGCTATTCTGATGTATGAGCTATATTATTGTAAAGTTTCATTAAAATCCATTCAGGAGTTTTTGCGTGAAAGAGTAAGAGACATCTCTACATATACATCAAGATATCCATACTTCCTCACAAACTTTCGCATTTATTAGCAGGATTACTTATTTACTATCTGTATAAATAAAAATGAATGTTGGTAAGCGCATAACTCAAGAATGGCTCAACCAATTCGGCTAAATTTTTCGTATGTTCCTTAAGGTCCAATGAAGATATTAAGTAAAGAGAAAAAATGAAAAATTAATAATAAATATTTATATCTATTTAAAACGTACCTAGCGACAAACCCGGGCGAAGCGAGAGTGAGTCTAGTTATATAATAATTTGAATAGGCAAAGACAAACAGTTCCAATGAACAGGATGATTTTCGGGATAAAAACTATCCTATGTCCTTTCCGGGGTCTCAAACTATCTTTTCATCACATTTCATCCAAAATTAACTCCGTCAGTCTGTCTATTATGTTTTCACGCCTAAATTTGCATCCTAGAGACGGACATAGGATACGTTTGACCTAGTCTCCGTTACGCGAGTGAAGCCGCGGACAGAGCAGGACAGTAAACGGGATTGTTAAAATATTTTTAGAATAACTCACTATAAAGAGATAACGTTCTTTGAATAGTTAAAGTTCAGATATCTTGAGACGAATAATATGATTAATTATAAATATATTACATATTGTTAAAGGAAAATATGCTTTTAAACTTTACTAGTTTTTGTCCTCGACTTCGTTCGTATAAGTTCATAGAGATTATGTCTTATTCTAAGATTTAAGCTATCTTTATAACGAATTTCACTAAAATCGGTTAAGTTACAACGAAAAGAAGTGACAAACATTATATGTTTACATATTATGTAAACTTTTTACATACAAATACATACAAATTACACAAACATACAAATTAGGTTTTGTACATCCATACATATAATAAAATTCTAACAAAGCCGAATCTGTACATTAAATATTTTTTGGAAAATTTATTAAAATAGACATTATTTTCGATACAGAGGCCGAATCAACAGTTTTTAGAATTTTTGTCGTCTGTCTGTTAAAGCATCACGGAAAAATCACTGGAGACATTTTGATGAAATTCGGTATGGTGATAGCTGGTTATCCGGGTCAACATATAGGATACTTTTTACCGCGGGAAAATAACTAATTTCTGAGAAAAAATAAAAACCCACTTCGAACAAAAGCACTAAATAGTAAAAAATAACTGATTGGTAGTTTTCATTTACTATACATACCTAATCAAATATATTCGAAGTCGGTGTGCTTTGCTTTGTATGGGCTGGCACCGATTTCGAAAATATTTAATTAGGTATGTATTTAATAGGTAGGCTTTAATTACTTAGCCAAAGCACACCGACTTCGAAAATATTTGATTAGGTATGTATAGTAAATGAAAACTACCAATCAGTTATTTTTAACTTTTTAGTGCTTTTGTTTGAAGTCGGTTTTTATTTTTTTGTTAAAAAGTTTTTATTTTCCCCTTTTTAGTGTAGACAGTAGTAGCAAAGTAAGAATTCTAACGTGTTAGGCTTGTCAAATCAAACAAAATAAGCCCAAACTCAAAGTATCTACTATTAGCCGTTGAAGAGTTGCACCTATCCACCTTCTGGCCTTGCCATCAGATCAGGTCAACAATACCGAACCACTGTACTATCAACGGAAATAGAAACACTTGCAAAGTTTCAAGTCAATATGACAATTAGAAGTAGGTTAAATCCATCATTAGCTATTTTTCCACCCTTAGGGGTGGTATTTTTTTTTTATTTAAATGGGACCAATCTGGAAGTATACCCTTTCAAACAAAACAAAAATTGTCCAAATCGGTTAACAAATGACGAAGTTCTGAGGTAACAAACATAAAAAAAAACTGTCGAATTGAGAACCTCCTCCTTTTTGAAGTCGGTTGAACATACAAAACCCTCATTGTAAGAGTTAGTGCACTTCTTTTTAATGACACTTTTGAAACGCTAATTGTATATCTTGAGTTTTTGTATATCTATACTTTAGTATGATTATTCAATTCGACTCAATACTCTATTGTGTATAGAAAGTTCTCGCACATAAAAGAACACAGAATGTTTAAAAAAAATTAGGTCATTTGTAGTACTTCTAAAGTAAATGACGATGACACGTTTGGCTCAGTTTGTAGTGATCCTACTTTCTGTGCCAGCGATCGCGAGTTCGAGTCCCGCTGAGGGCATTCGTTTGTGTGATGATCACGAATGTTTGTACTCCAGTCATGGGTGTTTATATTTAAAATATGTAGGTATGTATTTAAACTTATATATGTGTAGTGTACCAACTATCTGGTATGCATAACACAGGCTTCGTAGCTTACCATGGAACTAGATGGTGCCGTGTGTTAATGTCCCAACATATTTATTATTTATTTATTTAAATTTTGTATACAGGAAAACCACAGGCAGATATTAGTATGTTTTTTTTTTTAAATTAAAAGTGACTCAAAATCATTCTTGTTAGGAATCGTCATTAAAAATGTTATGTAATTTGAACTAGTTTATAGTTAAGGTGGCGTCACACTTGTTATTTTTTTGTTAAATTTATTGGTGTATTTACTTTAATATATCTATACTTTTTTGTGAATTTTAGAATATATGTATGACAGTTTTTAACAGTTTTTTTACAACTTAGAAATAACTACTCGTCGTCTCAGTACTTATTTATCCAAACGACCAATTTAATGAACGAGTTTTTAACACAGAATTATTGACTTTTAAACGTCAATTCTATTAGTAGTAAATACACATTTTACTTTAACAAAGTCAGAAAAAGGTATATTATCTAGTAATATCAAAATCAATCGTCGTTCGTTAAGTCTCGCTAAAACTCAAAAAAAAAGTGGAACGATTTGAATAATTCTTTTTTTGTTTTATTGGGGGTGTGTTAGGGGTGGTTTGAATATTGAAAAAAAAATAAGGAAATACAAAAAAAAACAGCTGGAAAATTAAAAAGTTCAGAACTGTATATTTTATACCCATATATATAGTATATAGTCTATCTATTCCATATTAACCGTTATTATATAAATATTAAAAATAAAGCTTTGTTTTAAAATAAAGGAAAGAAACTTACTGTAAAGTACAATGAGTATTAGTGGTTTGAACAAATACAAGTAAGTACTAAGGTGACGTACTGCTGATTCATACCTAGGTCTCGTACCTATGAGGTTTTATGTTTGAATCATAATGAATATGATTAATCATAAGGCTTCCTTATTTATATAACGTGAGAAAATCTGCATGTTGTACAAACATTTGTGCTCATCACACAAATAAATGCCCCCAGCGGGACTCGAACCCGCGACCGCTGGCACAGCAAGTAAGGTCACTACAAACTGCGCCAAACGTGTTGTCGATGTCGTCGTGTTTAGGAAAACATAGTTTGTGTGACACACAAAATGTGTGAAGTTCTCTGGCAAATGGCCAGCCAGAGGGATATGGTCTGATCCTCCTGACGTTGAAAAGATGATCATGCCCAGCCATGAAATTAACTTAATTACAGAGAAAATGGAGAATGGGGGTTGAAAAAAACTTTTGACTTCCTCTTTATCTATCCTCTAAAATAAGTCTTGCGTTCCTATTTTTCTGGCCAATTTTCAATTATTATTTATTTTAAGTCTTATTTAAATAACCTTAAGAAAGACCAAACCAGTCCAGCCATTACAAATAAGCGCTTACCAAAGATTTTAATAACATTAATACTTTTAGTTTTATTTACATTGATAAATACATAAATAGACATACATAGATAAAGATAGATATAATACATAAGTAAGAGAAATATACATAAAAAAAGAGATGAATAGCAGGCGGCCTTATTATTAAAAGCCATCTCTTACAGGCAACCTTAGGGTAGAGGAATCAGTACACGGTACATGGTAAGGAGTCCCTACATACATACATATAAACATCAATAAACTAATACATATTATAATAAATACATATATACAGTCTTAGGAACATTTAATAAAAAAATCATCATTATTACTCACAAAAAAATAACCCAGTGTGAAACAAACTTTATTTTAACATCTCAGTTCCTTTGACATTTAAACGAATCTAAAGCAACTAAGAGTCAGTTCTGCGTGAGTTTTTAGAGAGGTAGGTTGTTCTACATACATATGTGTTTGTTTGTTAGAAATAACTTCTAAAGAAAAATAACGAAAAGTAAACAATTAAAGTTAAATTCGCGTTTTGTGACAAGTATTTTACCTTTTAAAGTGATATATCGTGGGCTGTGAAAATTGCAAAATAACGAGTGTTTTCCAGATACCCTTCTGACAACAATTGTAGGACGTTATAAGCGATTCTTAATTCGTGTTTTAGATATAGTGTTCGTCCAGTTGTCGAAATTCGATTAAGTATAATCATTATGGAAAATTTATAACTAGCGACTTCGACGTCCCTACACAAGAGGATTTTCTACAAAATATCATAGGTTTTAATTTTTGCGCGGAACCCTAATTCTAAAGTAAAAGTAGTCTAAGTTACTCTTTATAGCATTAGCTATCTGCCAGTGAAAGTTCCGTCAAAATCGGTCCAGCCGTTTCGGAGATTACCCGGAACAAACAGGCAAATTCTTTAAAAATCGTGTTTTTCTTATAAGTACCTACCGTATATAATGTCATATGTATTTAGAAAACATTTAAATAATATCTGATTAGGTATCTATTCTAAATGAAAAACGTTTAGTTATTTTTTACATTTTAGTGCCTGGAAGACTGTTTTTTTTATTATTTTTTGTTTTTCCATTTTTAGTGTAGACGTAATAAGCAGGTAATTTGTAAGAAGAAAGTTTTTTAATAACATATTCGATTAAGCAATTTATTTAAAAAAATAATTTATTTGTTAATTAAAAAAAAACTGCTCGACCGATTTCGATAAAATTTAAATGAGACCACCTGGGAAGTATACCCTTCGAAATAAAAAAAATACACTACTATTATCTAATCTAATGCGAAAATGTGTATGTATGTTTGTAATTCTTTGACGCTGTAACGGCTGGACGAAACGAAAGTTTTTGAGGAGGCATGGATGTTTGTTACTCAATCACGCCAGAACGGCAGAACAGATCTCGATGGCACAAAGATTGATTATAGTCTGGAATAGCACATAGGTTACTTTTTGGGAGCACCATTAATTACGGGAGACAATTTTGGCGATTTTTTGACCCCCACTCCCCCCTTGATAAGATTTCGTGAGATTTTGCTCGACTCACTTCCCTCTCACCAAACTCACGTGAGATTTTTCAAAATACGTATTTGCAATATAAATAAGTAAATCTGTGCTTCGATTACATTAGATTTATTTAATATATATATATATATATATATATATATATATATATATATATATATATATATATATATCAGGCTAGTATATATATTATTAAAGGCTAGTTCAGACTAGTCCCTATTTAAGATTTTTAATGACGTAGCATACAATCACAATGAGAAAATCAAACAATAAAATACTTAAATAGGAAGTATTAAAATTTTTAAAAGAATATTATTATATATATAATATATTTATTGAATGTTAAAAAATATTTGTTCGTACTTAAAAAAAATAATAGTTGATAAATTCTTCTATCAGTGCAGAATTAAACCGAAATGAATATTATGTATATTATAAAATATATTATAGCCATTTTTAGTAGGGAAACATTTTTTACGTAAATTAACTCAGTTTTTTCGCATTTTTACACTGTTTCTTGCCGAAAAAAATACGTGACATTTGTCGAGACCACCCACTCCCCCACGTGAGATTTAGTGAGCTTTTACCACCCCCCCCCCTTAAAACACCTCACGTAATTAATGGATGCCCCCTTTATTCCGGAAAAATGTACGGTTCCCGTGGGATAGATTTGTTTTTGAAGCGAAGCGAGGGTAAGTCGCTAGTTTTGTATAAATAAATCTATGACTTTATGTCATATAACCTTTTAGGTCATTGCTGATAAATAGTGTAATAAAATATGATAAAGAAAACGGAGTGAAGTTTGTAAGTTAAAATAGATATGGGTAAAGTGTTATGCATTATTATTTTTTTGAATATGTTTATTTGTTCATAGCATTCTTTTTTTCTGAAGTAAAATATATATAAATAGTCAAAAAAAAACAGTTCAGTTTTTCTCCTAAACCTTTTAAACTTAACCTATTTTTCTCCTCTGTTGGTCAAACGTTTTTTTTTAATATAAATAGATAAATTCTATTTGTATATGTTTTCTATAATGATTATAAACGAATTTCGACCACTGGCGAACACTAGTTCATACTAATATTATAAATGCGAAAGTTTGTGAGGAGTCTGTAAGTCTGAATGTATAGATGTTTGTTACTCTTTTACGCAAAAACTACTGAATGGACTTTAATGAAACTTTAAAATAATATAGCTCATACATTAGAATAACACTAAGGCTACTTTTTATACCGGAAAAATGTACATTTCCCGTGGGAAAACAACTTTAAATGCATTTAAAGTTTAGCTTACATTGTTGTTTATTTATTTCAACTAGAATAATTATCTAAACACAATTGGTAACAGTTTTAAGTCAACTTTTGCATGAAATTTTGTATCTAGTGCTTTTTTGATTGATGATAATGCTAGATCCACACACTTGCCAAGCGACAAACCATCATAAATTCAAACATGTGGAGAGGGCGTTTGGCTTGGCTTGTGTAAGTTTACAAGCGTTCATGGCCATTCCAATAGTGTAGTTTTTATATATGACGTAAGTAGGATGATTTGATAATTCGAATTTTCAAATTCTAGGGATATTGTCAAAACACGAACAATTAGACAATGGTGAAAACATTTCTCAATCTTACCGGTAAAAATAGGGTTTTTGAAAAAATACGAGTCGCTCTAGTTTTAGTCGTTTATGGCACTCGCCGGCCATTGCTGTAGCACGCTCGCTTCATTCGCTCGGCTCGTGAGTTGTGGTCACTGTTCTAACCTAACCTAACCAACTTAGAAAGAAAGGGTTCTTCCAGTAAGACGTAGCTCCTGCCTTAGCATTCTCCACCTACGTTGTCCAAGTCGGGTCTATCACATAGTCAAAAATTAAACTTACCTAACCATTGTCTAATTATATCCGTATTTTCGCAATATCCTTAGGATTTTCGCGAAAATTCAAATTACCAAATCATCCTACAACATATACAAATTATAGTAAATTTCCGCCAAGTCCTTGTGATCCACACTTTTGTACTATTGTAAACGTTTGAAGTTTGTGGCAAATGGCAAGCGTGTGGATCCATTTTAACTTAATATTTCTCACACACAGACACTATTTGACAATAAATTAACAAAACTTCTTTGTTTACAAAATTCTCAGACCTTGTAGATAAAAATAATGTATTTTTGTTTTTCATATAAAGATGACTATGAATGAAATCATTAAATCTTAAAATTTCATTGAATGTTGATTTTTTTTGAGCGGAGCCCTAATTATTTTTCTAAAATATGAGTACCCTAAATTACTCCTTATAACATCTTATCAGCCAGTGAAAGTCCCGTCGAAATCGGTCAAACCGTTTCGGAGGTTAGCCGGACTAAACAAACAGACAAACAAACCGTATATACTTTCCTATTCCTTTAGTATAAAGCTGTTATTTTGACATTACAAACAGATACTCCAATTTTTTTATCTGTATAGACTGGTGACTTCGTGTTTTTAAATTCTAATAATATTTTCGTGTCACAGTGTTTGCAACAAAACTCTTCCAAAGCGACTTGACCGATTCTTATGAAATTTTGTGTGTATATTGAGGTCTGAGAATAGAACGTAAACTATTTTTCATAACCCTAAATGATAAGGGTGGTCCACCCCAAAAAAAAATATTTTTTGGAGAAAATTTTTTAATTTTAATTTTTTTATGATTCGGCATTAAAAGTACATAAAAACTTAAATTTTTACAGTTTATTTATAAAAGTAGCCTACATGATACTCCAGATCTATCTGGGTCCTAAATGTCATTCAAATCGGTCAAGCCGTTTCATACATACACACGAACATACAAACTTTCACATCTAATAGTTTATGTCAGCAAAGGTATTTTATTAAGGAAAATGATTATAATCTAATAGGCACATTTTATTATAAATGCTTACGTTTGAGGCATATTAATGTCTTAGCAGAAATCAGGGTTTATGTACTACCTGATTTACCCTGGCTTCGCTCCGGTGCTCTCCTAAGTACGTTTTATATAGATAAAAACAGTTACTGCGAGTGTGCTTTAGGAGATAGACGTATGCTATTGCGGACTTTTCTGTAGGTTTCTTTAAGGCCTACAATTTTCTAGTACATTGTTTTGATGTACCTCTAAAGGTGTATTTACCTCTAAAACATCGTCATAGTTCAGCCATTGTGTACAATCAAATTACATTAATATACTAACCTTACTCGTTTATCGCTCTTTCTATAGAAAACTGTATCAATATCTGTTGCGTGGTTTAGAAGAAATAAACGGAGAAACAGACATAGGCAAGATGAGGGGGATCAGGCCATAGTCCACACGCTGGCTAAGTGCGGGCGGACTGAGCAAGTCTGCAGACAACGTGCTAGGTTCTGTCACACATGCAGGTTTCCTCAGGATGTTTTCCTTCATCGTAAGACAAGTGGTGATCATGTTAGAAATTATTCGCACAGGAAAATATCATATCACTAAACTACCACTGCCTTATACATAACAACAAAATAACATACAAACAATCTCATTTATAATATATACTATGTTGTTACAGAATGAAGTTTCTTTGTCTTTGGGCGGTACTCGCCTTCACATCCGTGTATGCGAGGACAGCAACCCGGCAGCAATCTGTGTCACCACAAATTACGTCTCTGTCCGATAAGGTAAAACTCTAAATATGAATAGCACTAGCAAAATGATAGGAAAACATAATAGGTAATAACTTATTTGACGACACGTTTGGCTGAGTTTGTAGTGACTTACTGTGCCAACGTTCGCGGGTTTGAGTCCCGCTTATTATTGTTTAGCTTCATGTTTAGCTTTATGACACTCTGCCTATATTTTTCCTTAGCTTTAAATAATATTACCGTAATTAAAAACACGCTGTAGCCTGTATCCGTAAAAATGACGTATAATCCTCAATTTTAAAGTTGGTCATTCAAATAACAAATAAATAAATAGTTGGTTCATTAACACACAGCACCATCTAGTTCCATGGTAAGCTACGAGGCTTGTGTTATGGATACCAGATAGTTGATACACTACACATATATGATTTTAAATACATATATGTACGTATAATAAATATAAACACCCCTAACTGGAGTACAAACATTCGTGCTCATCACACAAATGAATCCCAGCGGGACTCGAACACACGACCGCTGGCACAGCAAGTACAGTCACTACAAACTGAGCCAATCGTGTCGTCGTTGCATTCTACATTACTATGTTATTACTCCAGATTTATCTATTTACTAAATTTCATCCAAATCCGTCCAGCCGTTACAACGTAACAAACAAACATACATACATACAGTGGTCCCATTGTATATGGCATATACAAGAAAGCCTTGTGAACAAGATTTAACTTCTTACTCATACTACATTTATAGCGTAATAGCGCAATTATCATTGTTTCCTATCAACAATCAATTAGCATTCATTGGTGAATCGATAGCTTTATAATGCCTTATATGGTATCATATGCGGTATTTGGGTATTATTATAAAGTTATACTTCTTTTGGCTCGTTTGGAAAAAAAAATATGAGAATAAAATTTTTACGATGCGCGCGCACACCGACAGCCAAAAAACGACATGATAAAGTTAGCTGCATTCCTTTTACAAACAGAGAGTTGTGACATACGGGATGAAATCTTAAGCCATTTTTGTTCTGTTACGTCAAAGAAGTATTACTTATAACGTGCTTACATAAGTACACACACACTTTTTTGTCAATTTAAATTATTTTTTGCGCAAATAGAATTAAAAAAAATATAGCTAAGTTTATCAACAAAACATTAATTTTCATTAGCTTAGAACTAAACATGAAGCCAAATGATTATATTATGGGTATTTCTCCGAGATTGCGTTCTTCATCTGATTAATCTGGCCAAATAATATTTGGCATATCTTTAATCTTATGAGTATGTTGAATAGAGCCAAAAATGAAAATAATTTTTGGCCAGATTAATCAGATGAAGAACGCAATCTCGGAGAAATACCCTTATAATGTTTTAAAATAGTATACAAGTGACAATTTGTATACTGAGTGGTAAGTAAATAAATGTTAATAAATAAACATAGCTGATCGATTTTTATTATAATAAAGAAAAAATAATAATTAGTAAGCCAATATCATGCATCTATCTTACAAGGGGAAGAGAACTAGCTAGTGCTTAAAAAATACGTAAGAATATACCTAGTATTATTTTTATTATTCATATTTTATTCCAATCTATACATCTATACAGATAAATAAAATTGAAGTGTCTGTGTGTAATGTCAAAATAACAGTGTTTTACTAAATGCATATGAAATTATATACGGTACTTATAAGAAAAACATATTTTATTTAATTTTTGTCTGTCTGTCTCCTTGTTTCGGATAATCTCTGAAACGGCTGTACTGATTTTGACGGGACTTTCACTGGAAGATAGCTGATGTTATAGGAAGTAACATAGGCTACTTTTATTTTAGAAAAAGAATAAGGGTTCCGTTCAAAAAAAATAAAACGTACCGTTATTTGAATAAAGTAAATGATTCGTATGGTAAAAGCAAAAATAGTCGCATAAACAGCAAATTATGCTAGTATTTTTACCTTCATGACATTTATTTTTGCGGGCTCCGTTTATTCACATTAAGAATTCGACAATTTTGTAATTTTTTTAATTGTTCATTTTGGCGCCAAAATTGATGTCCACAGATAATTAAATATATGGTTTTTTTTTTCAGGATGCAAGATCAAAAGCGAAGGTGCATCCAGCCTTTAAAAATGCAGGACAAAATGCCGGACTCGAAATATGGCGCATAAATGTATGTATATAAAATTATAGTAAATTATTTTAATTCTGTTATTTGAAAATTGGAAGTTTTTTTTTAAACTGGAATTTTGCAATAATGTCCCTAATATTCGGATAGGTTTCTAGGATATTAAAACCTAAGGAGTAAAAAAAAAAATTGTATATTTCAGAATTTGTTAAAAATCTCCACATGCTTATTTTTTATAATCTGTGATAAATAAAATATTTTTTCTAGTATTTGTGTAACATAGATAAAGCACGACATATTCTTAAATCTTAGCTACTAGCACGTCTTATTAAACGAGATGATATTCTACAATTGTTATAAGAAATAAATAAAAAAAAGATTTTTTTAATGATTATAATACTTTATTAGTTCAGTGACATACATGTACAGAAGTTTTATATATATAATATCTTCTTTTATCAAAACAAAACCCAAATTTTGTTTGCTTTAAAATATAACTTTTTTTTAAATTAGTAATATATTTTATATTATTTCAGAATTTCGAACCGGAGGTAGTACCTGCCGCAGATATAGGCAAGTTCTACAAAGGAGACTCTTACATCGTTTTAAAGGCAAGGCATTAATAAACTATGTAGTTGTTGTACACAATATGCCTTGAAAACTTCTTTAACTTCCTCTAACACTTTAACCCCTATTTCCCCCCTTCTAATTAACTTAAAAAAATACCGTCAATCCATCTGTCTAGACATGTACCAAAAAGTTATAATTATTGTAATGGAAAATTACATTTTTTTAAATAACTTCTTAGAATTTGAAATTTGAATAGTAAATTTTTTTTTTAGAATGGTCAGCTATATATTTTAAGAAAAAAAAAACATCCCACGGATGAAATGGAATTCTTAGGTTTTGGTGTTAAAGAAAAAAAATTACAGGAATTTATAAGCCAAAAATGGTCTCTGAACTGCAAAACTTTTACTATTTAGATATTTTAATAAACCTTATGTCCTATCAGACGACTGCGGATAAAAAGAAGAATTTATCCTGGGATATCCACTATTGGATAGGATCAGAATCAAGTCAGGATGAAGCTGGAGCCGCTGCTATACTTACTGTTGGACTAGATGATAAGTTCGATGGGAAAGCCATCCAGCACAGAGAGAGCATGGGCTACGAAAGTTCACAATTTTTGGGTTATTTCCCCGGAAAAGGTATCTTTGAATTTTTAACCGACTTAAAAAAAGAAGGAGGTTCTCAATTCGTCGGATTTTTTTTATTTATGTTAACCGATTACTCGAAGACGCCTGAACCGATTTGGAAAATTCTTTTTTTGTCTCAAGGGGTAAACTTCCCAGGTCCCATTTAAATTTTACCGAAATCGGTCTAGCGGTTTTAAAAAATCAAGAATAAATTATTTTTAAATAAATGACTTATTCGAATATGTTATTTAACTATCTTGTTGTTGTTGTTTCTTTCGCGGATTTTTTTTATTTTTGGTTCCCGACGTTTTGAATGCTTTACAGCAATCATGGTCACGGGAGAGACTAAGGTTTTAAACGATGTTAGGTGTTATTATCCGAAAAAGTTCTAAAAAATATATTTATTGCAAATGGAAAATATCCGCATATATCTAAGAAAGTATGAAAAGAAACATATTTAAAAATAGGTTATATATGAAATCCGTTAAACCGTTATTTAAAATTGAAAAAAAAATTTAATACTTTGTTATTTCCAGTTGTTCGCTATTTGGATGGTGGTAACGCGTCAGGCTTCAAACATGTCGAAACCAATCCTGGTGCTGAAAAACGTCTCTTCCAAGTGAAGGGAAAGAAGAATATTCGAGTGAGACAGGTAATCGACATGTACATATATAATATAAACTACATATTATAAAACAAAATTCTCCCGCGTCTGTCTGTCTGAACGCGATAAACTCTAAAACTACCGAACAGATTTTCATACGGTTTTTACCAATAGATTGAGTGATTCATGTGGAAGGTTTAAGTGTATAATTCCAAAAAATATACAATTAAAAATTTTTTGTACTAGCGATTCACCCTCATCCCTTAGTACGTTTTAACGGTTAGTATTGATTTCTTAGAGATGAGACTTTTTCCCGCACTAAAGGATACTTTATACGCTTGAAAATATCCGGTTATATGGTTATCCGGGTTAACAGTAATGATCAGCTGTCATCATACCAAATTTCATTAAAACCTGTCCAGCGGTTTTCTCGTGATGTGTTTCCAGACAGACAGACAAATATACGGATAGATAGACAAAAATTCTAAAAACTATTGATTCGGCCTCTGTATCGATTATAATGACTATTTCAATAAGATTTTCCAAAAAATATTTTATGTACAGATTCGACTCAGTTACAATTTTATTATATGTATAGACTACCAGTTCGGAATGGAAAGAACTTTCAGAGAAAAATTGGTTAAAGATGCTTTTTCACGAGAAGTTTTACCCAACCTTAGTTCTGTTTTCATTCTTTTTTTATAATTTCCAGGTGGATCCTCTCATTTCTTCAATGAACAGAGGAGATGTTTTCATTTTAGATATAAATAACGATATATTAGTTTACGTCGGAGAGAAAGCTAAGAATGTGGAGAAATTGAAGGCCATATCTGTGGCAAATCAGATCAGGGACCAAGATCACAATGGCAGAGGAAAAGTTGAAATTATTGGTATGTAATCTATACAGATAAATAAAATTGAAGCGTCTGTTTGTAATATCAAAATAACAGCTTTTTACTACTAAATGCATATGAAATTATATACGGTACTTTAAGAAAAAAATTGTCTGCCTGTTTGTTCCGGCTAATTTCCGTAACGACAGGACCAATTTTGATGGGATTTTTACTGGCAGGCAGCTGATGTTATAAAGAGTAACTTAGGCTACTAATTAGGGTTCAAAAAAATTAAATCCATGAAATTGTGAACAAAATTCGCGTAAGTATACAGTATGTTAGATAATCTCCACAATTACACACTAGAATTCGATATTGATGTTCTTGTATTACTGGAGATGGACATAAGCTTGAAACTAGGCGCAAAGAACGTTGTTTTGAGCTTTATTTTTTTAAATTAAACTTACAACAACATCGCCGATAACTTGATTAAAAAAAACTATGGTAATATGATTTAAACTTTATCAGCACTAAAGTCCAGTAGTAAGCCATCTATTAGTATAAAAATACTGATTCGTTTCATTACTTCAAATAAATTAATATTCCTTATAATATTAGTACAGAATTAGCATAAAAAATAATAACAGGTCGTAATTTTGGATTTCACCTAATATTAAAGCATTACAGCTTGTGTAGCAACAATCATTGACTGATGATTGGTGAAAATCGATTACTAGAATGGTTTTTCTTGATCGATATAAATATCGATAAAATGTACATATCAATTCAAATTCAATATATTTTATTCATCATTAAATTATTTCATTTTTTTACTGAACGTCATGAGTCTACTACCACTTCGGAAAGAAGAAGCCTCAGACCTAAGAAGAACTGGCGTAAGAAATTCAGCGGGACTAATATTATCCCTTTTTTTATTCGAATAAATATCGATTGATACGATTAAGAGAGATAGGGGGAGAGAAAGATAAATTTAGATTATAGTGGTATAATGTGTTTTAAATTATATTTTATTTTTATTTTCTATAGATCAGTACTCAAGTGACGCCGATGTTCAAAAGTTCTTTACAAACCTCGGTTCTGGCGCGAAGGATTTGGTTCCCGAAGATACTGCTGGTGGAGATGATCAGGTATGTGGCTTTCATAACGAAGGTACTATCAAATAGAAGAAGGAACAGAATGTACTTTCTTAGATTTACGCGAATATTTGACATTTTAAATGAAACTATTCGGATTTATTTTGATTTTTGGTTCCCGACGTTTCGAAAGCTTTATAGCAAACATGGTCACGGGAGATACTAAGGTTTTAAATGTCTCAAAGGCATTACATAGTTATTACATACAGACTACCCACAAAATAATGTAATCAAAATAAATCTGCGAAAAAATCCGAAAAGATAGTTTTATTTAAAAGGAAGAGAATGTGTTTTTACAAGTATAAGAAAAATAAGAAGAAGAAGTTTAAGAAGTATAAGAAAAACGAACAGGGATAGACAAAGAAGAAGGATGATGATGACGTTCTCAGTACCCATAACGATCATAGAACTTTTGTTTCTCTTTATAATTGTTGTTTAACTCGTAGTTTTGTTTTAGTTAGATTGATTTAAATGCAGTTTCTAATTTAGTAAGTCGATTTTAACCTAATTGTCATAAAAGTTCGGGTGTCAATGTTATTAGATACCATCAAGCTGATCTGATGGATCGAAGGTGGGTAGTAAAGCTCTTCAGCAAATTAATTATATTTAGTTAGCCCTTTTGACATCCCACTGCTGGGGGTGGGCCTTCCTTCAATACAAAGGGGATCAGGCTATAGTCCACCACGCTGGCCCAGTTCGGGTTGTCGGACTTGTGGTGGTTTGGTTGTAAACGTAATTAGGAATTAGTTTTTAGAAAATAATATTATCTATAACTTCTAAGACACGTGGTCAAAACTCATACATTTTGAGTTTTCATTAGCGATGTTGATTACGAATGTCATCTTAGGTATGGACGCTGCTGGGTTATCGTTTCTATTTATACTTTTGTTCAGAAAAGTCGTCTTGACAGTATTATTATGATGTAAAATGGACTGACGACACGTTTTGCTCAGTTTGTAGTGACCTTACTTGCTGTGCAAACGATCGCGGGTTCAAGTCCCGCTGGGGGTATTCATTTGTGTGAAAGCATAAATGTTTGTACCCCAGTCATGGGTGTTTAATGTTTATATTTATAAAATGTATGTTATGTTATTTAAAGTTATATATGTGTAGTGTATCAACTATCCGGTATCCATAACACAAGCTTACCATGGAACTAGATGGTGCTGCTGCTGACTCTCCCAACATATTTATTTATATTCACCATGTTTATCACTTACTTTTGAGGGTACCCGATATTTCGGCACTTATTAGCGCTATGGTCACGGGTATACTGATGAGTTTGCGGGTGGATGTTACATGTTTTATTGACAGTCATAATATTTTAGATTTTTTAAATACTATTTTGTGTTTGTGATTTTAGATCATGACCTATTCGTATAATTTCAGACTTTCGAGAAAAACGAAGAGAAATCAGTGATATTGTCAGAAGTTTCGGAGAGTTCTGGCAAAATTAAAATTACTCCATTATCTGCACCATTCAAGCAAGAACAACTCAAACCACAAGTACGTAAAATATTTTTTCTAATAAATTTTCCTACGGGATCTTCCGGGATAAGAAGACTTTAAACTGTAATACGAAACTTTGTATGTTTGTCACTCGTTCACGCTGTAACGGCTGTACGGATTTGTATATTTAGTACACAGATAGAATATGAGCTGGAGTAACATATAAGCTACTGTTAGACATCCTATAATATGGTTTTTATGATTTTTTATTCTCTATAATTATTCATTGTTGGTCCAATTGAAGAAAGTCGCGGTTACAGATAGTGAAAAAAGTGATTTTTGCCAATTGTGAGCTGATTTTCATGATTTGTTTCTTAAAAAAAAAAGATACTTTAGTTCTGTAATTTCCTATATTAATAATGGACTTAGTTAAGCAAAATACGAGATCTAACCACAAAAACTTACTTTTGAGAAAATAGGACTTTTAGTTAAATTGATATATCAAAATTACAAGACCGTAGTTTTTTTGAAACTCCTCTTAAATATTGGGTAATTTATCTACTTTCTGTATATAAGTTGATATGTAGGTGCTATTTATGACAGTCACTCAAAAAACGGTTTTCGTGAGCTGGTTCCATTTTGCATAGCTACGTCCAATTGTTCACTGAATGATTTGGATATTTCCAGGAAACCTACATTTTGGACACCGTGAGCGGCAGCATTTATGTATGGGTCGGAAAGCAGGCATCACCAAAGGTACTTAATATGCTACTTTAAAACTCAAATCTCAGTATTTTTAAGAAAATTTTTAACTTATCTAACTAACAATTAAAATGGTCACTTCAAACTGAGCCAAACGTCTCATCAACAAACTTATCTACTTCCTTATTTTTTAGGAAAAATCAGAAGCAATGGCGAAAGCAGAGCAATATTTGGCCTCTAAAAACTATCCCTCTTGGGTGAGTGAACTTCTAATATTATTATTTTTATGGTTCAAACTTTGGGTAGGTTGTTTTCAATAGGGAGTATGTATCTGCGAAGAAAGAATTTCTGGAAATTCATCCCCTAAAGGGTTTAGGGGTTTGAAGTTAGTCATAAAAATTGATCATAAATGATTTTTCTGCTTAAAAATATCAAAGTTATAAGAATGTATAAAGGGGTGAAAAATAGGGGATTAAGTAAATATTGAAATTTCGTCATTAAAAAGTTAGAAATATATATTTTTTTATTAAAGCTCTTAATTGGAGGGTACTTACGTATTTGAGAAAAAAGGATTTTTTCGAAATTCAACCCTAAAGAGTCTAAAAACTGCATTTTTTTAAATATACCTCGACTGTACAAATTTTAAGAATAAAATGTCTAAATTACATTTTAAGCTATATATAAGTCTGCTTATCTTTGTAGTTAGCAAGTTTTATTTTTAAATCTTAGGTACACGTAGCTAAAATACCACAAGGCACCGAACCCGCTATATTCAAGCAATACTTCGCTACTTGGAAGGACGTTGGAATGTCACACTCCCGCCTTGTCAGATCAATTGGTTTGTAAATAAGTTTTTAGTATAAGAGGTTCCACACTTTTACGGTTTTCCAAAACGGTTTTCGTATACGATTTGCCGTAATCGGTTTTTTACCAGACTGTTTATATATGACACTAAATAAACAAAAACAAACCTATCCCACGGGTACCGTACATTTTTCCGGGATAAAAAGTAACTTATGTGCTATTCTAGACTATAATCTATCTCTGTGCCAAATTCCATTTAGATCCGTTCAGCCGTTCTGGCGTGATTGAGTAACAAACATCCAAACATATAAATTTTCACATTAATACGGAGGAGTACGGTAACTAACATTGTGACATGGAAATTTTATATATAAGATAATATGACTAAGATTGGAAACCGTATAAGAAATCCTTTTGGAAAACCGCAAAGTGTTATATAGCTTGTAATATTGCATGTGGAATTTAATAAAAGAAAATTTATTATTAATATTTGTTTTAATATCCTTCTTGTATGCGAATGAGTTGGGATGTTTTTATTGGCTTATGGTGAGTTCCAATAACCTATCTGCTTTATTTTATTTTTAGGGTTCCGTACCCGAAGGGTGTCAACGGAACCCTATTACTAAGCCTCCATTGTCCGTCCTCCCGCTGTCAGCGGGCTGTATCTCATGAACCGTAATAGGTAGAGAGTTGAAATTTGCACAGTGTGTTCTATTGCCGCTATAACAACAAATAATAAAACATAACCATTTTTTAGCGTTCGTAATCGATCATCGAAGTTAAAATACTACATACATAGAGTAAAAGTCATATTAATAAAAAGTACCTGTACGATGGTATGGAACCCTTCGTGTGCGAATTCGACTCGCACTTAACTGACTTTTTAATTTTATCTATTTATTTATTAGGGAAATATACAATGAGATGGTATTATTTAAGGTTCTTTCTAATAGAGACAGGATTTTCACATAATTTGTATGGAGCTTGTGCTTTGGTAAGGAAAACTAAGATTAGATAGGTTATTGGGACCCGCCATAAGACAGCATGGTGTACTGACACACAATATGAATGCAGGGTTTATTTAAATAAATATATAGTCTATATACATATAAAATAATTTTAAATGATTTCTATATATATATATATATATATATATATATATATAGCGTGAGTATGATTTTGGTTTAAAGCACAAAATAAAAGTACTTGGCACAAGCATCTAATACCTTTAAACGAGTAATTCTTGTATATTTATTTATTTATATATACCGGCCATCTCGGAAACAGAAATTTGGAATGTGGCTGTTTTCGGGGGCGAAAAATCGATTTAGATTAGTCTTATCTGAAAGAACGCGTGTTTTCGAGTTTTCATGCGGTTTTCTTTCGCATTATACCACGCACCACAAAATATAGTCGATAATTTCGAATGCTCGGGCATAAGCATCGTGGTCAAGCGGCCACGGCGCAAGATTGACAATCACAGGTGTCCAGTTTCGAATCCCGGTCGGATACAAGTCTTTACTTTTGTTTTTTTTTTGTATTTATTTAAATTTTTAATTTTTTTAATCTAAAAAATACGATATAACAAAAAAGAACTCCGAGCGAAGCTCGGTCGCCCAGGTACTAGATTATTATATAATAGATTTCTAAGAAAATGTTGAGTTTCTTTGGGACTTCTCTCAGCAGAACTAGGTTATATAGCACTAACGACTCGCCCACGCTTCGCTCGGGTTCGTCTCTAGGTGCGTTTTAGCGATTAGTATCATATAGATATTAGACTATATTAGTATATATATACATACATAGGTATGATTTGTTTTATATCCCACACTTGAGAAATTATTGATTCCCCATACAAACTGTCATTCCCCATTTCAACCCCTTAAGGGATGGGTTCCCAAACTATATGTTTCTAGTAGCTTATATGTTAATCCAGCTCATAGTCTATCTGTATATTAAATTCTATCCAAATCCGTCCTGCCGGAAGGAAAGGAAGGAACAAACATACACACAAACAAACTTTCAAAAATATAATTGCAGTGTGATTTGATTTATTTTTATATATTATGTAAGTTTTCATCGTGACAAAAAAAGAAAATAGGCATGAAAATCAAATGACAATATTTTGTGAAGATTCTAAGACATTTTAATATAATTAAGCATGAAGCCAATATATGATTTTTGCATGACTGCGTCGTTGGTATAGTGGCTAGCATGGATGAGGGTTGCTCTTGGTACTTCTCTGACAGCAGAGTGGACCGTTGGAGCAACCCCATGGTTGTTGTGGTCTGCTTTGGCGGTCTGCCGTCGGGACGTCGTGGTTGAGTGCGGAAGCGATCCTGCGAAGAGCGAGGTTCTGTTGGGTTTTAGTGGGTAATACTGGCTTTTATTTCCGGTGAGTCTTATATAACCACCTGTATCTATGCAGGTGGTATGCGTAAATGCATTTCCCAAAGCTAAAAATGTTGCAAGCATGTACGCCTATGGATCCCGAGTTCCTGAGTTGGAGTCCTAAATCAGACCTAAATGTTAATAAATAGCTGTTAACTAATAAGCATGTCTACCTAAACTTCATAAGTTATAAAAAAATACAAAGAAAATGACGTGGGCAAAGGAGGACTTATAAGAGATCTCTTCCAGTCAACCCATGTATGTATAAGGAAAATTGTGTTAAATAGCGGGACAGAAAGAGAAAGTGTAGAAAAAAATTGTAAAGTATACCTATATATATAAGACATAAATACAAGTATAGGTATATAATATTTATTTATTTATTGTAAAGGCTTACTAACATAAAACATGTATTTAACATTATAATGTTACCTATTTGTATATAAATTTAATTTAAAAGTATGCACAGCTTTTTATAGAAGTATTCCATTAAAATTTTATGTGGTTACGAGTATATTAGGAGCCATTTTAGTTGTACAATAAACAAAAGAAGAAAAAAAAAAGAAAAAAAAAATCTAATCTAAATATTTAAATACACTTTCTTTTTAAATAAATTTAAACTATCAGAAAAAATGTCTATATCACATTGCTGAAATATAAAATTATACAATTTAAAGCTTCGTAAGAGTGGTGAATTAGAACCGTATCTATTTTTTCGTTGTGGAATATGTAGTGGTTTATAGTTAATAGCTCTTGCTGCAGATCTTGGTGTTTGTATATTTACTAGCGATAGTAGTGACGGACATTCTATGTAATTATTTACTAATTTAAAAACAAACATGGGTCGCAAAAAGTCGCATCTTTGGCGTAAAGTTTTCAAGTTAAAGTGTTAATATAAACATGTAATCTAATACATACTAAAATTATATAAATATATACATATGTACATATAAATATATACATAAGCATATAATAGAACAACGCTAGTCATCAGAATTTAAGAGTGAAATAATAGAAGAGTGCACGTTGCACTTGTGCACTATAATGTCTTCTGCGCAGTTGGCTAGTCTCAGTGGTATTGGTCGCCGTTGTAGAAAACGGTCGGAGGGAATTAGTGGCTGTCACTACGATTTTTTTTAATAGAAATAAATAAAATAATCAATGACTTAATTTGGCCAAGCCCGGAAATCGATTCTAAGACCTCCGGATCTGCAGCCAAACATACTAGGCACAAGATCACAGAGGCTAAATTCGAAAAATAAAGGTATATAGGTGGCACATCATAAAAATAATATTTTCAGTCCTCTTTAGAAAATGGGGTATCTTTGGATAGGTTTTTAAAGTTCGTTTCAAAACAATTTATTGTTCAAGCAGTAAATATTGCGTTTGAAAATATTTAAGATAGTACTGATTTCAAAATACTCTCAAAAAATGTATTATTTTGAAGAAGATACGTTGTAGTTTTTGAGATATAAGATATTTTCAGTTTTCGTGAACGGCCGCAAAAATAACTTTGTTTTTCACAGAAATATTATAAAATACATTTTTATTTTTGCATTTGATAAAACGAATTTTGCAGATGGGTAAATATTTTATTTTTCTTTTAATGTAACAACGTAGGTATATTTGCTAAAACATAACAATATTTAAGCTACGGAACTCGCAGAGTTCGAGTGAGACTCACTTTCCCGAATGTTGCGCATGTTCTCGAACAATCTTGTATTTTATCCTTTATAAAGCTTATGCTTGCAGCTTGATAAGCTAACGAAGCTTTAAAAATAACCAAAAATTTTCAATTTCCAGACAACAGTGACCTGCAAGAGTTAGAAGAAGATACCAAAACTTATTTATATGAAGTTACAAAGAGTTCAAATGGCATTCAGTTTAACCTTATACCAGATTTTCGACAAGTTGTAAGTTGAAAATCTCATGTAATATGTATAGAAAATTAGCGACTCGTCCTCGTTTTGCTCGGGTTCGTCCCTGAGTACATTTTAACGATTATTATGGAATAGACAGTCGATTCCTTGCTCTGTGAAAAACAAAAACAGCTATCCCACGGGAACCGTACATTTTTCAGGGTAAAAAGTAACATATGTGCTATTCCAAACTATGATCTATCTCTGTGGCAAATTTCATTCAGATCTGTTCACCCGTTCTGGCGTGATTGAGTAACAAACATCCATGCATCCAAACTTTCGCATTTATTGTATAAATGGGATGACTTTAAAAGAGCTAAAGAAAAAATTTGGAGAATCCTTATTTTAGAAATGAGAGATGAATTTTCTCTCGGTATGTCTCAGAACTAAATTCCATAATAGTAGGAATGGATCTATATATAGTTCTTTTGGGCTTGTATATATGTCCTGCAGCCTAGCTTATATTTATAATATATATATATTTAAAGTTATATATGTGTAGTGTATCAACTATCTGGTATCCATAACACAAGCCTCGTAGCTTACCATGGAACTAGATGGTGCTGTGTGTTAATGTCCCAACATATTTATTTATTATTTGATTCATCCTCTGTTCTTAGGATTTACAACAAGACCAGTCCTACATCTTGGAAACAAACACTAATGTATTTCTCTGGTATGGAAAAGAGGTTCCTCGCGAAGAAGTAAAAACTTGGCAACCTATTGTTAGTGTAAGTAATATTCAGACTTTTTAACGTCCCACTGCTGGGCACGGGCCTCCGTTCAATACGAGGAGGATCCAGGCCACAGTCCACCACGCTGGCCAAGTGCGGGTTCGGAAAGTCAAGTAATAATCGAAAATTATATTTTTTAACGGTATCCTTCGGTTATATTATAGATTTAAAACTCATTATTACCGATATACAATATAGTCCATGTTAAATGTTACATTTGAGTAAAGCTTTCCAGTGGTGAAAGAATTATTAAAATCGGTTCAGTATTTTCAGTCTATTGATTATAGTAAAGTAGTACCGATTTATATATGTAGTATATTTATAACAGATGAACTTAAAAATTGCTGGACCGATTTAGATGACATTTTAGAAAAAGATAGTTTCAGACCCTGGGAAGGACATAGGATATTTTTTATTCCGGAAATCATTCCTTAAGGGGGTGAAAATGGAAAAATCATGAAAGTTTGTATGGGGAATCAACCTCTAATTATATATAAACATTATTTTCATATACAGGCAACGATTTGGTTAGCGCAGGCCGGTAAAAGCGGCTATTTACTGCAAAATAAAATAAAACCTATATCCGTCAGGGAAAGCGTAGATATGAATTGGTGAAATAATTTTTAGAATAGGTTCAGTAGTTTCAGAAATTACCCTCTACATACAAACAAAGCTTACCTCTTCATTATATTAGTATTAGCGACTAACCCTCGCTCCGATCGGGTTCGACCCTACTTACGTTTTAACACTTAGTATAGATTTCTCAGAGATGAGATATTTTCTCGCAGTAAAAAGTATGCCATATGTTGACCCGGATAACCAGCTATCATCATACCAAATTTCATCTAAATCCATCTAGTGGTTTTCTCATGACCTTGTGTTTCTTGTGATGTCTCTGACAGACAGAAAGACGATAATTCTAAAAACTATAGATTCGGCCTCTGTATCGATGATAATGACTATTTCAATAAGATTTTCAAAAAAATATTTAATGTACAGATTCAAATAATTTAGAATTTTATTATATGTATAGATAGATAACTAAAATTAATATTTTGTCCACAGTCATACATGAAGAGCCGCCCTTTGACAACATTCGATAAACGTAGATCAGTGACCAAACAGGGACTCGAACCTACAGAATTTCTTAGAGCATTTGCTAAGTGGGACCCTGATATGTGGCTGGTAAGTATTTAAGCCAAGTTTATTAATTACTAGCATTGCCCGCGGCTCCGCCCGCGTTCAGATGACTACAAACCAAATTCTTAGGTTTTACATATTAGTATACTCTTACATTGCAGTTTTTCTATTTTTTCTCAGAAATTAGATATTTTTCCGTGGTAAAAAGTATCCTATATGTTGACCCGGATATCCAGCTATCATCTTACTAAATTTCATCAAAATCTGTCCAGTGGTTTTCTCGTGATGCGGTAACAGACAGACAGACAAAAATCCTAAAAACTATAGATTCGGACCCTCTATTAGATGATTTATAAGACTGCTAGCATAGCATTTATTTCACACCATAAAAAATAAAGTCAATTCTTGGCGCTTCAAATTTGGTGACCATTTACAACATTTTCTTAGAAATTCCTCCCAACTTGTTTGGAACATTTTTCATGGTGTGTAATAAATGCTATGCTAGCAGTCTTATAAATCATCTAATTATTACCCAAGTATTATATATAAATATCAGCTTTTATACTATAACGTAAGTAGAATTATGATTTCATGAAAAGGGTGTCTGGCAAGGGTTTGCCACGATGTTAAGTGTCTGGCATTGAATGACGTGATTTTTAATAATATTCTGAAGGTAATACCAAAAAATAACACTTTATTATTTGACGAATTTAGATCGGTATTTTACACACTTTTAGTACCGTGTACCTGCCAAAGCCACCATAGCCTGAACTTCATAATGGTCCATCGTTCTTATTTGTGTTGGGAGCATGCGCTGACAAGCTTTCAGCCTTTATAAAATGACGAAGGTCTGGCGTTCACGGGCTCTTCCTCAAAATAGTCCTTTAAGTAAATTCCTTAAAGTAGTTTTTAGAGAAAACTTCCTACTTACAAACGTACAACTTTTATATCTTTATAATATTAGTGTACCCCTAGTCATGTTAGAGCATTTTATAAAATACTAGCAGTACCCGCGGCTTCGCTCGCGCTTACACTTATTGTGTCTGTTATATTAATCAGAATAATGTTACTTATAATATTCTTTTTTACAGAAACAAAGTGTGTATGAAAGAGAAAGAGAAGAAGTTCTGAGAAATAATGAGATAAGAGATACAAAATAATTCTTCTTCCGCGCATTCTCTTTTTATTGGATTAGATCATACATTTTATATCTATATTTAGAACAAATATATTCAGAAAAACAATCAATTTAAATAAAATATACACCACAATATAACGTCTTTCTATTTTTCACCTCCAACGCAAAAAGAGGGTAGTCAAAAGTTTAACGTGCGTGCATGTTTATCTTTGCATCTGTCGGTGACACCGTAGCGCCCAAACGGATGAACCGATTTTAATTTAGTTTTTTTTGTTAGCTATAAATCAAGAAAGTCCGTTCAGCCGTTTGCAAGCTATCAGCTATTTTCTATGGTAAAAGGATATGAACAACTTTCCAAAGATCTTATCGATTCTAAACTTGGTATCCCGTTACTTCAAGCCTGATGCTGCAGCGTCATCTGGAACCTGCAAGATACTCAACTCTACTAAAATACTGCAGATATCGTGTAAAGGCTCATTAAAATGGCCTCAATAGATAAATTATCGTGTTGGGGGTTTTTAAATTTTTAACTTAAGAGTTATTCCTATTTTTTACATATTTTTATAGCGTTTTTAAGTTTTAAAATATTGTTTAATATTTAAAAACTAGAAGACCATGCAATAATTTGGATTAATCGAGCTGAACTGCTGGAAGAGCCAGGAGATGGATGGTGAAACTTCTCGATAGTTAAAACTAAACTTGCAACAAATAGTATATTCACCCATAGTATATTCACCCATTCGGCAATACCGAATATTCAGGGTCTTTCAGGCCGAATAGCCGAATATTAGGCAAAAGTATTCGGTATTTTTTTTATTATTTTTTATAATACAGAACTTAATTATGTACCTATGATTACTTTAATGATTATAAGAACATTATATTATGAATTATTTGATTACAACAAAACATTTACGTAAGTATTCGGTATTCGGCAGAATAGGAAAAAAGTAGCCGAATAGGCCGAATACCGAATAATAACCGAATATTCATTGCAAGTCTAGTTAAATGTTTGAATGTGGCCTCATTTGATTTTTACATGTTTCGAATATAACAGTGAGTAGAAAACGTATTTTTCGTTGGTTGGTTGAAAACTATTAGTATTTTCAATATAAAATTAGGTAGGTGGTAGCCCAGTGGTAATGAGCTCGTTTGGGAAACCGAGTGAAGCGGCTTCAAATCCTGATTCTCACACCTGTGATATTTTCATGTGCGAGTCATTTCCAACATGATCACCGCTTGTCTTACGGCGAAAGAAAACATCGTAAGGAAACCTGCATGTCTGAGAGAACCTAGCAAGTTGTCGAAAGACATGCTCAGGCCTCCCACACTTGTCCAGTATGGTGTACTATGGCTTGATCCTCCTCGTATTGGAAGGTCCACCCCCAGCAGTGGGACGTTAAAAAGGCTGAATACAATGCAGTAAATAAAATAAGTAATTCTAAAAAAAAAACATTTATTTTGTGCGTTATAAAGCAAGATAATAATACTTAAAGAAAGAAATACAAAAAAATAAAAATTATTCTGACAATATTAGGTGGGTAGCAGTCGTATAAGAAAGAGAGTTGCGTCTAAGTTCTTTTATCATTATTATCACATTTTGTTAAATTTGATAAACATTTTTTTATTGATAACACGAAAGCTCGTCAATAGCTAGGGGCCATTCATTAATTACGTAAGATGTCTAGGAGGAAGGGGGGTTTCCCAAAATCTCTACAAACCCCAAAGTGGGCGAGGCGGGTGGGGCGTGTGATTTATAACATAGTGTGATGGATACAACTCTGAGATTTTCTTTTTATTTACTAATGTACAATTCCAAAACTAAAAATCTTTCATTTACATCAAATTATGAGTTTTAGTGTAATTGGTCCTTTTCTTAAACTAGATAAAATCTTATGTAAAAAGGGGAAGGGGCAGTTTGAGAAATCTTATGTGCTCTTAGATGGAGGTAGTGGGGGTCAAAAATCGCCAAAATTGTCCTTACGTAATTAATGAATGGCCCTCTACACACAACAACGACAAGAAAAAATAACGATTATTTATAGATATTTTTCCTTTAGCAGTGTACACTATGATATTAAACTTTCTTAGATTTATGCGAATATTTGACAATTTTAAATAAATCTATCATCGGATTTTTCGTGGATTTATGTTTATTTTTGGTACTGGCAAGCAAGCTCCAACAAAATAGGTTTATTTAAAATACGCATGTCCAAAAACTCCATACAATAAAATGAAGTTTGATGTGTTGCTATAGTGTTTTTATTGTAACATGGTACAGTACAAATCAACACGGTGCATGTCTCTTTTTTCTTCTCTCTCATCTCTTTTCTTCGGTCACATAATTGGTCAAGAGAGAGAGAGAGAGTTCTATTTGTGATTCGTAAAATATGAATTTGGTATTAACAATATTTTCAATTCAATTCTCTTGTTAATGGCTTCAAAGCATGCACGTTGAGCACAGGTTACGTCGCCAATGTTACGTAAAAAACAATATTTTAAAGTATTTTTTACGATCTGTACAGCAAAATTGAGAATAGTAGCGTAGCAAAATCATGCAAAAATTTTTGACATTGACATTTCTTTTGGCGGGCCACGACTATATTTTTTTTATCTGTGATAAACATATCATGTACCATTGCTTAAAAGTTATTAATTGTTATTTTAGTATGCAACACTTATATTAAAAAAAACTATAGATATAGTTAATATAATAAGAGGTTAATAAAGAGTGCTATAATTAAAAAAAAACAAAATTATTTTGTATTAAAGCTAGTTCCAGTCTTGAAAGTGCTGTTTGAAAGCAGTGGGTTCAGTTCCTTCCACTACTTTTGATATATGTACCTGGAATTTAAAAAAAAACATTATAGAACACTAGTGGTATACCCGCGGTCCGCGCACAATTATTTTTATAAAACATTTATAAATTATGTACGTTTTAACATGTATAGTTATAATGAGTTTTATATCCCCTTACTTGAGAAATGATTGATTCCCATACAAATTTCCACCCCAATTTTCACCTTCGATGATTTTAGGGTTAAAAACTGTCCTATGTTCTTACCAGATTCACGGACCGACAGACAGACAGACAGTGTTACTTTCGTGTTTATAATATAAGTATGGATATTAGCCTACACCTTTTCAAGATAACAACATCGTCTTACCAGTGAAAACTGTATGAAAATCCGTACAGCTTTTTTAGATTTTTTGTTGAGATTAGTTCCAACAAAAACAAACCAAAGGTAGGTTGTATTTTATTTAGATTGTAGTTTTGTATTGTTTATTTTTTCTTGTAAACATCATCTTGCCCATTTCCCAATCAAACAAAATCTATTTGTAAACGATAGCTTAAATATATCCCGATAAAATATCTTCAGTCTACAATCTAAAAAGTAGAAGTCTAATATAAGTCTTGCTAAAAAAAATTTAAACAGTGTGGAAAAAGAAAAAAAAGTACTTAAAATTACGTTAAACTTTTCATTTAATTTTTTTCAAATTAACATTATGTTTATGTGAATATATGGAAAAATTCAAAAAGAATTTGAGTTAAACTCGAAATAAAAATAGCTTATATCCTGAATTGAAATATATATAGGCTACTTTATATCGACGTGCTAATAATACGAGTAAAAAAACTAGTGAATAAACAAATTTTGATGCAACTCACCCAAGAAGGATAGTTGTTAACTTCAAGATAATGCTGCGCTCGCCTCATTGCTTCCGCTTTTTCCTAAAAACAAGGATATATTATTATAATTTGTAATTCTATCTCTGTCATAATTAAAAAATACCCTACAGAAGATTGAAGAACCATTATTTCAACGACACGTTTGGCTCAGTGTGTAGTGAACAATAAATGGACCTATTTGTAGATTATGCTACTGCCACTTGCTGTGCCAGCGGTCGCGGGTTCGAGTCCCGCTGGGAGCATTCATTGTGTGATGAACACGAATGTTTGTACTACAGTCATGGGTGTTTATATTTAGGTATAATCATGAACGAATTAACCACAGTTTATATATGTGTAGTGTATCAACTATCTGGTATCCATAACACAAGCCTCGTAGCTTACCATGGAACTTGATGGTGCTGTGTGTTAATGTCCCAACATATTTATTTATTATTTTATTATAATATTTTGCTTTTAATAAAACTTTTTTTTTATTTTTTTGCGGATTTATTATGATTTTTACTTAAAATGTTCGCATAAATCTAAGAAAGTATTATATATTTTCTCTTAATTTAAAATAGGATGAACCTCAAAGTGTTTTATATTTTCTAAATAATCAAAATATAAAACAGTAATATTTAAAAACTGTTCACAAAATAATTATGTAATATCGTTCCGACCGATGTCGGTCACGGCGGCCAATCTCACTGAGACTAGCCAACTGCAGATATTATAGTGCAGTGTGCGAGGGAGACAGACACATAACGTGCAGTCTCTGTCCCTGTCACGCTCATACTCCTGTGGTTACAGGTTGACAATGGTGAGAATCAGACGTAAACGGATGTGTACACGTAGTTATGAATTCCAAGCTGCATAACTCTCTTTTTGCAGTAGTCGGGTAAAAATAAACCATTTAATATGATTTAATACATTCTAAGATTTACACAAATACTTGACATTTTAAATCAAACTATCTTTTCATTTTTTTTTATTTTTGGTTCTCAACGTTTCAATAGCTTTACAGCGATCAACATGGGAGAGACTAAGGTTTTAGACATCTCAGAGGTCATATATAGTTGTTACACTGAGCATTTATCCACAAAATTATACAATATTTCAAAAATATAAAAATGGCACCAAAGTACCTTACAATTTATTGTATGTATGTATGTATGTATTCAGCCCTTTTTAACGTCCCACTGCTGGGCACGGGTCTCCTCAGTAAGAGAGGGATCAGGCCATAGTCCACCACGCTGGCCAAGTGCGGGTTGGTGGACTTCACATGTCTTTCGAAAACTTGCTAATTAATTTTAAACATTATTAGAAAGCTAGTAAAGTAATAAAATCTCACCCGTCCACTTGATTGCTTTCCAACCCATACATAAATACTGCTGCCAGTGTCGAGGATGTAGCATTCCTGTAACACAAATATGTATACTAGCAGAACCCGCGGCTGCGCTCGCACTAAAACTACGAAAAAATCTCTAAAAAGGTAGTTTGATACAAACCTTAAAACCCCCATTTTACTCCTTATGGGATGAATTTCATAAAATGCTAAAACACGTATTTATTTAATTTTATTAAAGAGCATTAATACCAAGTTTCAAGTAATTCTGGTCATAAGTATTTTTTTTTGATTGTATTATAACGTGTTTTCCCGTGGGAATTAGACAATGTCTCGCGATTATAAGTAGCCTATCTATCACTCTCTAGCCCGCCAACTATCTCTACATAAAAAAAACCACGCCAATCCGTCACTCCATTTCGACGTGAAAGAAGGACAAACAAACACACTTTCACATTTATAATATTAAGTATGGATTTTAATTCAGCATTCAATTATTACAATATTGTAATAATAATATTTAATAATAATAATCCCATAATATTTCGGAGAAATCCGAAAAAAGTAAGATCTACATCACTATTTTCTATAGTAAATCTATATAGTAACTCTGTTTGTTTGTCAGCTTTTACCTTAGTATCCAGCAGCTCTTGTGTTAACGGTCCTGACAATTTCCTAATCTGAATCGAACCCGTACTATCCGATATTTCACTTAGAGACACTTCTTTTGCTTCTCCACGCTCAAAGTCCTAAAAAGATATTATAATATTTATTATTTTTCACCCAGAAATATATAACGACTTGTAAATTACTTGTACTTAGGCAATCAAACCTCATTCGGTCGCTTTTCGGAATAAGACTTAAGTTACTAAATATATAGATAAACTTAAAAAGCAAAACCTTATCTAGATACAAAGTTTGATCCAAATCGTTAGAGCTGTTTCCGAAATACATGAAAAAAAACCATACAACAATCGTTCATTTAATATTATTTTAATAAAATTTTATATAAAAATAATTTGTTTTTCTGAAATATAAGCCTATATCTATCTATGTATATAATAAATCGATCGGTGTATGTATGTTCCCTATACATACATATAACAGCTCGAACGATTCTGATGATATTTCCAGGCAATCTTCAGATTCAGATCCTGTGAAGTTTGGTAGCGATTGGAAGTTTCGGAGCCGCGGGAAATGCTAATAGTTAAATAAAACAGGAAAATTATTTGTACCTCATCATCGCCTCCCTCTTCAGCATCCGATACAGAATCTTGATCTCCGGAGCCCAGAGCGGTGAAGAATGTGTTGACGTCCCCTTCATTAGAGAAAGGATCTAGAAGAAAAAGTTAATTTATTATATCTCGTGAAGAAACCTTTACTAGAAACAAAAATATTTTGGAAACAAATAACTAAAAGTTACAATTAAGGGGTGTGCGAATAATTCGAACTTACGAATTATTCGTTCCGAATCGAATATTAATATTCGATTCGGAACTCGAATCGAATAATTCGAAAATTCGAATTATTCGAAAGTTCCCGAATAATTCGAACATATATTGCAAATTTTAAAAATGAGCAATTGTTTTCTCTGGGTAATTGATTTTTAAACGAAAAGTATATTATTCGTAAGTAGACTATTTTGACACACGATTTGAAGGAATTTAAATTCCTTATTATATATTCGATTCGATTCGAACGATATTCGCACACCCCAGACAAATAAGCAAGCGCGAGGGCCACACGCAGTATAGGGTTCCGTAGTTGCCCATCACAATAATGCGGATTACGAAAAGGGCTTTTTGTTGGTTCGTATGAACAAGTATGAACATTTAACATTAACGGTTTCGGTAGTTCATAGTAAGTAACAAGTACCTTTTATAAGTTGGTGGACTATTACTCGTACACATGTAAAGCCTACTCAGCTGTGATAGTTTTCACATAATAACTAAGTACCTGAGCTACCGAGTTTCGCTCGGAGTTTTTGGCCTAAAGTACAATTTTCTTTTTTTTTAAACTAAGAACTTGAATTAAAAATTTAAAAAATAAAACAAAAGTAAAAACTTTGTATGCGACCGAGATTCGAACCTTAGCACCTGTGATTGTTGATCTTGCACCTTGGCCGCTTGACCACGATGCTTTTACCCGAGTGTGTAAATTACCGACCATATTTTGCGTGCAATAATGCAAAAGGAAACTGCATGAAAACTCAAAAACACGCATTTTCTCAGATATAAGACTAATCTAGATCGATTTATCGCCCTCGGTACCCCCCAGATACTAAATTTCATGAAAATCGTTGAAGCCGTTTCCGAGATTCAGATTATAAATATATAATATACATGAATTACTCGTTTAAAGATATAAGATAAGATATATAACTCTCTTCATTAACCGTCTTTAAAAAAATAAATTTTCTAATCAAAGGATTTTTACGTGTCTACGTAAAGCGATATTTTCGATAATTGTAAACGTTTTAATAATAACTAGTATTCTCCCAGTTGTTGAAAATCGACCATAATAATTATTGAAAATTTGAGGAAAACATATATGATTAGAATTTACCTAACTATATAAAAAACAAGTATTTCCAAAAGTTTTATTGATAACACTAAAGCTCAATAGCTACTAAACAAAAAAAAGAAAGGTTGACAAACAGAGGAGAAAAAGTTACTGAACTGTCTTTGCTTTATTGAGACGATTCTTCTAAGACCCATATATTTTTCATAGTAGTGAGGCATTTTTAATATTTTTACTTAACTTTAGCAACATATATGTCCCATATAGATTCTAGTTTCATTAAATCATCAGGAAATCGAAACCAAAATCGGTCAGGTGGATATTATAACTGATGACGACACGTTTGTCTCATTTTGTGGTGACCCTACTTGCTGTTCCAGCGGTCGCGGTTATATATGTGTAGTAGTACGTACGTAGTCGTAGCTTACGATGGAACTAGATGGTACTGTGTATTAATGTCCCGACATATTTATTTATTTATACTATCGCACTTTCCAAAGTTTCCCATAAAGACGCAAATACACGCTATAACCAACCATCATAAAAAGATTATTCTCTTAAAAATACCAAACTTACCAATAATCTCAATATTCCCTCTTCCATTGTGATCTTGATCTCTTATTTGATTGGCTACAGATATAGCTTTCAACCGTTCCACACCCTTCGCCTTCTCCCCCACATACACCATGATGTCATGGTCCACATCTAGTATAAAGCAATCTCCCTTATTCATTGAAGTTACAGATACTTCCACCTGAAAATACAAAAAAAACTGTTAAAATATGAATGAGTAATAATAATGCGAACTTTTTAGTACTCTGCTGGACTGGACCTCTGGGCTCTAGACTGGGCTTGGGCCTCCCTCAATGAGTTGGAGGGTGCCACCAAATAAAGGTTAGCGAACTTGACATGACTTTCGAAAACCAGTTAATTTATTTGAGATATGCAGGGTTCTCCATTTTCATTCTTTAAAAATGATATGTTAATACAAGAAGGAAAATATCGTGATGAAACCTGCAAGTTTGAGAGAATTTGTCTTGACAACAGATATCTGATATCCACGAACACAGAGTTGGATGGCGTGGTGGACCATGGTGGACAATGGCCTCTAATTTAAGGGATCACTATGCCCATTAATGGGACGTGAGGGAAATTATCGTTTTATTTAGTTTTGATTGTGAAGATAGTATTTTTATGACTGAAAAGAAAAAAGGATCATCCTGGAGTAAATTGAGGTGAAGTTGTATATATATATATATATATATATATATATATATATATAACCTTTCAGGTAAAACAACTGTAACATTATTTGTATGAACCATACATACCTGTTTAACTCTGACATTACGTTTTCCTTTAATTTGGAAGAGACGTTTTTCTGCGCCAGCGTTGATTGTCACGTGGTTGAAACCTGACGAATGTCCGCCGTCTAAGTACCTAATGGCTGAAATTACTTAATAGTAAGTTTAAGCAAGCTTAGGCTCGTTATCTATACATATAAATAAAATTAACGACGACACGATTGGTTCAGTTTGTAGTGACCCACATGCTGTGCCAGCGGTCGCGGGGTCGATTCCCACTAGGAGCATACATTTGTGTCATAAGCACGAATGTTTGAACTCCAGTCATTTGTGTTTATATTTATAATATGTTTGTCATATATGTATGTATAATATATGTAGCGTATCAACTAATTCTGGTATCCATAACACAAGCCCCGTAGCTTACCATGGGACTAGATGGTGCTGTGTGTTAATGTACCAACATAATCATTTAAATACGTGTGTTTTAATAGTGTCTATGATTGCAAAATAACTATGTTTTCCCAAGTACATAGAGTTATTTTTTAAAATAAATGGTATAAATACCAGTACTAAAACAACCATTTGTTTAAATATTTGCCTATCTTTCTGTTTGTCCGGGGTAATCTTAGGAAAAGCTTAAACGATTGTAATGGGACTTTCACTCAAAGATAGAGGAGTTCGTAGGGCTACATATAGAGTATATTTTAATCCGAAAAAAAAACTGTTCCTGCGTGAAATTCGGAAATCATTAAAAATTATGCAAAAAAAGTCCACGATAGCATTTGGTATCTCCTAATCACAATCACTATTTTTATGTATTTAAATACATATATTGTGTAGGTGCTTTTAAGATATTTAAAATTATAGTTGTTAAGTTTTTATATCAAAAAGTCTCAGTAAACGCCCAGTGTTGGGAAACTGGTAGTCTCATCTCCAAGCCTCAAAAAGTACGTATAACCAAAAGCATTGACTTCTCATTATTGTTTGATACATTTTTAAACAAATGTAATGTTAAATATCTATTAATTGTTATGTAGTACATATTGTGATGGTAAGTCTAAGTGATTAGCCTTCACCATATAGGGTAAAACGTACCGTAAATTTTTCCACATTGTGTAACATGAGGAAGGCCTTGTATGGATGCTATAATGATAACTATGTTTATTGTATCTTTAAAAAAAACAGTTATTCTGACTTTAACTTAAAAAGGAGATTTTTTTGAAATATATACTCTAAATATATACTAATATATTTTTTTTTTTTAATCTTTATTTTAAAAGGGGTTTGGTCACAAAGTGATCATGCCACCCCTATAGGAACAACTAAACATAAGGAATACAATTTCCAATAATCAACCTTATAAATAACATAAATTAAGTATTTCTATGTCTTAATCCGACTTGTACTACTTTATACAACATTCTTGACTGATTCGATATAGGATCGGCCAGAATGCTGTTAAAAGCTCCTATGTCTAATAAATTTATATTAAATCTTAATAAAAAAATTCTTCTTTCCGCTTCATTTCGGACACATTCAGCTAATATATGATGTACATCCTCAATTTTATTACATTCTGTACAGGCATGCAGGCAGATGACACCGCCTTACCCATTAAGGAGGCAAAACTATTCAATGGAATGTGACCGGAACGAAGCCTCAACTTGACTTTAACTTAAAAAGGAGATTTTTTTGAAATATATACTCTAAATATATACTAATATTATAAATGTGAAAATAATTCTGTCTGTATGGCTCTCTGTTATGTTTTCACACCTAAACGGGCCAAGTTCAGTTATCGAGTTTTTCTATCAAGAAATTCTTAGTAACAGCCCGGAGTTAAGAAGTTGGCGGTGCTTCACTCCCGTGTCTCGAAAAAATCCTCTCTTTGGTCGAAATCAGTCAGATGTACATTGTTATATCTATTGAACAAACTACATCGCATTACGGACCAATGAGAACGGAGTCTTCTAGATTCTACAAAATAAAACAACGAGGAATAGAGCAACGAAAAAACGCTACTGAAGTATATGAGAATTTACATTATTTCAAAGGTTTTTTTTATCAAATTCAAAGTTTTATACCAACCTGGTTCAAAATAACTCAAGAACTGCCTGGATTCATAGCCCTGAGTCTCCCGATGCTGGACAGCACTGCCATCGAACTGCCCATCATCGAGATTCACTGACAAAATGGCTGCTGCTCCTGCTTCATCCTGACTGGTTTTAGATCCCAACCAGAAGTGGATATCCCAAGAAAGATTTGTGTTTCCGGTTGTCTGGAGGTTATTTTAAAAGTTTATTTTTTCATGTATATAGATAAATATTGGTTTGACCCCGTAGCTTCATCGTTCTTGCTCATAAAATTATTCCATAGCATAATTCATCTATAGGCAAGCTATATTCAAGATAAAAACACATACAGTTACTAATTTCGATATATATGTATAGCTAGTTTCACTTTCTTTGATTCTTTCTTAGATGTATTAGAATAAAATTGAAGTGTCAGCTGTTTTTAATATTAAAATAGCAGCTTTTTACTAAATGCATATTAAAGTACATACAATATTGTACATACTTAGTATATGTATAACTAGCATTGCCCGCGGCTCCGCCCGCATTCAAATGACCAAAAACCAAATTCTTAGGTTCTACGTATAAGTATACTCTTACATTGCAGTTTTTGCATTTTTTCTCAGAAATGAGATATTTTCCCGCGGTAAAAAGTATCCTATATATGTTTTTTAATAGTATAACGAGTACAAACAGAAACTACTTCCACTTCTTATTATTAGCATAGATACAACGTAGTACGTGCGTTTTAAAGAACATTTATTTAGAATGATATTGTGTACATCTGCTCATCATTATCGTATAGAACAGTCAGTAAGAAATTCAACAGATGCCAGTTATCGCAATTGGACCTTGCGTTGCGTCATTAATCTAGTTAACATTAGCCTAAGTCTTAGAAGCGGGGCTATTATCTATACATCTATACAGATAAATAAAATTGAAGTGTCTGTTTGTAATGTCAAAATAACAGCTTTTTACTAAATATAAAATTATATATGGTACGTAAAAAAAATATAATTTTTAATTTTTTTGTCCGTCTGTCTGTTTGTTTCGGCTAATCCACGAATTGGCTAGACTGATTTTGACAGGACTTTCACTGGCAGATAGCTAATGTTATAAGGAGTAACTTATTTTTATTTTAGAATAACGAAGTAAAAGAGGCACCAGGGCGATGCGAGGATAAGTCGCTAGTTATATATAACTAAAAAATATAAGCGAGCCAAGCCGTGAGCAAGAGTTAGTACATAGTGTAAATGCGAAATTTTGTATGTACGTTTGTCTATATGTTTCTCTTCTGTCTTTAAAATAAAAGTCAAAATTTGTACTAAATCTCATCTAAATTGGCCTAGTCTTTTCAGCGTGAAAGAGTAACAAACGTACACAAAAACGCGCGCACATACAAACTTTTACGTTCATATTAGTAGTATGATTCTCGCATAGTAAAAACTGAAAGTATACTGTAGAATCAGTGGTGGATTTACCAGGATTTACAGGATTAGTAGTCTTAACTCTAGGGCGGGCAATTTTAGGGGCGGCAAATTTAGGGCGGAAATTTTAAGCGACTGTCAAAAAGACTTCTCAAACGATTGAGAATACAACTGAGCTTCAATTGGCTTATCTATACCCAAAAACTATTTCTTGTGTAATTTCATCTAAATTGTTAGATTTTAAAAATAATCTAAGAACTGACCATAGTAAAACGGCCAACGATCAAAAAAGTATTAGATACACAATCCCATGCAAAAGTTCTCTTAAAACTGTTACCGATTGTGTTTAGGTAATTATTCTACTTGAAATAAATATACAACAATGTAAATTGAACCTTAGATGCAATGCTTAAAGTAGTTTTCACAAAAAATATATATAAGCGCGCTCAAATGTTCAAATGAGCGCTTATTCGGTGAGGACATTTTTTGTCGGTGATTGTGTATCTAGTATGTATAAATCCGCCCCTGTGTAGAATACTCACTTTCAAGACGATGTAAGAGTCTCCGCTGTAGAAATTTCCATATTGTTGTACTGGAACTGCGACAGGCGCGAAGTCCTAAGCATAAAGTAATAATAATTGTACTTTAATCATGGTTATTCAATGTTGTTAAAGAAAGGTTAAGTCGTCTCCGAGAAATCGGAGAACAAACATAAATAAAAATCGGTCAAGTGCGAGTCGGACTCGCACACGATGAGTTCCGTACTATAATTGTTTTATTTTTTTATTTGCATGGCAGCCATTTTCAAATTCACCATCTTGGTTTTTTATTTGTTGTTATAGCGGCAATAGAAATGCATATATGTGTAATATATTTTAAAATACATACATAATAATAATTAATTTAGACACCCCTGACTGGATAAGCAATCGTGCTCATCACACAAATGAATGCCCCCAGCGGAACTCGATCCCACGACCGCTGGCACAGCAAGTAGTGTCACTACAAACTGAGCCAAACGCGTCGTCAAAATAATTACTAAGTGGCTAGTAGGTGAAAATAAACTTTCAAGATCTGATTGCATAGTAACGTGAATGAAATAAGAGCTTGATAAAAATATAGCATAACTAACGGCGTAATAGATCCCATCGGACAGTTGAAGAATTTGGTATCTCAAAGACTCTTAAGATGTTTTAATACTTAATAAGTTTTACGCGATTATTTGACATGGATTTATCGTAGCTTTATCCGACTGCGGTGAAAAGGAGAGTTGTGTGTTTGACCTGTATGTATGTATGTATGTTGATCCGATGTTACTAACCAAAGTACGGCTTTCTAAAATAAAGTAAGCACTTGGCAACACCGCGAAATATTTCTTTAGCTGAAAGTAGAACTTTAAGAAAGTGTAAGTGAGATCTATACATCTATACAGATAAATAAAATTGAAGTATCTGTATGTAATGTCAAAATAACAGCTTTTCACAAAATGCATAAGAAAGTATAATATATACGGTACACAATTTTTAATAATAATTAAGAAAAACACAATTTTTAAAATTTTTGTCTGTCTGTTGTTATGGATCGATTTTGACGGGACTTTCACTGGCAGATAGCTGATGTTATAAGGAGTAACTTGGGCTATTTTGATTGAAGAAAAAGGATTAGAGTTCCCCGTGAAAAAAAATAAAAACCCATAAAATTGCGTCAAAAAAACAAAATCCGCGTATCTAGGGTCGTCGCTAGTAATTTGAATATAAATAAAATTTGAAAATACTTAGTTTTAGTTGGTATTATTATGATTTTGAAAGTTTAATTTTTTTTTGTTTTATGTATACTTTCTAAACTAATATTATAAATGTGAAACCTGTCTGTGTACCTTTTCACGTTTAAACCGCTGGACAGATTTTGATAAAATTTGGCAAGGACATAGATTGCATCCTGAGATCGGACATATGCTACCTTTGATCCCGCCCCGCTTACCACGACCTAATTAACCAGGACCCTGGATGTTATATCTAGCTTTATTAAATCAATCTGAATTAAAAATATTAAAAAATAAAAATATAATGAAGAAATTGCGTTACAAACAAGGAAATAAAAAATTAATATTGAGCTTTCCACCTTTTTCGAAGTCGATCATAAAAAAATATATAAATATCAGTCAATGTTTAGTATATATATATCACAAAAAAATAAACACATAAATGTAGTACAAAAATATAAACATCCCGACGCTGAAATAAATATGTCCGTCTGTGGCTAGCACGCGTGAAGTGACATGTGAAGATGTTAATACGGATATGTTTAGACCAAATCTATACAAATAAATGAAATTAAAGTGTCTGTGTGTAATGTCAAAATAATAGCTTTTTACTAATACATATGAAAATATATACGTTACTTATAAGAAAAACATATTTTTTTAATTTTTTGTCTGTCTGTTTATTCTGGCTGATCCCCGAAACCACTGGACCGATTTTGACGGGATTTTCATTGGCTGATAGCTGACGTTATAAGGAGTAACTTAGGATACTTTTATTTTAGGAAAGAATTAGGGTTCGGCTCAAAAATATTAAAATGTACGTAGAGATGCACCCGAGTGAAGCGAGGTTTAGTCGCTAGTTATAGTAAGACTAGTCTTAGGCTAAAATATTTTTCAACCCATTTAAAAACAAATTAGTCATACATTTTTATTAACTGGATGACATGTTTAGAGGGTTTGTTTGCTTAAACGTTTGTACCTCCCATTTCTGACTGATCGCACTAGAAACCCGCGAGAAAACCACTGGACAGATTTTGATGAAATTTGATATAATGATAGCTGATTATCCGGGTCAACATATAGGATACTATTTACTGCGGGAAAATATTTCGTCTCTGAGAAATCTATACTAAACGTTAAAACGTAACTGAGTCGCTAGTAGTTTATATTTTACAAACATTTCACCGAAGCAAAAATAAACACTATTATTAAAAACTCTGAAACATCAATTAAGATGCCAACAGAATTGAAGCTATCAGAATTCTTTGTATTAACTATCTAGTACGATGTTGTTTTAGCCGATATCAAACAAATAAAAATCGGTCAAGTGCAAATCGGACTCCCACACTATGGGTTCCGGACCATCGTACGAAATATAACACTATGTACTAATAGTTTTTTTTATTTACATGACGGCCATTTTGAAATTCGTTGTTTTGCATTTTTATTATTTGTTGTTATAGCGGCAATAGAAATACACAATATGTGAAAATTTCAACTCTCTACCTATTACGGCTCATGAGATACAGCCCTCTGACAGACAGACAGACGGACGGATGGAAGAACGGACGAACAGACAGACGGACAACGAAGTGATCCTATTAGGGATCTATTCTTCCTTTTGACGTACGAAACCTTACAAATTAAGAGCAGAACCGAGTGCCAAAGCTTGTTAATTATAAACAGTATTTGTTCCTCTATCACTGCAAGTTTATTTAAAATAATGGCTTCTGTTATCATAATTATAAACTAATAGGCACATATTTATTTTAATGATTACAATTTTAATGAAATCATAATAATTAGGTTATTTAAACTAAGTTATCGGGGCTTGACTTCCTACTAGAGAAGGGTAGTAGGTTCGAATTCCGTACCAAAAAATGTGTGTATGTGCCACACATATACCTATTCATATACATATTTGGCTTGATTTGTTTCAAAAAATCCAGGATGTCGTTTTCAGGTGTTTTTTTATTTAAGAGTTTTCATTTATTACCTTTTTATTTTTTTACACAAGAGACTTGTATAAAAAAATAAAAAGGTTTCTAAATTTTTTTTATTGATAAAACTAAAACTCGTCGATAGCTATGTACTAATAAAAACTGTATAGAACTGTCTTGTCTTTGCCTATTTTAATTTTCAAAAACAAAACAATTCAGTCCATTTTTCTCATCTGTTCGTCAATCGATTTTTTTTCTGTTTAGTAGAGCTATTGATTGACATTTGGTGAGCCTAAAAAAGCCTTTTTTTATACAAAATCTTTATGGTCGTATTTCGGCCACTGGTGGGCCAAGGGCCAAGATCCAAATAAATGGCTTTATTTAACATTCATTTTTTTAATTTGACAACCCTATACGAACACATTTTATGTCTCACTGTGGGCGTTCTTTGAACTCGCGGCTGTTAGATCTGTCGAGAATATAAAGTAAATTTTACTAGCAGTTAGACCTTCTTTTGCGACTGAGTTTTGCTATTTAGTGTTCTAAAATCTAAAGCAACGATTATGTCTGTCTGTCTCAAACGATTTTCTCCTAAAACATATACATGTGTTACGAATATTTCAGCAGTAAGTTGAAAACTAGAATCAAAAGCATCTTTCAATAAAATTTTCATATCATTTTAGTTTAATGTTTAACCAACTTCGAAAAGGATGCACAACTCGATTGTATATATTTTTGTGAGTATATTACACGATGACGTCGTCAAATAGCGTGATTAGGGCGGTGGTATAGTTTTTTTTAATTTATACATAAAAATTCAAGGTCCCGACTGACTGATATATCAACGCACAGCCTAAATCGCTGGTTTTAGAGGCATGAAATTTGGAGGGTGTGTTTTTTGTGAAGTATTGGTATCCACTACGAAAGGGTTTTTGAAATTCCACCCCTAATGGGTGAAATGGGGGGTTAAATTTTCTGTAAAACTTTTTATTGTCTGGGTTGATTGAGCCCAAAATTTGTATACATACTCATCGATCAAAATTTTGAGACAAGTGTATCACAGTTTTTCTAAAATCATCCCCCAACAGAATCAATTAATAGACCTTCGAAAATCCTACATGGCATGGTAGAAGGGCGCATGGCGCTCAGCGTGGGTGTTTCTGTATTAATTACTTATAACTTATACGTAAAGCCAAAGAATTTGTTGTTTTTCGAGCAAAGCCATGGGTTCTACTAGTATTATTATATTAAATGAGCAATTCTTGTATATATATTTTACTTCGTGTATCCCGGAAACGGCTCTAACGATTTGGATTGGTTTTGCTTTTTAAGTTTTTCTATATAGGTGTCTTTTCAGAAAAAAACCCAATATTTAGCAAATATTTTCTCACCTCAACTCTCCAAATTTCGAGACCAGCTTTCTTCCCAGAGTTGGCAAAAGCGGGATGGACTTCAGGCATTATCTGTAAAAAAAAACGATTAGCCATATCTCATAAGTATGAAGTAGGGATATATCTATATACGGGCTTTTTTGGCTGCAACCCAAGGCTCCTAAGATATAACAGGCCTCCTGTTCGAAACAATGAATAATATTTTGATTTTATAAAATACTAGCGACTCACCCTCGCTTCGCTCGTCCCTAGCTTCATTCCTCATACAAACTTTCATCCATATTTTCACCGCCTTAACGGATGATTTCCGGAATAAAAAATATACTATAACCTTCCCAGGGTCTCAAACTATCTTCTTAACAAATTTCCTTTAAATCGGTCCAGTAGTTTTTGAGTTTATTCGTTACAAACAAATAAATCTTTCCTCTTTATAATATTATTATTATAGTGTAGATAAATTTATCTAAAATAAATGAAAGTATACCAATAAAGTATGACACAATAACCCTGAAATCAATTAACCAGAACCAAATTATAGCCTTATCTTAATTTTGTCTAGTACCATCTATAATTATAGATTTTTTATCGATACAGAGGTCGAATATACAGTTTTTAGAATTTTTGCCTGTCTGTTTATCTCTCTGAGAATGCATCACGTGAAAACCACTGGACAGATTTTGATGAAATTTTGTATAATAATAGCTCGGTATCCGGGTCAACATATAGGATACTTTTTACTGCGGGAAATATCTCATCTTTGAGAAATCTATACTAAACGTATATATGGTAATAAAAGCGTGCTATTAACAAAAATATATCTTACCAAGTTTTCCATTGAATAGAAAATACGTATAATTTTGTTTCTATTTTTTTTATAACAGTAAAGAACAAATTTTTGAATAATTTTCTAGCACAACTATGTATATGTACAATGGAGTATAGAAGTAAACTACTCAAGAACTATCATGGTTATTCAAGTAATTATGATAACAATCAACAAACAATAGATAAAGTGTGTCAACTTCAAACAACTAGTCCCTGTCTTATTCATCCTAATTCGTGGAAATTCGACAAATCAAAATATACTTTATTCAAATAGACTTTTACAATCTCTTATGAATCGTCAATTTTACATTTTAAATTAAAATTAAATGTCAGCGTAGTCAGTCCGTTAGGAAGCTACCACCGGCTCGGAATGCAGTTCTGCTGAGAAGAACCGGCGAGAAACTCAACAGTTGCTCTTTTAAAATAATAATTGTGTACAATATTGTAATACAATAATTATCTATTTATCCTACGTGAGGCCCAACCAGACATTAGTTCCACACATTGACAATAATTATTATTGAAAATTTGAGGAAAACATATATGAATAGAATTTACCTACTCACGTCCCTAGATACGTTTTAACGTTTAGTATACATTTCTTAAAGATAAGATATTTTTCTCTTATATCCCATATTAATATTGTATTCAGTCCTTTTTAATGTCCCACTGCTGGGCACGGACCTCCTTTCAATACGAGGGGGATCAGGCCATAGTCCACCACGCTGGCCTAGTGCAGGTTGGCGGACTTCACATGTCTTTCGAAAACTTGCTAGGTTCTCTCAGACATGTAGGTTTCCTCACGATGTTTTCCTTCACCGTAAGGCAAATGGTAATCATGTAAGATTCGCACATGAATATCAGAAGTGCGAGACCCGGGATTTGAACCCGCTTCACTCGGTTTCCCAAGCGAGCGCGTTACCACTGGGCTGCCACTGCCTACATATTAATATTATATCTGTTTATTCCGGCTAATCTCCGAAACGGCTGAACCGACTTTGACAGGACTTTCACTGGCAGATATGTGATATTTTAATAAATGAAGGATTAACTGCTAGACTACTTTTTAAACTACTTACATATTAAACTAGTTTTATTTCGTCCCTAGCTTGATTCTCCACACAAATTTTCATCCCTATTTCCAACCCCTTAAGGGATGATTTCCGGAATAAAAAAAGATTTAGATTTTAGAAAAAGATTTAGGGTAGCGAGAAAAAAAATTAAAACCCTATTCTTAAAACGTTCCTAGGAACACCCGAGCAAAGCCAGGGTAACGTGCTAGTATTTTCATAAAAGCAAGTGTTTCTGCGTAATATGTTGACATGTTGTATAGATTAAAGACTCACTTAGCTCGTATAAAGACGTATACAAATGTATAGTATAAAGTCTATGGGGACGCCTTCAATGCCCTTGAAGCCGACTCATCGATCTAGAGCGCTGTTATTAGGGTGAGGCTAGGGGTGTCAAAAGCTAGCAGCAATATCTATCTAACACCTTTAAACGAGCAATTCTTGTATATTTATATATACCGGTGATCTCGGGAATGGCTCTAACGATTTCGTTGAAATTTGGTATGTGGGAGTTTTTGGGGGCGAAAAATCTATCTAGATTAGTTTTATGTCTGACAAAATGCGTGATATCGAGTTTTCATGCGGTTTTCTTACGCATTATTCCAGGCAAAATGTTGTCGATAATTTCGCGTGCTCGGGCATAAGCAAGATTGACAATCATAGGTGTGTACGAGTTCGTATCCCGATCGGACATAAATTATTACTTTTGTTTTTTTTTTTTTATATTTATTCAAGTTTTTAGTTTAAAAAAAAAGAAAATTGTCGTTTTGGCCAAAAACTCTGAGCGAAGCTGGGTCGCCCAGGTACTATTTTATAATACCATCACACATAGATAATATTATAATCTACATATATATAAACAGACAGACAAAACAGTTCATTACCTTTTTCTCCTCTGTTTGTCAAACGATCTCTGGTTTAGTAGCTATTGACGAGCTTTAGTGTTATCAATAAACAAATTTTGGAAACACTTTTTTTATATAGATAGTTAAATTCTATTCAAATATGTTTTCATAATACTTTCTTAGATTTACGCGAATATTTGACATTTTAAATAAAACTATCTTTTCTTTTGGGGAAGAGACTCCCCCGTGACCATAATTGCTCTATAGCATTCGAACCGCTGGGAACCAAAAATTAAAATGAATCCGCAAACAAATCCGAAAAGACAGTTTCATATATGTTTCACACAAATTTTTCAGTGATTATGGTTGAATTTTGACCACTGGACAGACGCTAAAACAATAAAATATGTATTATAAACCAGAAAAACCGATTTTTAAATTGATATTTGGACCGACTCCAAGAACAAAGTTCTTATTTCTTCAAAACTTAATTGTACGTGCTAGTTTCACTAATTTTATTATTGTATATTCGATTTTCAAAACCTTTTTTAATGAATAGAGTAATTGAAAACTAGTAAAGGATTATGGTAAACTAGCTACTCACCCTTGCTTCGCTCGGGTTCGTCCCCAGGTTGATTTTACATACAAACTTTCAACCCCATTTTCACCCCCTCAAGGGATGATTTCCGGAATCAATAAAAAAATATCCTTCCCAGGGTCTCAATCTATCTTCTATAGTCAGTAAGTCATCAAGTGTTTACCGATTTTCATCACACTTTCATTAATTAATAGATTATTTTAAATATGATGATATAAATTTAAATACATTTTAGGGAATGACGGGTAATCAAAAAAATATCAATCGTTCTTTCGTTACACATGGTTAATCAAACAGACAGACGGACAGTTCTTAAATAAACAATTTTACAACATTAACTTCGATGGAATAAAAAAATACATACTATATATTAAAGTGGCAACCCTAATTGAACTAAAAGGTCACTCTTTATGATATTACTGCGCGTATATTTTTGGTATCTGCTCGTAATTTAGCAAATTAGATTGATATGGGCGTATCTTGACTATTAATGTTTCTTTCTTTCCTTGTTTTTAGTGGAATTATCTTCACTTTTGTTTTTTAATGGTAAATAGACTAGCGATTTAATAATATATAATCAACATTGAAAATAGTTTCTTTTATATTCATATTACTAGCGACTCACCCTCGCTCCGCTCGGGTTCGTCCCTACTTACGTTTTGAAGTTTAGTATAGATTTCTCAGAGATGAGATATTTTCTCGCAGTAAAAAGTATCCTATATTTTGACCCGGATAACCAGCTATCATCATACCGAATTTCATCTAAATCTATCCAGTGGTTTTCTCGTGATGCGGTCACAGACAGACAGACAAAAATCCTAAAAACTATTATATTAAACTATAACATTATACTGATTTGGCCTCTGTATGGATAATAATGACTATTTCAATAAGATTTTCCAATAAATACAGAGCTCAGTAACAATTTTATTAAATGTATAGGTACATAGGTATGATGAGTTGTTGTGGTTTGTATTATAACGCGAGATTATCTCGAGTAAAAAGTAGCCTATGTCACTCTCCAGTCTCCAGCCATCCAACTATTTCCACACAAAAACACTCTTACGACGTAAAAGGACAAACAAACAAAACACTTTTACATTTATAATTAAATTAAAGTATGGATTTTAAATTGTCTATTTAAGTACATATTTAAAAGTTAGGACAAGTTTATTAGGTTTTAACTCAGTGACCTTGGCATTGGCGTCTTGGTCATGCGCCGGCGCACACATGTTAGAAAGTGAAAGTATAATACGGATTCGTCGGTAAAATCTTATAAAATTATTTAGTTATACGAGTGTTCGTCCAGTGGCCGAAATTCGACCATTTTTTTTTTATTTTTAACATTAAACCTCGTTAATAGCTACTAAGCAAAAAAAAAAAGAAAAATGGTTGACAAACAGACGAACTAAACTGTTTTGTCTTTGCCTATTTATCAATATAGACTATTCACCCTTTTTTTTTTAACGTTGGGAAATGCTTTTACGCACGACGTGTGGGACTCACCGGCGTAATACAGTCAGTACTACCCCGTCGCAGGGTCGCTTACGCATTCAACTACGACGCCCCGACGGCAGGTCTGCCGAAGCAGACCACCACAACCTCCCTTTTTTTTTTTTTTGGTGAACGCACGTTGGGGGGATAGACTATTCATCCTCGCTTAGCTCAGGTTCGTCCCTAAGTTGCTTCCCCATAAGTACAAACTTTCATCACCATTTTCATCCCCTTAAAGAATGATTTCCAGGATAAAATCTATCCTATGTCCTTCCCAGGGTCTCAAACTATCTTCTTACCAAATTTCATCTAAATCAGTCCAGTAATTTTTGAGTTTATTCGTTACGAACATACAAATTTTTCCTCTATAATATTATACATAATATGTGGTTTTATAAAATGTATGCTTTCTACACTTCTCATTTATTTTTTTATTATTTCATATGACTGCTTTAGTTTACTTCGAAATGTGATGGTTTTTGTATATTATGTTACGCGATTTCTTTGTAACTTGAGAACCAAATTTTTTGTTTTTTTTTCAATTAATAGGAAAATACTATAATAATAAATTTCAAGAAATTTCCATGCTTTAAGGTGGAATACTAACTACTGCTCTTAAAGCAATTTCACTTATACAATATTCAATGTATACTATAGCATATTAATTTTAACCCGCGGCTTTGTTCGTGAGGTACTTAAGTAGTGCGGGGATCAAAGATGGCCTATATGGCCAGGATGAAAATTATGTCCTTGCCAAATTTTATCGAAATCTGTTCAGCGGTTTAGCTTGAAAATGTAACATATGAGTTACTTTCATATTTATCATATTAATATGGATTGATTGGACTCTTACTTAACCATTAACATTTTCGAAATCTTTCATCTTGTTCATACATTATTTATTTATAATGAAAAGCATGAACAGATATATCCAACGGGAACAAAAAATAACCTGTTCTTTGACCAGCCATGTAAGGGTATCAGCATGCCGAATACTAAATTA